AATTTGTGAACTGTTTTATTGCTGATGGTAGATTGTTCCAAATCTGAGGTCCTTTATTTATTATTAAGAAACCACAATCAAACAAAGATAACCTCTTTGTTTGATTGTGGAGTGGCCTAGACTATGCTGTGTACATTGTTGATACCCAGAAATGATTCAGCTGCCTACAAAGTCAGGAAGTGTCAAACCGGTGGTCCATGGCATATAGAGCTCCGGGAGTTGACTCACTTCTCCCGGCATGCAACAGTTCAAATCAAAACAGCGCCATATTGGCAGGCAGAAGCCGGCAGCTGGACTATTTGTTATTGTCAGAAAACTCAATCAGACAGGAAATATGGTAGATTCCTGTTGTGCCCCATAATGCCAGAACAGACACGGACGACATAAGGAATGAGCCATCTACAGGATTCCCCAAGATCTGGAGCGCCGCAAACGTTGGATCATTGTAATAAAACGAGCTAGTGACCGGGCTGAAATGAAGCTGTGGGATACCGAGAGTAAAGGTTTTCACTTATGCAGCGACCACTTCATATCAGGTACTTAAACCGACGTTTCCTCAACTGTGTATGGTATTTATTTTAAATGCTTTTATAACGATTCTTAGTGGGCTTCCTAAACTTATTTTGGCATGGCTTTTTCTGTCTTATTACTCATAGCAACAAGTAAACGTCACGTAAAACGTTTCCTCGTGATTTCTGCGTGCTGCCGTTTACGTGTTTTATGATCACAGCAATTAACCAGCTAAGCTGTATTTAATTTTTAAGCAATGGTTAATCAGTTGTCAGATCACACTTAAAAAGCACTTTGGATTGCTATTATCTGTCTCACCGAGACAGATCTCAGACAGATCCTGAGACGCTCCTGCCTGACATATTTATTTTATTCACGGAAAACAATCAAACTAGTGATTTCTCTTGGCGTTCAGTTTATACGTTCAAACAGCACAGCACTCTATTTAAACTACTTACGTGTAAATCTGTTATTTGTCCATCCATTTTCATCCGCGTATCCGGAGTCGGGTTGCGGGGGCAGTAGCGTCGAGAGTCCCAGACTTCCCTCTCCCCAGCCGCCTGAGCCAGCTCCTCCGGGGGAATCCCAAGGGGTTCCCCGGCCAGGTCCGGTAAGAAGTCCGCTCCAACAGCTTCTGGCGTTTTTAAAAAGTATCCCAGGGGCACGGCAAGGGTCGGAGATGTTTATTTTATTTAATTTCTGACTATATAAAACAATTTCTTCGGTTTTAAAGTGTGAAGTAAACTCCGACGAAGTAAAATCCAAGCCGATCCCGTTCATGTTCATGTTTACGATCCGTGTTTGTTTAGCTTCTTTAACCTGCCAATATGGCGTCTACTAACTGAGAGTCACATGGGGTCCGGAGCTCTATAGCCTACTCTTACCTCAGGAAAGCTCTAAACCAATCAGCAAAACAATAAAACCTATTTGCTTATTGATAGCTTTTTTTTGTAATGCGATAGTTAGCTATGGAGATGCTCGTAACGCTACATGGATTATAACTTACCGGTGGAGAATCCAACATTGTGGGAAAAAAAGAATTTGCTACAGTCAACAGGTGATGCAAAGCTGGCAGCTACTTGTAAACAGAGCGTGCACGAGCACGCTCCATGGACTGGTAGAGAGGTGCGCATGCACATTTTAAAAAATGTTGAGAGGGCAGTTCTTCAGAAACATCGATTGCTATACCTTTAATTCAGGGAAGCAGGGCAAAATATAATTGAAGTTCATAACTAAATAAATATTATATAATTGTATTTAGAACAAATAAAACAGCCAAGTAGCACATAAAAAATGAAGCAAAATAAAAAATAAGGAAAAAGTCGACTGTTGATTTAAGGGTTAAAGGCTAAATTTTGGCAGCCCGGCCGTTCTAAATGTAAAAAAAAAAAAAAGACGTGCTGGAGTGACGCTTTATAGACCCGTGCATTTCAATGACGCCGAAATGCGTGTTGAGATGCACGAAAAAAAGAGGTATGCGTGTCCACAAGCACAAAATGTTTGACTACAGAATGTGAGTAAGTCACGTAATGCCGTGAGACCGGGTTGGCTTGTCAGCCACTAGATCGTGGCACCGGATAACAGAAATACTCCAGAAAGAGACTTTAAGGCCCTACTATGCAGAGTATATCAACAGTCTACCACTCATGCTTTTATTCTATCAAGGCCTGACTACTGCAATGCATTGTAATCCGGCCTGAGTCAGGGTGAGGTAGCACGCTTGTAGCTAGTACAAAACTCAGCCGCTAGGTTTGTGACAGGGACTGGGCACAGGGACCATATCACCCATGTGTTGGCATCCCTTCACTGGCTGCCATGCAATGCAGGGCAACATTTAAGGTCTTGGTACCGACATACAAGGCCTTAAAAGGAATGGCTCCAGCATATATTGTCAACCTTTGGGACATGCCCCTTCGCGGGCGCTTCGCTTGGCTGACAGGGAGCTGTTGATGGTTCCGCACACCAAGCGCAGGTCATGGGGTGACCGTGCATTTTCTGTATTGGTTCCTATACTTTGCAACCAGTTGCCTTAGGTGGTTCATCAGTCACCCTCATTGATGGTTTTAAAGACTTGCCTGAAGACCCACTTTCATGCCAAGGCATTCCAGGATCAGCATTTTTTTCTTGGTTTCGTTGCCCCGGCCTCTTATTCTTTAGTTGTATTTTATTATCAGTTTTTATTTCTCTCTTTTAATTTTTCTATGCTGGTTATTACAATTGGGCGAAAGTGGCACAGGAGTTAAGTGCTTGCCCCGTGATCGGCAGGTTGCAGGTTCGAGCCCCACTCGGTCTGTCACTGTCGTTGTGTCCGTGGGCAAGACACTTAACCATCCTTGCCTGCTGGTGGTGGTTGTAGGGACCGGTGGCGCCAGTGCTCGGCAGCCTCGCCTCTGTCAGTGCACCCCAGGGCAGCTGTGGCTACATCGTAGCTCATCCCCACCAGTGTGTGAATGTGTGAGTAAATGGGTGAAGACTGATTGTGTTGTAAAGGGCCTTGGGGGGTTCCAGGACTCTAGAAGGTGCTATATCAAATACAGGCCATTTACCATTCACCATAATTGTTAAATTTTATTTCATGGTTTTATGTTTCATTTGTGCTGTGTTCAGCACCTTGGTTGTCTATGTGGGCCACAGAAGGGGCTTTATAAACAAAATATCTTAATAAATAGCGTACTTTGCAGTCTGATGACAATTTCTCTTTGTTTATTACAATAACTTTCTCTGTCAGCCGGCTCTGCGTTTTTGTTTGACTTCACTGTGACTGTTAGAGGTAAACTGAGGATTAATGGAAACCGATGATTTGCTCGAAGGGAAAAGCCGACAGCGAAAGTAGCTTGTTTGAAGGCAGCGCATCTTGGAGCAAAGCGCTTAGCAATTAGCCTAGCTTAGCATGTATGCTCACATTGCCCACATTTTATTAACTAACTTTAAAACACGTCTAAACATTCCTTAACCAAATTGAAACTTACAAAGACAAATGTTCTCCATGACATGGACGCATAAATCAAACTCTGTGTTTATACTCTGTTTCTGCCTAAATGTAAGTATTTTTTAAAACTTTTGTTGCCTAAATTTAAGTTGTAAACAGCAAAGACGACAGCGACGGAAAACAGAAATGACATCAGTCCTAGATCTGAAGCTGAGTTAAGAGCGCTCACTCTGTTTCACACAGACATTACAACAAAGATTGATCTGTTTTCAAAAACTAAAACATTTTCATCATTAATTCACCTTTACTATTTGTTAACTTAATAATTTCACTTATTTCCATCATGAACTGAAAGAATATTTGTGGCCTAAAGGAATGACAGAGCATTAGTCAGGATTATTTGAAGGAGAATGTCATTCAGCTGCTGTTGGAGACAAATTAAAACATAACATATATTTTTTTTTATTACTGGCTTAAATTGACGTAGTTGGCATTTTGCACTGATAATGTTTAAAGCATTCATGATAGGAGATATGTAATGTTAGCAACCTAAATGATTAATTATTTATTTTTTATTGGGGGTACCCTGCATATATCGTTATCGAAAATTAAGAGTTAGACATTATTGAATATCGGTTAAAAAAAGCCAATATAAAGCATCCCTAATTATTTCTGATTACAATCGGCCACTCTGAGTTTTTAATGCAGGCCGAAAATAAACAGCTTGGGGTCTATCTGCATGGAGTTTTCATGCTCTCTAGGTGTGTTCCTCACTTAGTCCAAAAATATGAATGTTTGGTTAATTGGTCTCTCTAAATGTTCCTTAGCTGTGTGTGTGTGTGTGTGTGTGTGTGTGTGTGTGTGTGTGTGAGTGTGTGTGTGTGTGTGTGTGTGTGTGTGTGTGTGTGTGTGTGTGTGTGTGTGTTGCCCCGGGATGGATGGGCAACCTGTCCAGGGTCTACCCTGTCTGTATGCCTAATATTGGAACTTGACCCTGCAAGGATAAGCGGGTATCGATAATGAATGGAAGTCTACCTCTGGTGACATGGCTTGTATTAAAAATGGCCACTAGAGGTCAGTAAATCAGTCAGTCTGTCATACAATACCTATTTGATCAACAGTCAAGATGCTGTTTCTGACTGTCAGTGGCATGTGTTTTCATTTGGAAGAGTGTGCTGATTTGTCATCATCTCCATCTCTGGAAGAAAATCAATACTCTTACGTACATACTACTGTGTGTTGCCCTCAGGTGTACTTCCACAGATGCAGGAGGAGTCTAACTACTGGTCTGTCTGTGCAGGAAACATGTTAGCAAATGAAAAATCTGTAAATTGTTTATAGGACATACAGTCAATGGAAGAATTTATTTCTTGATCAAATATGCATGTGTCTTTTTTCTTTTCCAACTGCAAAGCAGTGTTTTTGTATGCAGAACCGATCTATAACTCTATGTGTTTTCAGTATTCAGCGAATGATTCGGCTTTCAGGGGCCAGCAGTGGGAGCAGGATTACCACCCTCTCTCTCTCCCTGCCCTACCCTGCGCTCCTCCTCCCTCCATCCATCCACCTCTGTCCTCCTGGAAGGATTTTTCCCCTCTTCAGCGCTGTGCTGGCCTGGAGAGGAGTGAGGGAGTGAGAAGAGAGGATTTTGTGATCCGAGGAGCGACGGACCGGTGAGAAGGACCATGGCTTTTCTCTTTGCCTCACTGAAGACCTGGATTCTACTGCAGACCTTGTGCCTGGCTGTGGCTCAAGTGGTGAGTGGACAGGAGAGGTCCAGTCCTGCTCGGCTCAGATTTCTCTCAAAACCAAGAGGTTCAGGGAATGAAGGCCTCAGGAAAGGGCTTTGGAAATCCTGCAGGGATGTTATAAGTCCTGGTCCACTTTGGAGTGGTATAGAATGACCACCTTCATAGAAAGAGAAGACCTTGGAGTGACTTCTCTCCTTCAGTGGACACATTTTGGATGATTTCATGTGATTGAAAAGCCTTGTTGTGGATGAGATTACTTCTTCTTTAAGCCAAGATGCTCTGATTAAAGACGTAGATTTCTGTTGGACAAAGTGGACTTTTGTTTGAAGAAGACACAAACTTGTTTTTCTGGGGCAAATTTAGCAACTCTTGAAAGGCAAACATCAGCGAGCACTGACAGCTACCCAAACGTTACCCATAGCCTGTGAAAGCCCCCTTTCATCCCAACACCTACATGCGACCTTTGGTGATTTCTTCAGCAGCCACGGATCGTTCTTTTATTTTGAACCTAAAAACCTGTGATATATATGTGTGTGTGTATGTATATACATATATATATATATATATATATATATATATATATATATATATATATATATATATATATATATATTTGTTGTTTTAATTTTCTAAAAAAAAATAATAATTAATGCATATTTGTAGTCTTGTAGACCAGTTTTTATACTCATACACACCACCTGGTTTGACAATTGATGCACATTTCGTATCAAATAAGTTTTCTAAAGCATGCACACAGAGTAAATATCTAACAGTTAGAGTATGCAGGCAAAATTAACTATAAAAACAAGAATAAAATAATTTCTGTCAATTCATCAAAACACAATGCAGAAACTTTATTTAGCCTCATTATTCACTGTAATTTAAAATGCTGTTAGTGTGTGCAAATGAAATCTAAATGACCTTTTTGTTGGATAATTTATGTTCTGTGTTTGTGTTTCAGAGAGGTCCACCTGGACCTCAAGGCCTACCAGGTCCACTGGGCCCTTCTGGTACTCCTGGGTCAGATGGCATTGATGTGAGTATGTGCACAGGTTTACCCAACAAAGATTCGTATTGTGCTGCAAAGCCAACCCAACCCTGCAGTACTGGAGTTTTACCACCAGAGGGTACTGATAATGAAAACACTCAGGCACAAAAGAGGCTCTGTTCCAGCCAAGAGAGGGGTCTTTGAGGGGGGACCCTCTGGAGTTTGTGTCACAGTAATGTGATGCATTGGAGTTTATTTAGGGGCTGATTACAGGAGGAAAATGTAAGAATTAAAGCGTGCTGCAAAAAGGATCAGACAGCTTTCAAAATCTGGTTCCTTTTCCAAGAGGAAATAGACTCCAGTAAAGATAACTGATAAATATTTTCATGGAATATATGGAATTTATTATACAGATAGTATAGATAATTTACCACCATATATAGAGTATAATTAGGGGAAGTACCACCTATATATACCACAGTCGTGCCAATTGTCCAAAAACACAAAAATTACCAAAATTAGTCAATTTTATGCATTTGGTACCAAATACACAATGTCTGATAAATGAGACCCCAGATGAGTCTGAGCAACAGCGTCCTGAGACTGACGATTCTAAGACAGTGAAGGTGCAGAGAAACACAACGTCATTTTTCGTTGTTGCAAGAGCTCTGCACGGACAGACAGAGTAGAACCCAAGTTTCTAATTATCCGTTCAAAGTGATGGAGACAGCTAGTCTGTTAGGACACTGCTTCCTTTAACTTTGTCAATACCACTGCCATCCCCCCTCAAAAATATTACACGCGAGCTCAAGATATCTAGTGGCAGACACAGAGCATATTGAAAAACGTCTCGTAGAAAAAGTCCAGCAATGTAAACGTTAACACACCCACAGCAGAAGGAGTTCAAAGATACGCAGCAAACATTTCATTTGTGTCAGGACACTATGGAGAATGTGGGTTTAGAGGTGGTGACTGGATGAGGAAGTGAAGGAGAATGAGGGACAAACGTGTCCGTGTTAAAAAGTCTATTAAACACAAGGTAAACACATTAGAGATGTGACTGCATCGATGGCAGGACACTCCACAAAAGTGCTACGCCCTCTGTTGTCCTGGTGGAGAATTGCTTCACGACACTGAAACACCAAGACACCTCGAGAAGTATAAACTAGACTAGAGACTCATGAACTCTAACCTTTCAATGGTACTTATGGGCTTTGCTAATTACAGTACAATAGCTGCTTATTAATGACTTAATGCTATTTTTCCTTGAACTGGTCTAGGAAAACATGTCTCCTCTATATCTAACATGCTGTTGGACAACAATAGGAAACTAATTGAAGTAGTTTGTGTGTTTTTGATGATTTAAACTGCTGGACTCAATTTTCTAAGTTCAGCAGCAACTGCAGGTGGATGAAGCAAACACATCAGCTTTCTATTTATCTAACAAAGGAAAGTGTTTGGAGGTTATTTAACTGAAACCAAATTATCAGCCAGGGTTTTGTCATAAAAAAATAAATCAACATCTCTCTTACTACAGGGGGAGAAAGGACGTCCTGGCCCACCCGGACCACCAGTAGGTTCTCATCATTCTGTATCTTTCAAAATCAAGTTGTCTTAACCTTAACCCTGTGGTGTCCAACCCTGGTCTGAAGGGCCCCTATCCATATTTTATCTGCATCCTCACTCCTGACTTTATTAAGCAAGTGATCAACATGTTTCTGTACAATTTAATGACATTTTGAACAGGTGATTTAACCAGTGAATCAGGTGTGTTAAAGCACAGGAACAACTAAAGCATGCTAGTTAGGGGCCCTTCAGGACCAGAGGGGGGAAACATGTACCTTCCTCTGCTAGACATTGTCGTCTTCACAACTGCTGTTTTTTTTTATTGTAGGGGCAAAAGGGTGAGCCAGGAGAGCCAGGTCGGGATGGACCTCCAGGAAAGAATGGCATTGATGTGCGTGAGCTAAAGTCTGTGTGGGTGTGGCATGTGTGAAAGAGACATAATGAAAATCAATTAAATGTATTTATATGGCGCCAAATCACAACCGTCTTCTCAAGGCACTTGATAATGTAAACATTCCAATACAGTTCAGTTCATTTAGTCAATCAGTAAAAAGTTTCCTATGTAAGGAACCCAGAGGTTGCATCGAGTCACTGACTAGTGTCAGAGTCTTTACAGCAATCCTCATACTAATTTATACTCTTCCGTCTGCGTTGAGATGGATGCACGCAACACCATTATCTGTCCTTTCGAGGGCTCTCCAGCAGGCTCACAAGGACAGACAGAGTCGAGCTCTCTTTCCTAAACATCCATCCAACGAGAGGGAGAATGCAAGCTTGTCAGGACGCCGCTGTCATCAACAGCACCGCCATTGCGCCCTCAAAAACATAAAGAGAGGTAAAGATATCTAGCGGCAAACACGGAGCAGGCTGAAGAATGCCTTGTGGACAAACTCTAAAAATGTAAAAGTTGTAGGAGTGAAAAGATATGCAGCATGAGTGGTTAGCAGCAGAGTACCAGCTGATGCCCCTCTCCACGAGGCTACCACAGCTCAGCAGAACACCATTGTAGCTCCTTCTGGGGAGAAAAACGGAGAGAAAATAAAGTTAACAGCTGTAGTAGGAAATATTGCAATTAGAGAGGAGTGGTGGAAGAAAGTAGTAGAGTGTGGAAAGTGGTCAGTGTGTCCTCCAGCAGTCTAAGCCTATAGCAGCATAACGACAGAGATAACTCTGGATAACCTAGCCTTTTAGATGGAGGCATGTTGGAGGCAGGGCAAGGGAGAGCCGTCTTTACCAACTGTACACTCCACCTCCCTCTACTCCCCGCTCATTCAAATCTGAGCTAACATCAAAATTTTACCATAAGCTCTATCAAATTAAAAAAGTTTAAAGCCTAGTCTAAGTAGACAATGTGTCTGCCTCACAGACTAAAGCTTGGAGCTGGTTCAAAAGAAAGAAGCCTGATAACTAAAAGATCTGCCTCCCATACAATTCTTAGATATTCTGGGAACCACCAGTAAACCTGCAGTCTGAGTGAAGTGCTCTGTTAGGAACAAATTGAATGATCACATCACTGATGTACGATGGATTTTGATTATAAAGAGCTTTATTTGTAAGAAGGAAGCACATTGGAAGCATTTACAGTGGGATGCAAAAAGTTTGGGCTGCCTTGGTAATCTTCATAATTTTCTTTTATAAATCATTGGTTTTTACGATAATTCAATCCAATTCAATTTGATAAACAATTTCTGTTGAATAAATAATTTCAAAAAGGAGACACACACTGTGATATTTGAGAAGTGAAACAAAGTTTATAGAATTTATACATTTGGGCACAAAAAAAAAAAGAATTTAACTCAGTATTTAGTAGATCCACCTTTTGCAGAAATAACAGCGTCTAAATTGTCAATAACATTCAGGTCTTGGGACTGAGAAGAACTTTCCAGAATGTTGTACTTGTTCCTCTGCATGAACTACTTAGTAGATGTTGAGCAGTGTTTAGGGTCATTGTCTTGTTGAAAGATCCAGCCCCGGTGCAGCTTCAGCTTTGTCACTGATTCCTGGACACTGGTCTCCAGAATCTGCTGATATTGAGTGGATTCCATGTGTCCCTCAACTTTGACAAGATTCCCAGTCCCTGCACTGGCCACACAGCCCACAGCATAATGGAACCACCACCATGTTGTACTATAGGTAGCAGGTGTTTTTTCTTGGAATGCTGTGTTATTTGTCCTTCATGCATAAGGCCCATGTTATGCCCAAATAACTCTGTTTTAGTTTCATCTGCCCACAGCACCTTATTCCAGAATGAAACTGGCTTGTCCAGATGTGCTTCAGCACACCTGAAGCGGCATGTTTGTGCTGTGGGAGCATACAGCATAACGTGTGACGAATAGTTGAACTGTGAACAGTGACTCCAATTGCAGAAGTTGACTCTTTTAAACTAACATAGTCCTCTTGCTGCAGCCAGGATTCTGATTATCACAAATCAAGTAATTAACTAACAAAGTCTTTGAAAAAAATTGATCTAATGTTCAATAAACCACATTTAATTTTTCTAGTTTTCTGCTCAGTTCAATTTGTTCTAATATTTATGAGATTTCCATGATTTGCTTCATTAAGTCTGTGTGGTTTTGGCCGTGGGCAGGACACTGTCTAAATGGGGTAGTGGGTTGGTAATAGTACAGAAGCTGCAGAGGGGTGTGTTAAACTACGACTCTGCTTCCTGGTCTGGACCCTGGGTTGTCATAGAGGAACAATAAAATTGTAGCCTGGCCGGCCAGACTTGTCCTTTGTTTAATTCTGTACAGAGAAAGAGTCTGGTAACTCACAGGCAAAGAGGCACATGAGGGGCGGGACTAAGCAGCTCAAAAAGAAACAACCAGAAAAAATATGGAAATGCCGACTGTACCGTGCGACGCTGTAGTTTTTTAGCTAAAGTTAAAAAAAAAGGTGTCTGGCAGCGGCGCAGACATCTTTTATTTTATGTTGGCAAAAGGAGATCTGAGGCACTCAGGAGATACAAAAATAAAAAGCCTTTATTAGTACATGGCTCAGATAGTTAAAAACAAATGTCGACGCGTTTCAGTCCACAGGGCTTTAGTCAGGGCTCAAAATGTTTGTAGGTTCTCTCACTTTCATGTTAAGAAGGCTAATCAGTGACACCTGCTGAAGTTGGGCAGGTAGACAGCATGATGATTGGATGACCAGTATAGCACAAAAAACTTTTAACATCTAAATAATCCTATTGTAAGGATGAATACTTACAAATATTACATTTCACTTATAGAATTTGAGAAAAAATATAAATATGGTACACAAATGGTAAGAAAACATGAGATTATAAATAAGGAGCAAAATCAAATTCTCCATTAAGACCTGGGAAATTAGTAGCTGTTAGTGTATAAATCCAAAATGATTCTCTTTGCAAGAATTTTTTAAGCCAATCTCCTCCTCTAATTGAATGTTTTATATGTTCAATCCCTGTGATTTTAAGAGAGTTACAGCTTCCATGATTTGTGTCTTTATAATGAACTGCCATAGGATACAGAGGATTACCAGATCTGATTGCTTGTTTGTGTTCTGCAAGTCTTGCTTTTAACTTACGTTTAGTTCTCCCAATATAGAAGCAACCACATGGGCATTCTAGTCTGTAGACCACAAATGAAGTATTACAATTGATGAATGTATTAATGTAAAAAGTACGTCCAGTGAAAACATCAGCAAAACAGTTAGTGTTAGTCATGTTGTCACAGTGAACACAATTTCCACATTTATAGTTGCCTTTTCGAGTTTTGTGTTGCTGATGTTTTCACAGGACGTACTTTTTACATTAATACATTCATCAACTGTAATACTATCTGAGCCATGTAGTAATAAAGGCTTTTTATTTTTGTATCTCCTGAGTGCCTCAGATCTCCTTTTGCCAACATTTATGTGGATCCCTTGGCTGAAGAGCACCAGTGAGAGCACCAGATAAAATTTCTTACACCCCTGCAGCACTTCCAGCATTTTTTCTATTTTCATCTTTTATTATTATTTTTCTTAGAAGAAAGGCTTTTAGCGGTTCCACTTGTTGGGGTTTTAAAGACATTCAAGTCATTTAGAACAGAGGAAAGAGCCGCAGCGAACTCCGAGGCTGTCTTCATTGTTTATGAGAAACTGAGCGTCGCTGTGTGGGATGTCCGCGACGTCTGTAGTATTTTTAGCTGTAGTCAAAAATGGAGACTGGCGACAGCAAAAGCATCTTTATTTAGAAGAAAGGCTTTTGGTGCTTCAACTTGTTGCTGTTTTAAAGATATGTCCAAGTCATTTAGAACAGAGGAAAGAGCGGCAGTGGACTCCGCTTCAGTCGCCCTGTTTATGACAAACTGAGCGTTGTGGTGTGTGATGTACGATACTCTGCGCTGATTGGCTCGGTTAGAATTCTCACGGGGTGGGGTTAATTGAAGAGGAGAGTTCCCAGACCAGTTCTCTGTGCAGAATTAAACAGAGGAGGAGTCTAGCAGGCCAGGCTAATAAAATTGGCCATGTTCCTAGAAAGAAGAGCTGCTCCATCCAAAGAGGGATGGGTGCCATCTCTTCGCGTCAGACCAGGTTTTCCCCCAAAAGTTTTACAATTATGAATGTAGCCCACGTTGTTTTCAGGGCACCACCTAGACAACCAGCAGTTGAAGGACAGCATGTGGCTAAACATGTTGTCACTGGTCCGGTCAGGCAGAGAACACACACCAAAGCAATATAAATTTTAGTGACCTCCGTAACAGGGTATCATTACCACCAGCATGAATAACGATCTCACTGTATTTATGATTATACTTAGCCAGCAGTTTCAGGTAGGATTTAATGTTGCCTGCTCTGGTCCCAGGTAAGTATTTAACTATGGTTGCTGGAGTTTCTAATGCAGGGCTAGTCAACTCTGGGCCGCGAGGGCTTTATCTGCTCCAACACACTAGATTCAGTGGTTGAATCACCTGTGCAGCAGCTCTTCAGGCTCTGCAGAAGCCTGTTAACCACCTACTGATTGAAATCGGGTGTGTTGAAGCAGAGTTAAAACTAAAATGTGCTGGATAGCGGCCTTACAGGCCTGGAAATGAATAGTCCTGCTCTAATGCCACATTTCTGACTATGAACCTGCCAATTACCAGAGTAGTTGAGGAAACATGGACGGGTCGGCGGTTTCCCATGGGCTGGGTTCTGGGGTGTGCTTCATACGTACTGCCACTCAGCCAGCATGAGGTACCACTACAGGATGGTTCAGATCTAGTTAGCCTCACACTAGCTAGCTATCTACAGGCTTTTCGACAGCGTGGAGCCGAGCCTACAATTCCGACACCTACAAAAATCTTCCATTAATTGCATGTACCACTAACACTAAAGGAGGCAGAGGAGTAACTAAACATCAGACACACAGAGCAAGAGATAGGAAATGGAGAAGGAAAGACAAAAATGGCCATAGCCGTGCTGAGGCTAACTAGGCAAGCAAACGGCAGACTGCAAAACGAAAAAGGATTGGGGTCAGAAAAAAGACAGAGAAAGAGTTTCTGAAAGAGGACATGAGTAAATAACAGATGTTGACCTAAACAATCAAAACTCCTTGCTGTAGCCTTTGTCAGAGCATCACAGGTGCTTCGTTCTCGACTGTCCACTGTCACAACAGTGACAGAAGAGTCATCAGCAACACCCTCGACGCTCTGACAAAGACGACAGGAAGGAGCCAAAACGTTCAGCTAAAGGTAGAAAAGATATCTTTTACTTCTCTGTGTACGCACAAGAATCAGAAATAATGCTCTCCAAAGGTTTGCATTGAAACATGTTAGTTACATATATTTATTACGTAAAAACATCATATGGTCTGACTATATGAAACTGCAATTATGTATTAGAGATGTGCGAGTCATGATCAAATCGTTGTTTGTTTTGCAAAGACAATAAGCACATTATGAAAAAATGAATGAACTATGTTCCGCCACTATTAAAAAAAAAAAATTTCAGTGTATAAAATGAATAGTTGTCATATTTTTGTCACTCGTGTGTGAGGATTTACATGGAAACAGGAGAAAATTAAGGTTGTTTTTTTAACTGTGGGTGAGTGACTCGGTGACTCAAATGAATCAAACAACCAGATTTCTTTTGGTAAGTGAGTTATCCAAACATTAATATGTATTAGGTGTTTATGTCTCATAAAATATATTTTCATTCCTGAGTTATTAACATTTCTTATTACTTATAATTGTTTGGCATTGCACAACAAAACTGGCATTCTGACTATATCCATTCTTGTAACCCCGGCTTCACACTGGAAGCATCAGTGGTGCGAAAAGGCAGAAGAACAGTTTACTTGCGTACTTCAAAGTGGTCCTTTTCACACTGGGAGAGTCTTGGCCACGGCATGGCTTCCTCACTTTGCTCTTCGCTGGGCTCACAAGATCAAAAAAATCCTTCCAGACTTCATAGGTCACAGTTTGGTTATGCAATTCACCAATAAACCAAAAACAAGGAAATCACATTTGATATTGCTGTTAGATGTAGTTCCTCACTACTACCAGGAATAAAGCCATGAAAACACACTGCTGCACTTCTGGAACGATACTGGGAGTAAATAAGCTGTTAGGTTGCACGTAAGCTACATATATATGAAATAGCATCGCTGCAGTACTTTTAATTTGAAAATTACCAGGGATTCTACACTAAAACCATGTGTGATTTCCTGTCTAGCCCTATGTTAACTGTGGAAATTGTTGTGTCCTAAAAGCAGCTCGTGGCAAAAATAGAAGCTGATCCTACCTTTAGCTTCTGGGATGCGACTGAGCATTCCCATGCCGCTGCTGGTTTGAAACACTCCATAGACTATAATGGTTTATATTTGTAGCAGTGACGTTCCGCTGCCGTAGAAAACTTCCAGTGTAAAACCGAGGTTATAGTTACTTGAACAGCATGGAGGTGATGGGATTCTGTGTCAAAACCACTGATGTCCTGTTAGCAGTGTCGGGAAAGTTTGTTTAAAAAATGAACTAGTTCAAAGTTCATTTCATACATTTGAAAACAAACTACTTTGTTTCTTAGTTCATAATTAAAATATTTGTTAACTAAGTTCACTGTTCCAAAAATGAACTATATATATATGAAATGAAATGATGTTCCAACAGTTGACACCTGTTCAGTCCACACTCATACCCAGCTGCAGTTTTTACCCTACAGTATACTCTCAATAACATGAGGAAAGCATTATTTTAATGGAAAATTATAAAACAATCTTAGGAAGCAGGCTGAAGTAGCAAACTCAAAGTGCAATATTAAAAGTGCAAAACATTAAAAAATGTATAATCTTTCAGGTAAGTCCCTTTTCAGTTTTTCTGAATGAACATTGACTCCTGCACACAGCATAGATGTGGAAGAGTAGACGCTGCACCAACTGCTACTGCCTATGTTTGGCCACATTTGCGGGTTCTACTTTTTATAAACTCTGTGGTTAACAGGATGTTTTAGCTAGGCTTTAGCTCCGGAAAAACTCCGTGGAGATCTGAAGCTAGAACGGCGAAAGAACGCGTTCATAAACCCGTTCACCTACGGCAGGACAAACGCACTCACATTTACGTTCGTCCGGCAAAATACGAACGAGTTCAGTTCATGTTCACGAAAAAAAAAAATAAATTCACGAACGATCGTTCAATGAATGTGCCTATTAGTGCTCACGTGCATATGAAGTGATCTCAACCCACAGTTTGATGTTTTCATTGTAATTACTGTGTTTCTGCTTCTGAGGTCAATCAGAACATGTTGCTGCTTCAGTTTTAATCAGCAGAAACTGTCTTTGCCAAATAACCACATGTTAACTTGAAGCAACTTCAAATTCTTTAGAGATTTAGTGAGTAATCCGCCCTGGAATCTCACTCTCAGGACTTTCACCCCAATTACTGCATCATTGTTAATCATAAGTGTGTCAAACCCCCAAGGTGAGATCACATGTCTCCCCTGCAAAGCAGAGAAATACCTGATGGTTCTGTTCTGACCCGCAATGTGACCTCATATCTAGCATTTTCACCTTTCTTCATCTCCTTCTGCCTGCAGGGCTTGATTGGAGAAAAAGGTGATCGGGGTCCAGTCGGTAGTCCTGGTCCAAAGGCAAGTGTTTATAATAATTATAATCCGAAACCTTTGGGTTTTCTATGGTAAAGTATTTCCCTTTAGACTGTCAGTGTTCATGGCACATCAAACACATGAAGTTCTCTGGTTGTGTGTGTGTTTTTGTCTGCAGGGTCAGCCAGGTCCAAGCGGAGAGCCAGGACCTCCAGTGAGTATTTTGTTCTTCAGCATTTTATCCAGGACTCTAAATCTCTTTAAGAGAAATATTCTGCCAGAAAAATATCATAAACCTTTGGCCAACAGCAGAGAGGGAAACAAACACATCTGCCCAGATGAGCAACGGGCTAGTTTGAGTTGTAGAGTTCAGTCAGGGCAGAAATGCAGCTTGAACCTGAACCTAGAAGTCTGGAAACGGTTAGCAAAGCTGAACCTTTTGGCTAACACAGACACATGGATTTAAAATAATGTTCAACTGCTAAATCCTTCAAAAGGGTTTGGGACTACCGTAATTTCCGGACTATAGAGCGCACCTCAATATCAGCCACACCGGGCTAAAAGCCACAGATATCTATTGAATTGAAAACGTAGTTTAACTGAAAGCAACTGAACTGATCAGTATCAAACAAAACAGAAAAGTTATTGATTAGTTTATTCATCGTCCTCCTGCGCACTGAAACCACTGAAATCATCTTCTTCAGTGTAGGAGTTGAACAGCTTCAGAAGAGCTTCGTCACATACCTTTTCTGTGGCGATGTCAGTGTCACTGTCCATGTTGCTGTCATCATCCCGGGGTGAAACAAGCAACACCATTTTACTGTGAAAAAAAATCCTCCTGGGCGCTTTCCGTAGCACTCCTTTAACCATTCCTTCATTAGACTTTCTAGCATCCATCCTTTCTGGTTGACTAAAGCCGCATGGTTCAAAGCTTGGGAAAAAAGAAGTGGTTTATAGTCTGGAAAATACTGTAGTTTAATTTACTTTTAACTTTTACTGCCTGAAACTCTTAAATCGCTCTGATGTCTGCCTATGGCTGTTGGTTGTCCTGAGCCGTCCCAAAGAAGCATTCTCAAGAATAAATGAAACCATGATCCCGCTGGACTGAGACTTTTCATGAGAACATTTGGGAGGGTTTTCATGGTGCACAGCTTAATGTTTGTTAAAAATCACGATACAAATGTTTCCTTTAACTCTGAAAGGGCCACCATGCGTCTCTACGAGACCAGCCTTGAGGGTCATGTTGACTGCTGCTTTTAAAAGTCAATACATTCACCTTGTAAGGTTATAATTTCAGAAAATATATTTAACGAGCTAAATAATGTTTTTCAACCAAAACTAAAACCCAAAAAGCCAGTTTCAGAATAGTAACTGTCCATGTTATCAGTCTAATGCTGTTTCTATGGTCACATTTCTTTTATGCCTCTGTTTCATTTTCACTTTTCATTTATGTGTTAGTTATATTAGACAAAAATAACAAAATTAAGAGGAAAAGAAAGACTGATCAAGTTCTGCAGATGCTCCCTGACTACAAATTCCCAGTCTGGGTGTTCTATTTGTATTGTGTCCAGAGATGCCAGTGAGAAATTCTCAGACCAAAATAGGTAGAAATGATCATATTTTGTCTTTTGTTGTAAAATAAACACAGAATCCACTTTTAATGAAAGTCAGGATCCATTAAGGCTGAATGTTTTTATTTGATGAAATAATTAAGAACAGTCAGAATGACCTGTCTAGTGTTAAAATGGAGACCAACACTGACGGTGAAACCATAACTGGATGTTGTTTTGGAACATTGTCACTATCCCTTTTACACTGAACAAAAATATAAACGCAACACATTTTTTTTGCTCCCATTTCTCATGAGCTGAACTCAAATATTTTAAATGTTTTCTACTAGGGATGAGCGAGTACACCACTATCTGTATCTGTATCTGTACTCGGAATGGGCGTGGCCTAACATGAAGTGGGCGTGGTTTACATCAATATATTATTTTAAGTCTGAAATTGATATGGATTGATCAGAAGTTGATATGTGCATTGTTTATTTGAAAACTATTTACAGAGCAGCCTCAGAATTGAGATTAAATATTTTTGATCACAATAGTAAAGAAACTATTTCAGAACAAGTGTTTCAATAAAATTAGAACATTAATATTTAAGTGCATGGATTAATACAACTGAACTCATGCACTAGGAAATATGAAATGCTAGAACCAGACACAACTTTATGTATATATTTTTTATTTTAATTTGATTAAACTGATTTTTTCTTAACGTTCTTGGCATTTTGCCCCACACAAAGTTAAACAAAACAATGTTGATTAAGGTGTGTGTGTCTGAGGCGAGCTGAAGAAAACCTAGGGAAAACTGAAGAAACGTGAGCAACAGCGAGGTCCGTTACTGTCTGTGTGTGTGCGTGGATGAGCCGCACGGACTGCGCTCCCGGCCGGCTAGAGAGTTTCGTGTGTGGGGAGGGGCGGGCGCTCTATGTGACTTGCCAATCACAGAGTGTGAAGACAGTCAGTTACCCAATGAGGATTTTCCTTCAGCACGATTACAGATATTTACGAGGTTTACTCGTTTCATGCTCATATTCGTCAAAAATGCTGTACCCGTACCGACGAGTATCCGGCTCATCCCTATTTTCTACAGGCACGAAAGACCCATGACTCTCAAATATTGTTCAGAAGTCTTTCTACATGTGTGTTACTGAGCATGTTTCCCCTACCAAGATAGTCCATCCCACCTCACAGATGTGGCATATCAAGGGGCTGATAGACAGCATGAATAATGTACAGGTGTGCCTTAGACTGCCCACAATAAGAGGACACCCTGAAATGTGCATTTGACATGCTGACTGCAGGAATGTCTACCAGAGCTGTTGCCCGTGAAATAAATGTTAATTTCTCTACCATAAGCCATCGCCAAAGGTGTTTCAGAGAATTTGGCAGTACATCCAACCGGCCTCACAACTGCAGACCACATGTGACCACACCAGCCCAGGACTTTCACATTTAGCATGTTCACCTCCAGGATCGCCTGAGACCAGCCACCCAGACAGCTTTAGCAACAATCGGTTTGCATAATGTAAAGAATGGGTCGTTTACATCTTACTTATGAACCATAAAATATGAGATTCCATGGAAATATGAAATATCAATCTGATGGATCTTTGACTATTTTAACCAGAAGATCGGAACTTTTTATTGCAGGGATTAAGTGACACTTTGTATTAACTCCAAGGAAAGAGAGAGAGTCAGGTTTATAATAGTTAAGAAATTTTTTTCTACACAATTTAAACAAGACTAACTTAAACACTCTGTGTACTGATGGACTAAGGTGGAGTGAGACATGATGAATGATGATTGTGTGTGTGTGGAATGTTATTCAATTCAATTCAATTCAATTCAGAACCAGCGGATCCGGAGAAGCAGTTAGTTCTGAGTGGGAGTGAATGTTTCACTCTAAACTTTAGTAGGAGATTTATAACACACATGAAACGCCATCTGTCAGTCTAGATACCCAGGGGAAGCCTCCGTTAGATCCAGGATGCCAAGGTCCTTGTGGATCCTCTTTGGTACCAAAGCCAGTAGAAAAGCAGCGGTGCCGACCAAACTAGTCTTGGAATGCTTCCATGTCACAACAGGTTATCGCTGGCATCTCCGAGACCCTGAAGGGGTCGTGAGGTTCAGCTTTTATTCTGAAGGAACCATTACGGTCAGTTGTAACTTGCAACAGATTTTATCCAGCTTGTCAAGGTTCTTTTGGCTGAAGAGGAAGTCCAGATGGCCTGTCCAACACTTCTCTAGAACGCTTGAACTAAAGAAAAGGTGGCGTGGAATAGTTTTTATAATTGTCACATTTTGGTTTACTGGCGAATCAGAATTTGAAATGCAAAAGAGCGTTTATACAAACACCACAGATAACCACGCCTAGCCAGAAACAAAGGTTCTGATAAGATCAGAAAAAAAGGAAATGTGTCATGTGGATTTAGCATTATGTGTCATTAGTGTCTAGTGTAAATGTCCAAGATTATAATTACTTGTAAAATACTACTGATCACAGGATTACAATATCAAGTAATAACATTGTCATTTCACAAATTGATTGAACATTGGGCTCACATTATTATTGGTAATAACAAAGTTGTTGATTATGTTTTCATCAAAATAGTTCTTTGTCTTCATCTTGACAGAGGTGAAGCAGTTCAGATGAGCAGAGTGCATGAAAGACCTTGGCCACTATCTCATGTAGATTAGGCTGTCAGAGACTTTATGTCTCTGCTCAAGCAGACGCAGCAGATCATGACTTTTAGGTCAAAAACAGAACATTCATGACGCTAAAATCACCAGAGAATTTCTGCACAAACTGTCAGAAACCGTCTCAGGAAAGCTCATCTGCATGCTTGTCATCCTCATCGAGGTTTGGACCTGACTGCAGTCTTTTGCCGTGACCGACTTGAGTGGGCAAACATTCACATTCAATGGCGTTTGGCACATTGGAGAGGCGTTCTGTTCACAGATGAGTTTTCAATGTTTAGGGCAGGTGGCAGACTGCATGTGTTGCGTCATGTGGGTGAGCGGTTTGCTGATGCTATCGTTGTGGACTGAGAGGCCCATGGTGGCAGTGGGGTACTGGTCTGAGCAGGACTATGTTATGGACAACGAGCACAGGTGCATTTTATTGATGGCATTTTGAATGCACAGAGGTACCGCAATGAGATCCTGAGGCCCGTTGTTGTGCCATTCATCCACAACCATCACCTCATGTTGCAGCCTGATAACACACAGCCCCATATTGCAAGGATCTGTACACAATTCCTGGAAGCTGAAAACATCCCAGCTGTTGCATAGGCAGCATACTCACCAGACATGTCACCTGTTGAGCATGTTTGGGATGCTCTGGATCGGCATATACAGCAGCGTGTTCCAGTTCCTGCATATATTCAGCAGCTTCACACAGCTACTGAAGAGGAGTGGACCAACTTTCCACAATCAACAACCTGGTCAACTCTATGGGACAGAGATGTGTTGCCGTGTGTGATGCAAATGGTGGCCACACCAAATACTTACTGATTTTCCGCCCCACCACCCCCATAAAGCAAAACTGTAAACATGTCAGGGTATCCTTTTATTGTGGGCAGTCTAAGGCACACATGTACATTATTCATGCTGTCTGTCAGCCCCTTGATATGCAACACCTGTGAGGTGGGATGGATTATCTTGGTAAAGGAAAAGTGCTCACTAAAACACATGCAGACAGATTTCAGAACAGTTTTTGAGAGTCATGGGTGTTTTGTGTATGTGGATGAATTTTCAGATGTTTGAGTTCAGCTCATGAAAAATGGGAGCAAAAACAAAAGTGCTGCATTTATATTGTTGTTCAGTGTATAAAACAATCAAATGTTTTATGGGCTTTTTAAATACATTTGAAGCACAAGATGAGAGCTAATATAGTATAATGCATTTTTATTAAATATAACAAAGAAAACAATCCCCATATTTTATTCTTGCATGTGTTTTGTGTATTTTTAGTCAGGTTCAGTGCATGTTTCATTTAGATATAGAGTAGCATAAGTGAATTAATAAGTTGTTTTTGGTAGTGGAGAAAATACATGATCTAAAACGTTGCTTGGGTGATTAAATTCCAAAGCCTCAAGCAGCTGTCATGCTACTTCTAAAAAGAGTTGCTACTGGATGCATTCAGCATAAGTGCACCAACAAGCACACTGGAACCCAGCTGGTCTCCCATAGAAATCTCCCAGTTACCCTTTTTGTTTTGCCTATATGTCTAACCAGCTGTGCCCCCTCATGTCTCATTCTATCCAGATGTGGCATCAGTTTTCAAATCCATTGGATTTATTACCATAAATAGCAGCTCTGCATGCTGTGTGACACTTCCTATCACCACTAGGTGGTGGTCTAAGACCATCCACCTCAAAGCCTTGAGCACAAGTCCAGAGCCTGCAATGACATGCTTGAATGCAGCACTATTAGTTAATCCTTTGTTTAGTGTTAGCAGGCATCCTGTCTGTGTGCGTGTGTGTGCGTGTGTGTGTGTACTCTTGACAACACATCTTGCCCTGTAGGCTGCTCTTCCTCTGTTAAAGCGTCCTTCCTTAATTGCGGTGCTTATAATTAACTCTAAGAAAAAACATGCAAACGAGTTGTCTTGTGTGTTTGTGAGGTCTGTTTGACCTGTGCTGACACTGTACACATGCATTACTACGTTACTGCTTTTGTTGTTAATTGGCTTTCAAAACATCAGTTGGATTTTTTTTTATTGTTCTGGAATAATTCCATTAACTCAGCTTGTTATTTGTGTCTGCACAGGGACTCGGCCTTCCAGGTCTGGCTGTAAGTAGCATGTCTGCTGGTTTTGCTTTTTTACGAGTGGAAATTATTTCTACAATTGATGTTCTATTTTTGCATTAATCATCAATGCCATTGGCTACATAGGGTACTCCAGGACCAATTGGTCTTCCAGGTCAGATTGGACCACCTGGCCCAAAGGTAGGACAGCTGATCAGTTAAATATAAAACATCAATCACGAAAATCCTCATTGGTGTCCTTTTAATGGTAATCTTTTGTTGTTTCATTAATCCAGGGTATTCTAGGACCACCTGGACCTCCAGGAATACCTGGACCTCCTGGCAAACCAGTAAGTGTCCATCCAGGTGTAAGTGTTGTTGATGAAAGACCTTGGCCACTATCTCATGTAGATTAGCCTGTCAGAGACTTTATGTCCCTGATTGAGCAGACATAGCACATCATGACCTTTAGGTCAAAAACAGGACATTCGTGGTGCTACACCTGTTTGTCATGTGACACAGTTTCTATGTGCAGGTATGTGTTTTGTTTCTTAGCAAAACATCTCTTAAATTATTGGATTAACTTCAGTGATTTTTTTAATTGGATGCACATCTGGTTAACTTATAAAGTCAGCCAGATTCAAGATGGCCACCACAGTTAATTGACCAATTGAACACAAAAATGACAGAAACTCAGCCAGATTTACAGCCTTTGACATACAATCTGATGTTGTCGTAGCCAGTAAACCTCAGATCATTCATTAACCATGATGTGCTGCTAAACGGGACAAAGTCATATCTAAACATTTGGATGAAAACGACGTTAGCAGTTGTGTTATGGCACAAGCTAATGGGGACACATTGGGTTTAATAAAGCTTATGCTTCTAATGGTATGGCTGCAGCTGCTTAATGCTGCTAAAGGCACCTACAGAGTTAGAAGAAGGCAGTGACAAAGTACTAATGCCTTGCAGAATGTTTGTTTATTTCAGCTCATGCAGTAGTTACTGTGTGTTTTTAAATGCATGCTGTAGCTACCGCAGCCACAGCATGCTGCTTGCACAGGTTCCAGTAGACACAAGGTCTTGAGATTCTAAAAACACTTGTAAGACTTACTTTTTAAAGGCATCTGAACTCTTGAGTGTCTCAGTGAAGACGAGGATGGGAGTCATCAATGAGAGTGATGCTCCCAGCCCATAGGACTGTCTTTGTTTAGTTTAACTGCTGAGATCCGAGGACGCATAATCCCTCATCAGATCAGAGGGGTTTCTCATCTAACGGTTTCTGTAGATGCTTCACTTCCTAACTCCATTCAAAAATAGAGGGATGGTGGGGTTAGATGAACGACGGAGTGAGTGCTGGTTCAGCTTTGTGGAGAACGAGTGACCTTTTTCCAACCATGACCGGCAGACTTCTTTTCATCGATGTGTCCATTTTTTCATCTAGGGTCCTCCAGGAAAGTTTATTGGTGTTGAAGAAGGAAGCGCAGATTTCCAGGTAAGAGCACTTGCGTTTACCCTCTTACAATTGACTAAACAGCCAACGTGTTTGTGATCCAACTATTTGCTTGTCTTTACAACAGTGTCCTCTCAACTGTCCATCCGGACCTAAAGGCCCACAAGGACTGCAGGGCGTAAAGGTAAGGAGGATATCTGAAGATCTTTCTGCCATGACATTTATTAGACCTGTGTCTTCACCGAATCTTGTTTTCTAGGGACACAAAGGGCGTGCTGGTGTTCTCGGGGATCCCGGCAGCATAGGCAAATCGGTGAGACTCTAAGTACACACATGCACTCAGACAGCTGTGCATGTTTATGTTGTACAGTCTTGCACACTCAGCCACTGGTGAGGACCGGGAGAGGTAAGGATTAGTTCTAATGAAGCCCCCTGAGGCACATGACTGCACTAATCTGGCTGTGATTAGTCAGGCTGGGCCCCAGCCCTGCAGTCTGCATCACCTAGCCAGATGAAAGAGGGGGTGAGTGGCCAGGTACATGAAGGGGAGGATGAGAAAGTCAGGGTTCATGCAGACCTCTCACCTCGCTGTTTTAAGCAGAGCTAATGAGCACGCTGTGGGCTTCAGGGGAACGGCTAACCAAGCCAAAGGAGTTAGCCTCTGATCTTCCCACACAATGAACCTTCTGGCAGCACAAATGTGCTGGGAACATTCACAGCACACACAGTAACCACTCCTCATAAACTCAACTAGTTATTTTTAGAGGATCAGCCTAGATGCAAAGTTGCTCTGTCTTCTTCTTTCCTTTCTAGAGACATGCATCAGGAGCTGTTAGCATCTCTGCCTAAACCAGAACTCTGATGTTGGCAGTGGAAGCAGTTCTTTAGAACATCAGACCGAGGATGGGCGTGATAGGGGTTAAAGGGCAAAACAGACATCACTAAAAAGAGAGGGTGGTCTAACAGGGATGAGAATACTATTGATACACATATAGGGAAATACTTTGATTTTGGTGCTTTACTTGGGTTCAGAATTCTTACTGGTGCATGTTAAGCATTAACATGTTGGTTTTGGCTCTTGCGGCTGGTCATCATTGTTTGTCGGATTTACTTGTGAGAAATGATGACACCGTGCTAATCCATAGAACAGGAACTTGTAGCTGAGTCACAACCAACACACACTTACCAGCTGGACAGGCTACAACTGAGCCTGCCAGTCTGTTGGCAAAATACATGACTTTCAGAGAATAGAAATTCCACCTGCAACTGCAACGTTGGATCAACCCGATTCAAGATGGCCACCATGGCCAGTTAAGATTAGAAACGAAAATAGCCACAATTCAGTCAATTTAACCCTTTGATGCATGAATTATGAAATCTTCAACCATTATTTTTTAAACAATTTTTTTTAATTCATCTTTAGGTGTGAATGAAACAAATTTCAACAAATATTTTTGTAACATTTTGTTAATTTACAAATAATTTATTACATGTCCATCTCAGTGGACATCATGCATTCTGAACATGAAATATGTTGGCTTGACTTGCTGAAGCTCAAATGGAGAGGCTCACATGCAATAAAGTCCTCAACAGCTGTGCTTAATAGCAAAAATAAATAAATAACAATTTTGAGTACCTGTCCACTGTAGTAACCATTATGCATCAAAGGGTTAACAGCTCTTTAGGCAAATGTTGGTGCTGTACCATCAACCAGATCACGCTGAACTGATGCAAACACAGCTTACACACCACAGGGCAATGCAAGAGCTCAGGTTTATATCAACAAGGTAAAATCTTTGGGATCGTAAAACATATTTGAAAAACTCTACAAATATGCACTAAGGCCAAACTAAACTGTTCAAACACAAATATTCTTTCTGAGCTTGGAGGTCCAAGCTCTGAGTTTGCCTCATCCTTAGCTGATCCTAGTGCATTAAATTGGTCCTTGAACGCTCTCTGTTTAGTGTCATTTCTGATCACTCATCACTCTTTTTTAACATATCATGTGGGGCAGAACAACCAATTGTTCTATGTCCCTGAGGAACGGGTGCAGACATGCATCACCAACACAGGCCTGACAATCAGACAATTAGAACGCTCTGGTCCATTTACTCATTTAACAGACATGCACCTTAAAGTCCACGTGTTTCTGAGTGTGGAATTGGAAATGGGCCATTAATTTTTGATTAGCTTTCTCTTGCTGGCTAATTAGCTTCAGCTAGCTTCATATTATTTAGTTTGACTCAGCAAGTACACAGCACACAACCATCAAAGGCCAGTTAAGACATCAAACACAGTGATTAGTAAGTGGTTTTAAAAGTATTTTCTTGCTTAAAGTTTGAAATCAAATGTGCACACAAGACAGTGAAGGACCACCTTCAAGTTTGAACAACTTAAAAACTTATTTATCTGCCTTTGTCTTTTTTCTATACCAGGGACCTAAAGGAGAAGTTGGCATCTCCGGGGAGCAGGGAATCCCAGGGCCTCCGGTATACTGTTACATCAGCACTACTGGAACAGAAAACATTTTGTAAACGTTGAACCCTAAGATTGGTATTCGTGTCAGTGCAGTCTTTGATTGTCTTACTCTCCCTCTTAGGGCCCAATGGGTCTGAGAGGTTATCCAGGAATGATGGGTCCTAAAGGAGAGGCTGTGAGTGCCACATTGCTTCTTTCATTTTTACCAGAAAAAAACAATGTTGTTTTATTCTTTATATGTAAAATCATTTACTCCAGGAAAGCCCAGCCAGACCTGGTACTGCTATACAAACACCATCTATTACCAGCAATGGGGACATATGGAAATGACGCTAATGCAACCCCCCCCACCCCCACCCACCCCACCCCCCTCTCTCTCTAATGAGTTGGGGTTGCCTGGGTCCATTGTGTCTCCATCTGCACTTAATGATCCACTATAGCCATTCATCTTACTGTTAACATTAGCCAAGTTAGCCAAGTTAGCACCACGGCTTGTTGCCAAAACAAAAGTATCTGGCTCTCTTTGCAGTTCCCATTAGTGCAGTGAGTTAAGCTCTAATTATACCGTTATTGCAGTGAATAGTAGGCTTCTGCATCTCAGCCTTTGCCTGATCTGAGGTGATTGATTGTTCTTTGTGTTTTTGTGTGTGTGTGTGTGTTGCAGGGACCTCGTGGTTACAAAGGCATCAACGGACCTGTAGGAATTCCTGGCCCTCCTGTGAGAACACACACACACACACACACACACACACACACACACACACACACACACACACACACACACACACACACACACACACACACACACACACACACACACACACACACACAATTAGATAGCCAAGTCCTTTCTTGTGCATCTCAGGTTTTCTAAGAGGAACAGTCTATTTTTCTTTAGGGTGAGGAGGGACCTCAGGGACCACCTGGAGAGCCAGGAGACAAGGGAAACAAAGTGAGAGACTCTTCTTGTGGTTTTTAAGTTTTTGCTATAATAGAAATATTCTTTAAAACTTGAACAGGGAAACTAATTTACTTTTCACTGAGGAACGTGTGCCCTACATCTGCAGGGCAGCCAAGGCATTCAAGGTCCACAAGGTGCTGTTGGCAAAAAAGGAGAAAATGTGAGTAAAGGATGAGCTTTTTAAATAATTTGACAAATGAAAACCATAAAGTGATTTATTGGCCATTTCAGGGTCTTCCAGGTATTGATGGAAAAGATGGCACTCCTGGTGTTCCCGGAATTAAAGTAAGCAAATATTAGGAATAACTTAGTTCAATGTTCAATTCTTTGATATCACGTTTGCTGTTTTGTACACAGGGTGCTCCTGGTCAGTCTGGACTGCCCGGTCCTCCTGGTCCCCAGGGGACAGCAGTAAGTATTTTTTTATTAGGTTTATGGAGGGAGGTGGATAATAGAGAGCCTTACTCTTCTTCCCTTCCGGTTGGCTCATGGGTCTTCAGAAAATTTATAAAAAGACTGTAAGTCAACGGGGCTCTAAACTGGTCTGTTTGGTCTGAATCAAACACATGTTGTACTTCAATTTAAACAAAAAGTAGAGATGTAAGTTTCAACTATGTCTGCCACATACTTTCTGATTTATTAGCTTGTAAAACTTGGTCAATAAAAAAGACTACAAGTCAGATGTTGCATAAATGACGTCACAGCAGAATCTCCTCCCCGAGAGTAGCTGCTGCTCTTCACATGACCAGATTTATAGTGGCTCTCGCCACTTTCCATCCTTGAAGAAGGATGTGAAGCTGGTTAAACTCACAGTCCTTCTCTTCTTTTCCGTGTCTGGTTTGATGACATCAGTTTGGTGGGACTGGCATTTGTAGTTCGTTACGTCTTTTCACTCAAATCCTACACTAACTTTTGCTGCCATTTGAATATAAACACTTTGATGGCATCAGAAATAGGTCATTAAATTCAGAGACATCCATGACACATATCAGACGGGATCAGAACCTAACCTTGATCCTGTCGTAGACTCCCATTCATTTTTCTGGCAGGTGGGGACCCGTGGTCTGGAAGTATAGGGTCCCTATAGTTTGTATGCTTATGTCGCACATGCTAATCTGGTCTAAGTAATAGTGCAATGAAGCAGAATCAAACAATGGAGGCCAGCTATAAGTTGTGGTTTAACAGCAGCTATGAGACACATGCTGTTTTAGAACAAAAACCACCTTGAAACAGCGTTCTTCTCCCTCTGCAGAGCATTAATCACAATCAGACCAGTGGGAAAACATAAAGTGTGTGTGTGTGTGTGTGTGTGTGTGTGTGTGTGTGTGTGTGTGTGTGTGTGTGTGTGTGTGTGTGTGTGTGTGTGTGTGTGTGTGTGTGTGTGTGTGTGTGTGTGTGTGTGTGTGTGTGTGTGTGCATTATTTTGACTAACGGTAATGGAGCATAAGATGCACTCTTGTGTGATCACTGCTGTGACACTAACACTGCTGCAGACTCAATCGCTGGAACTTAGCCACCTTTATGTCCTCTCTCTCTCTCTCTCTCTCTCTCTCTCTCTCTCTCTCTCTTATTGTTTCTTCAAGCATCTAAGCTACCCACCTTACCACCCACCTCCAGCACTCTCACTGTCGTTTTCAGATGCAATCACACCTGCACTTTTAAATTTACTCTTCATTCTCCCAAACTGGGCTGGGTGGTGGAGATGCAGATGCCGTTTTGTTTTGTATAAGCTTGTCTTAATAATTCTGTCTGCAGGGATTACCTGGTTCCCCAGGAGCAAAGGGAGAAGCAGGAGTTAAGGTACCACATTGGTTTTTTGTTTACCAATTTAAACTTTAGTCTGTTTTTTTTTCTTCCTTATAAATCCACACTCTGTCCTTGACAGGGCGAGCCTGGTCCTAGGGGTCATGCTGGCAGGGCTGGTGCTCCTGGACCTTTGGTAAGTTAGCTATGAGTGTGTAGTAGCAGCCTAAGATGTACTTATTCATTGCCTCACTCGTAGGGAGAGCCTGGTATTCCTGGTGAGGCTGGAATGGAAGGAGTCCCTGGACCCAAGGTAAAGCCATTAGCATTGCTATAAACATTAAAACCTGTAATCTTAGACCAAATAGACCTAATTCAGTTGAACTTTGCAGGGTGACAGAGGCCAAAGAGGAGCAGTTGGCTCACAGGGAGAAGTCGGCATGCCTGTAAGTTGCTTTATAGTTTCCTCAAAGTCCTTTTGAACTAAAAACAGGATGTGCATTTAACATTATTGTTGTTCAACAGGGAAGCAAGGGAGAACGAGGACCTACTGGTGTCCCAGGACCACAGGGGCTTACTGGAACTCAGGGAGACAAGGTATCTGTGGTTTTGCACACGGGAAGTGCATCTGTTATAAGGTAGTGTAGTTCAGCAGACCTGCCTATTGGGGGCAGTGTTTACCTGCGGATAAAACCCTGTTTGAATCCACAGTAGATCATTGAATAAGAAAAGCAATATAAATGATAATCCAAGCTTTCTCATCTTCATTGTCTTGGAGACAAGACAACATTTTTCTTACTTTGCAATCACCAGTGTTGCTGCCCTCAATCAATTATTAGTGCTTGTGCTTTGTAAAGCATAATATATTCTGGATTTGACCACATTTACAACTGTCTCTTCTCTCAGGGCTTCCAAGGCAAAGTCGGTGCAAAGGGGGACATAGTAAGTAGCCCTTTCCGCTTTCGTCAACAAAGTTGTCCTCAACAGAAAACCTGAAGCTCTACATCCTTGCTGCAGTCTCCCCCTCATGCTCTGTTTCGTTGCTTTCAGGGCGATCCTGGCGTTGAGGGATTGGCTGGTGAGAAAGGCGAAAAGGTAAAAATGATTAAAAGCTAAGCTAGAGCTGTTTCAAACTTCTAAATAACCACAGCAAAGGCTCTCAATCTAAAACTTTCAGACTTAAGATAAGAAGTTGGTTCCAAGCTGAAAGATATTTAGTGCCAAATGTTTGAATAATGCCAAGGCTGAGCAGAAGAGGTTTTAAACGTGCATGCATATCTGTGTGATGCTAGTGAGTAAGCTGTGAGACAGTAAAGAAGGATGCAAATTGATTCTTTGAAACTGCATTTCAGAATTCATAACATTCCTTCTAGAGTTATTGCTGAATGAGTGCATTTGAAGCGTTGCTTTTTGACTGTGTTGGTAACACCTGTCTGCTGTAACAGGGCATATCTGGAGAACCTGGACCAAAAGGACAGGTGAGACAGCTACCAGGAAGAAACAAGGTGGCCACGGATGTGTGTTGTGCATGTCTGTAATGCTGTTCCCTTTGCAGCAAGGAATCAGGGGTGACCCTGGGCACAATGGACCCACTGGGGACTCGGGTAAACCAGGAGACCAAGGACCACCTGGAGTACCTGGTCCAAGGGGGCTTAATGGAGAGCGAGGAGTACCCGGCATGCCCGGCATCCAGGGTGCAGCTGTGAGTCCAGATCACTTTTCATCACAGAAGGAATGTGTTCGGTTTTAAAATCACTCCAGCTCTCATTTCTGTCTCCCTCCTGTCCAGGGACGCGATACGTCAGACCAGCATATTGTTGAAGTGGTTCTAAAGATGCTGCAGGGTGAGCATGCCAACGTGAATATCAACCTTTGATGTATGCAGGGTGGATTAGATTGGATCATTTTCCACAACGGTTTTCATCTCCTGAGCAGTCAGTTGCTGGCTATGAAAGGTTAATAAAACATGATGTTTGCTGTGCTTTTTGTTTGGTGCAGAGAAGCTAGCAGAAGTGGCAGTGAGTGCCAAGAGGGCTGTGCTTGGTGGGGCAGGTGTAATGGGACCCCCTGGGCCTCCTGGACCTCCAGGATCACCTGGTTCCCAGGGTCCACATGGTTTACCAGGTGCTCGTGGCATCCCTGGTATTATTGGAGCAGCTGGACAGATTGGAAACACAGGACTTAAAGGTAAAAATGACATCACAGTGATGTGTTTGTACGTCCCAGTTGGGTTTTATGAACGTCTTCATTTGTTCGGTCCTCCCTAGGAAAGAGAGGGGCAAAGGGAGTTAGAGGAGATCCAGGTAAACCTCACCCAGGACAGCCAGGACCTCCCGGAATACAAGGTAGGAACTTCTTTCTCCATTAGAGTTGTGCGCAGGGTACCAAAACACTCTCCACACACATTTAGGTTAAGGGCAGAAAATCTCCAACTATAAAGGAAATAAAATAAGTAAGTAGCAAAGTAAAATAAACCCTAAATTTCTCACGTGTGTTTCTGTTAGCGTGAACAGGAGATTCTGTGTTGTTATTCAAACACATCTCTGATTTTCACGATGGCATCAGTAAACCCGTATCTGTGTGACAAACATTTTGCTTTTAGTTGTATGTTGTAGGCAAGAGGCTGATGTGAGTTTACTCACAATTTCACCTAAAAACAAAGTAACATGGGCTTTGTCACAGCCCGATGCGGTGAAGTCAGATGGATGTGAGACGGATGGTTAAGAGCTGATTCACTGAGAAATCTTTTTTACTTCGTCATTTGAAACGTTATTGGTCACTCTAGGTTCAGCATGCAGGCAGAATGTGAAAATGGTCTTCTACCCTTGATAAGTAAACGAAGAAACTCTAGGATTAGAAAGGTCACTCTTTTTACCATGAAAAACTAACATTCATGAACTCACCCATCTTGGCTCAGGACGGGAAAGGCTGTTGTTGGTTTAGCGTCCCAGAAACAGCAGAGAACGTCTTAGCTGGTGGAAGCTAACTGTTACCATTAATAACTCCACCACATAGCAGAACTCCTCCACACGTGTTGTTTGTGGAGCTAAAACATCAATGTTGCAAATAGAGTAAGTGGTAGAGTTTTTTTTACTGTTAGCCAATCAGACGAGAGATGTCCAAATATCAGGAAGTAAGACTAAAGATCCTGTCATCTGAAGCTCAGCTCTGCTCTGGGTCACATCCATTTCCTGAGACAGGAGATCTGTAGAGACTCACTAGACACTCATTTATACTAGAGACCACTGCAGACATGCTGAAAAAAAACAAGTAAACTTGGCTATTTCGTTTGGTGACATCAGAATGGGACCTGATATGTGATCCAAACCACTGGGCCAAGGACTGGCACCAGTCCAAGGTTTGTTTGGTACTGGGGTAAAGAACCGTCAGAAGAAATTCCATAGTTCAAAAAGAAAATGCAATGCAGGGTATAAAATGTACTGACATCTCATATTGTGACCATAATAGAAATGATGTACATGATATATTTATGTTATAAGTTTAATTATAAAGATTTAAGGTCGGAACGTGTTTTGCCACGCTTGTGATCAGGGGTGCCATATCATATATATTATATATCTTCATATATTATATGGTTTAAAAAATGGTTTAAATTTTTTTTTCCAGTCGTTCAGGAAAATGTGGTAATCAACAACTGTTAATAGCTCTCCATACAGAGTTTTACTGTTTGTGTAGAAAGTTCTTTGGGTCTGTACCATGTAAAATTGTTTCTGAGTGTGTGTGGTACGCACAATGATATCCACAGTCTGTGCAACTCAGTAAATCCTTAGATATTCTTTAAAGGTTATTTTGAAACCTCTTTGTTGCACTTTGCTTTTGTGCCGCATCTCTTCTACCTCAGAGTAACATAAAAATGAGCATTGTCCTGCATGTATTCCGTTTTTTATTGATTTGTTAAAAAATGTTCATTAAAGGGAAAAAAGGTGGATTTAGAAGGCAGAAGTAAGGAAGGCAAAGAGGAGAATAAGTACTGGAAGGACTTGGCATTACATCTTTTGCCACAGGAGAGGCTGCTGAAAGGAATTTTAAAGGCATCATTAACTCCAGTCATTTAGCAGATGCTCTTGAATGAGAGAGTGAAAGCATTGCAACTGTAGTTTAAACACACTGTATGGACAAGTATGGTAAATAGGCTAGGATTGTCATGGTCTGCGTCCTGCGTCCCCCTCATGTGTTCTTCAGCCCCCATCTAGGTTCCCGTTATGTGTCTCCTTGTGTTCCTCATGTCCCTCATTACGTTCCCCAGCTCACTCCAGGTTCTCCCCTTAGGTTTCTGTGCCCTTTTAGGTCTCCAACCACTCCAGGTGTCCTTCTACGATCCCCCTCATGTGTACCCAATCTTCTTGTGCCCCTTTTTTTCCCCAGCTCCCTCCCGGTCTCCCTCAGGTCTCCCCAGTCACCCCTCTGTAGTTTTCTATAGGTTCAGCTTTTCATGTTATTAGTCTCCTTTAGTGTTCTTTGGTTCCCCTGTGCCCTTAGTCTTTTAAGTTTATTATTTATTTAGAGATTTTTAGGTTAGAGTTTATCCCCTCTGCTTGGTTTTCCCTTCCCATTTAGTTAATTGATTTCACCAGTCTCCCCTCAGTTCTCTCTCACCACGCACCTGCTCCTCATCTCCCAATCACCCAGTCACTGTGTAGATAACCCTGTCTGCAGTGTTTTGTTGGTTCCTCCTCATGACAATCTAGGTTTTGTTCATCAAAGAGCGTTTTGTTTTTGTCAGTCGGGTTACTGACTTTAGGCTTGGCTTCCTGCCCCTTTTTGGATTTTTGGACATTGACTCCTAATAAAAGGATTTTACGGTTTACTACGCTCCTGCCTTGTGTCGTTCTGGGTTTCTGTATCTTGGGTCCTGACCTCCTCCTGGCTCAAACGTGACAGAATGGATTGACCACACCAGGACCCAGCAGAACCTCCAGGTTCACCAACACCTTCACCTGGTCCCAAAAGTGTCATCTCCACCTCATCTCGACGACGACGTCGCCATTGTCGCCAGCAGCCTCCTGAGGGCAGAGCTGCGCCATCAGCCCAGGTGTTGCCAGCCTTAACTGAGGAGGCAGTTAGGTGGATAATACAGAAGTTTGAGGACTCTCTCTGGGTAATCTTTACCGGACCATTATGCCCCAGCCAACGACTGCGGGTGGCTGAGGGGTTGGATGCCATCTTTTCCACCCATCCGGAGTTGACAGCGGTTCCAGCCCTTGGTAAGCATTACGTTTATGTCCGGAGTGTTTATGGGTCGGCACTTGAGGATGTCCCCGCAGAGGGTCTGGCCTGCTGTGAGGGATGGACACCTTCCCCAGAATCCTCCAGCACCACGCCAGGTCCAGCGGTGGTCCCAGAGGTCGAACTGCATCCAGGTCCAGCGGTGGTCCAAGGGGTCGCACCGCATCCACGTCCAGCAGTGGTCCCACCTCAGTCTCTCCAAGAGGCTCTGGTCCAGCCTGTCCAAGAGGCTCTGGTCCAGCCTGTCCAAGAGGCTCCGGTCCAGCCTATCGAAGAGGCTCCAATCCAGCTTGTCCAAGAGGCCCCGGTCCAGCCTGTCCAAGAGGCCCCAGTCCAGCCTGTCCAGGAGACTTTGCCTGTCCAAGAGACTCCGCCTCCAGTCAAGTCAGTGCCACATCCGGCATCTCCAGTCAAGTTGCCCCCTCCAGAGTCTTCACTCCCTCCAGCTTCTTCGCCCCCTCCAGCTTCTTCGTCCCCTCCAGAGTCTTCGTCCCCTCCAGAATCTTCATCCCCTCTTCCTCCAGTGTCTTCGTCCCCTCTTCCTCCAGAGTCTTTGTCCCCTCTTCCTCCAGAGTCTATGTCCCATCTTCCTCCAGAGTGTACATCCCCTCCGCCTCGAGAGTCTTCGTCCCCTCCGTCTCAAGAGTCTTCGTCCCCTCCGCCTCTAGAGTCCTCGTCCCCTCAGCCTCTAGAGTCTTTGTCCCCTCTGCCTCTAGAGTCTTCTTCCCCTCTGCCTCTAGAGTCTTCGTCCCCTCTGCCTCTATAATCTTCGTCCCCTCTGCCTCCAGAGTCCTCAACGTCACCTCTTCCTCCAGAGTCATCAATGTTCCCTCTGCTGCCAGAGTCCTCGGCATCCCCTCTGCCTCCAGAGTCCTCGGCATCTCCACCCTACAAGTCCATCTTTGGCAGCAGTCACCGCCGTCCCGGTCCTCGCCTGTCGCCTTCTGTGCCCCAGACGCCGGCTCCCCAGACTCCGGATCCCCCGCCTGAGTCTCCGGTCCCCCAAGGGCCCCCGGATCCCCTGCCTCTGTCCCAGGCCCATCCTGGTTCCCCGTTGCCGGCCTCCGAGACTCCCCTGGTCGCTGGTTCCCCATCTCCTCCAGCTTCATTGGCTGCCAGTCAACTTCAGGGTTCATTTCAAGATCCTGGTTCTGGTCTATAGGGCCTTGCATGGACAAGCACATCTTACGTTGGTGAACTTCTTAGTCCCTATACCCTCAGCAGGTCCTTGAGGTCCAGTGATCAAAGCCTACTGGTTGTGCAGCGCACCAGGCTAAAGACCAAAGGTGACAGATCATTTGCTGCTGTGGCCCCCAGACTCTGGACCTCTCTCCCCCTGAGCCTGAGATCAGTGGTCTCCTTTAAAAAGCAGCTGAAAAGTCTTTTGTTCAAAGTGGCCTTTGTATGACCTTCTTCACCACTCTCTCTTTATTCTGCTCTCCCCACCTATTCCACCTTCCTCAGGATCAGCTGATTTCCCTCTTTCCTATTCACTCTCTCTTTCTTAACATTTTTTTTTATCACAAGTGTCTATTTTTGCTCATTTTAAATATATTTTTTACCATTTTCTAAATTATTTTTTATATTTTTACATTTTTTGTTTTTGTGAAGCGCCTCCTGATTTTCATCTTGAGAGGCACTATAGAAATGATATTTTCTTCTTCTACTTCTTCCATTGCTGGCCTCCCAGACTCCCCTGGTCCCTGGTCCCCCGTCACCGGCCTCCCAGACTCTCCTGGTCTCTGGTTCCCCATCGCCGGCCCCCCTGACTCTCCAGGTGCCGGCCTCCCTTAGTCCCTCGTCGCCGGCACCCCTCACTCTCCAGGTCCCGGCCTCCCTTGGTCCGTCCTCGCCGGCCCCCAGACTCTCCAGGTCCCGGCCTCCCTTGGTCCCTCGTCACCAGCTTCCCCCCGGACTCTCCTGTGTTTTGGTCCCCCCTCGCCCGCCCTTGTGGGTTGTTTTCTGTTTGGTCCCTCCTCTCCCGCCCTGTGGTTCCTCGTATCCTGTTTTTGTCCCTGTTTTCTATCTGTGGCTTTGTCTTTTCCGTGTCTTTTGTGCATCTGGTATCCGCCCTTGTTTGGGGGGTACTGCCATGTTCTGTGTCCTTGTGGTCCCCAGCCCCCTTCAGGTTCCCTCATGTGTCCCCTTGTGTTCTCCATCCCTCTCTATGTTCCCCTTATGTGTTTCCTTGTGTTCCTCATGTGTCTCCTTGTCTGCGTCCCCCCTCAGGTGCCTCCTTGTGTTCCCCAACCCACTCCAGGTTTTCCCCTTAGGGGTTCCCCTTAGGTTTCTGTGCCCTTGTGGTCCCCAGTCCCCTCCAGGTTTCCTCTCAGGTTCCCTTCTAGCCACTCCCTGTAGTTTTCTATAGGTTCAGGTTTTCATTAGTCTCCTTTAGTGTGTGTGTTTTCCTCCTCCACTTGTTTATTTCTCCCTCACTCCTCGGATCTTTAGTTATTTATATTTTGGTTCTTCTGTGCCCTGAGTCTTTTAGGCTTATGTATGCAGTCTCATAGGTTATGGCTTATTCCCCTCCTCTGCTTAGTTTTCCCTTCCCATTTTGTTTATTGATTTCATCAGGCTCTCCTCTGGTTCTCTCTCCCCACGCACCTGCTGCTTGCTTCCTAATCACCCAGCCCCTGTGTATAAAACCCTGTCTTGTCTCTCAGTGTGTGTCTGTCCAGTGTCGTTGGCAGTGTTGTTCTGTTCCTCCTCGTGATGCTCTAGGTTTTGCTCATCAAAGAGCTTTTTGTTTTTGTCACTCGGGTTACTGACTTAAGGCTTGGCTTCCTGCCCCTTCTTGGATTTTTGGACATTGACTTCTAATAAAAGGATTTTACGTTTTACTACGTTCCTGCCTTGTGTCGTTCTGTGTTTCTGCATCTTGGGTCCTGACCTCCTCCTGGCTCAAACGTGACATTATGGTAGCCTGCGCTCATGTGAAGTTCCAACATCTATGAAAGCTGCAGTGGTCAAGTCAATGTTGAAGAAGTCAGGCTCTGACAAATTAAAGGCCTATTTCCAAGTGTCTTTTTACCTTTAAATCATTGGAAAAAGTTGTCTACCATTGGCTGGTTTGACTTAGATCAGGGTTTCTCAACCCTGGTCCTCAGCGCCCCCCTTTCCTGCATGTTTCAAGCACACCTAATTTACATAGTTGAATAGCCTCCTCAGGAGGGCATCAAGTGCTGCAGGAGCCTGCTACTCGGCCATTAATTTGAGTTAAGTGTGTGGCAGTAGAGAAGCAGTAGTGTTTGAAAGGGCAACATGAAAAAGATGTAGGACAGGGGGGAGCTGAGGACTGGGGTTAAGAAACCCTGATTTAGATCATTCTGGTAGGTTTGAGACATTTCAGTCTGGATTTAGTGCTGCATTTAGCACCTGTTAATTGTGTTGAATGATGCCTTCATAGCTATGAATCAGGGTGCAGCTGTGGTACTGCTGTTATTGGACTTAGCAGCAGCCTCTGACATGGTTGACTATGACATTCCGTTGGATTGCTTGGAATGGGTGAAAATCACTGGGTCAGCCCTTGAATGGTCGCACTTCCTCGGCAGGAGGTTTTATGTTATGTTGGACAGTGCTGCTTCCCCCTGCAGCGGGGGAACCACAGGGTTCAGTCCGGGGCTCACTCCTCTTTGCCATGTATTTCTCCCCTTAGGAGTACTCCTAGGAAAACATGGCGTTAAATTTCATCTGTATGCATGACTGCCAGATTTGTGTCCTGAGACTGGAAGGTCCATTTCTAAGCTCCTGACCTGTCTGGATGAAGTTAGGTTCTGGCTTACAGCTAATTACCTACATGTTAATGAGAACTAACTAAGCTTATTACATTCCTCTCTACTAGCAAAGGGGCTGTGAGCTCTGCTCCTGGTTTGGATGTCCTGACACCCTGCCACCAGTCAGTTGTCAGCACCCTGGGGTGAGACTGGACTCAGGACTCACATCAATATGTTTATGAGAGCCTGCTTGCTCCACTTGAGTTGACTAGCTAAAATGGAGCTGTTGTCTAGAGCGCATCTTGAGTCTGTACTGCATGCATTTGTCTTATCCAGGCTGCTATTTGCTGGGCTGAGTCAGGCGGCACTGAAACGGTTACAACTGACAGGGACAAGGAAAACGGCACACATTACACCTGTGCTGGCTCCATTACACTGGCTCCCTGTAGGTTATCGGGCCAAGTTTAAAATTATGTTGTGTGTGTTCTGGTCTCTCCATGGTTCTGCCTCACTGTACCTGGTTGGGTTTCCACAATGGCCTACCCCTTCATGCTCCCTACGCTCACCTGAGCGGGAGTTGCAGATTGTCCCACTATCTAGGTACAGGTTCAAGGGGTGATGGGGCTCTTTCTGTCTTGGTCCCTATACTCTACACTCCTACAATCACCATGTGCTATCAAACAGTCACCATCACTACAGGTCTTCAAGAGTTGCTGGAAGACTCCTTTTTATCATCTGACTTTTATGCATTATGGGTTTTGACTTTTTATCAGTCTCTGTTTCAGCATTTTGGTACATGTGGTATGCTGCTTTTATGTGTTTTATTGTTCTCTGTTCCTTTGTGGTTTATATGTCATGTTCAGCACGTTAGGCTTTCATAAAGGCAGTGGAATGTGCTTTACAAATTTTATTTGAACGATTGATTGATCAGAATTAATCTGACTGATGAGATATATTGATCTCCAGGGGAAAAAACCCCTCTAAGTTCTAAAATGATCTATCCACAGGTGCTCCTGGTGTTGATGGTGTTGCTCGAGATGGCAGACCTGGAGAGAGAGGACCTCAGGGATCAGCTGGAGAGGCTGGGCAACCCGGTAAGGCAGGGCCTCCAGGGCTTCCAGGGTTCTGCGAGGCAGCGATGTGTCTGGCTGCATCGGCATACACCTCGCCGAGATTACAGGAGGCGGGAACGATCAAAGGACCCAGTGTTTAGAGAGCTGCCTCTCCATTAGCAGCTCGCAACACCCAAGAGAGAGGGAGAGGAGAGAAAAGAGAGAGAGAGACCACTTATTTCTGTTGGACAACATCAAGAGCGAGAGGTGGGGGCAGTGACAATGCCATGACTGGATGTTTAGCCCCCTCATGCCTGCTGGATTTGACAACTGGAAGTTTTGACTGGTGGGACACGATGATCTTAATCTCACACATCACCATGACAACAGCATCTCACAGCCACCCACAGGCTTTAAAATTCTCCAACGTTTTTGGATGACGCCAGTGTCAGTCCCATCCAAATATCATATCAGTGTTCGAGCAGTGAGACAGGAAGAGATTCAGGTTGCATCTCCTGGTCTACGACCTGAAAATCAGACACCATGAGGGGCTTTTTCACACCGCGGTCCTTTTTAATGGCCACATGTTTATGCAATAGTTTGTGTTTTAAACCCTTAAAGATGAACAAAAGGACAAACAAACAACAGCAGCCTAATTTTTGCTCAGTGCTGTTTTATAAAATGTATCTTTTGATCAGAAAGCTTGAGTGAAATTCATTTAACTCAACCCCCCCTCCAGTCCCAACGCCTGCTTGCTACCTAAGTCTCATTTTAGAAACTAACGACTAGCTTTATCTCTTCCTGCTGTTGCATGGCAACAGCATATCCCAACGGGCACTCCCATCTCCCACAATGCAGTGCTGTAAATCTTTGTAAATGTGTGTTGATTATTATGTGCAGAAAAAGGAATGGGTTACGATAGGCACCAACAAACATCCTGTGTTAATGGAAATGGTGAGTAATGTGCAGCTCCTGCAGAAATAACGAGTTTTCTTCAGAACAAATTAGTTACCAGGTCACTTGTGCTTTCTATGCCACTGTCATCTTCCCAGGAGAAAAATGATTTATTTCATTCAAAAAAACTATTTATTGCCTTCATGTAATCATTTGTTTCCCTAAAGCTGTGGTTTTTGGATCTTCAACTCATCCCAAACCAATAAAGAGGAAATTTTTGTAAAAGTCAATGTTTTTTTCTAATCATGTTGGGGCATGAATCATCATGTAGATTATTTTATTTCTGCCAATAACCTATAACAGTATCAGTTAATGCATGTAAATAAACTCCCTTGCTGCACATTTTTATCTTTAATCTATATTTCTGCATTTTATGAGATTTGACATCAAATGTATAGTGCATTATAAATAAAATTTATTATTATTATCATTATTGTTGTTTCCAGGCCAAAGTTGCTCAGAACGTTTCACCAGTATGTTTATGTTTATGTTTATTCATTTAGCAGACGCTTTTATCCAAAGCAACTTACAATTTATAACCTATAGGGCATGTTGTGATCTGTGGGGGAAACCGGAGTACCCGGAGGAAACCCACGCATGCATGGGGAGAACACGCTACTCCACGCAGAAAGGCCGCAGCCCAGTTTTGAACCTGCAACCTTCGTGCTTTTTAGGCAACAGTGCTAACCACTGCGCCACCATGCAGCAGTGTAAATATAAAAAAAATTGTAAATATTAAAAATAGTAAATACCACTATTCATCCAGAGTATCTTACTTTCATTCATTTCACTGTAAAACTGCAGTGAAATACGGAATTTAAAACATGTTAAAGGTTTACTCTCCGTACGATGCTGATCGGTACACGATTGTAGACCAGAACCAGAGTGATAAGACAACCTGAAAGGGACAGTAAACATGTTTAAAGACACCAACAAAACTTTAAAGAAGGAAGAATCACTGAAAAACAACAAACTGCAAAGTTTCTTTGACACCCAAACCATCTACAGGCAATAATGTGAATATATATATAATCAAACAGGCAAACCTAAAAGCACCCAAAACAAATTCAACGATAAAACAACCACAAAAACTACAGTAGAACCTTTAAAAATCCCCAAACTACAAACATCTACTCCCCAACGATGAAGCTTCCATCAACACCTGTAAAGAGACTAAACTACACTCTGAATAACCAACAGAAACTACATTTACTAATAGAAAATTACAAAGTGGCACTGAAAGTCCTAAAAACATCTAAAGTAATTGTGATGACAAAGAAGTCCAAACAGGAAGGCTACTGATACGATACGGAGACATGGAGACAAACCAAGACACCAACAGGTCAACAGCTGTACTAAACCGTAGCTACACAACTAAAGCTCTGCTGTGAGGGACGATCGGCCTTTGAAACACGGGTCCAGTCACCCAGCATCTCATTAACTTGCGCTTTGAGAAAAATCTGGAGAGTAGCTGACACAACGCAGACCAAAAACACTAATTAGATTTTTAAAAAGAGAACAAGAGATGCAGCTTCCATGAAAAGCTTTTATTAGTTCAGGTTAACATCTGCGAGGAAAGGTTCCTCTTTAGAGAAGCTGGTTTGACTTTGGCTCAAAGTTCAAACTGTCAGACAAAATAGAGGAAGTGAGTTTAAACTCTGTTATAAATAAAAACAAAGCTGAAATGAAACACACTTCATTTGTAACACCAACAGGCTGTGATGCTTAGCAGAGGAAACAAGGGCCACCAGTTTTAAAGGAAAAAGGCGTGTCACCTGTTATTAGAACTGGTCTGGAGTAAAGAGGAATGACTAAAACGGCTTCAGATCCTGGTGTTTCCTGTATGCATCTAAACGTCTTTAATAAATGTTCTGCCTTTATTGGACATGTTATTCAATTTAACGCTTAAAGAATTTGTAAGGAAATATTTCTTTAGGACCTGTTTCACCATCGCCACTAAAAACGAGCTAATAATTAGCATGGCCAATATCAAAAACTTCTAAAAGTATAAAATTCCGATATATATATATACACACTTATAAATATGTACAAAACAGCCCATCAAGGAGGGCAGGCACTGCAACGTTGGCTTTAATGGCCTCCAGGGTCAATTCAAATGTGTAATTCTGGGAAGACTGAGCATGATGCAGAATGGAAGTGAACAGAGATGGGAGCGATGGGAGCAAACAAAAACAGTCTGGCTAACTCATCTTACAGATTCAGAGGAAAAAAAATAAGGACCATTAAAAACAAACGTTTGAAAGAAATGAAGGCAGAGGAAATGTTTGACTGTTACCTTCCTGGAGACCAGAAAAACACTTTAAACAAAGACTAGATGGAGACAAAGCAAAGAGTTAACATCCAAGGTGAAAGGAATGCTGGATGAAAGGTGATGGCCGCTGTGTGTTTGTGGGCCTCAGGTCCAGCGGGCCCTTTTAAAAACTGTTCTCAGATCTTTAGTCAAAGTCTTAAAGGGTAAGTCCATCAGTCCAGCACCAAAAGCAGCTTCTTTTTTCAATCTTGGGTCAGATGAAGCATCTCATTTTGATCTTTGGCTTCTCCATAAACCGTAGTCTCTCTGCACCCATCCTCTAGTTCTCTACCAGGGGCCTTTGATAGGTGGGCCCTTGGGGCTGTATTCTACTTGATGGCTCATACAGTCTCCAGGATTACATCGCCCATCCTTTCCTTTTACTCCAGGTGGTCCTTGAGATCCTGGGATCCCAGGAACACCCTGCTGGCCAACAGGACCAGGGGGTCCTGTTTTGCCATAGCCTGGGGGGCCCGGAATACCTGGAAGGAATAAAAAAATCAAAACATATTAGGTGTCTCCAAATCCCTCTTGAGAGAAATATCTGCATCTCCATTATTGGTTAATGTGTCTCAGAAGTTTGTTATTTTTGACATGATTTGACCAACGTTTGATCTGTTTGTGTTTTATTATTAAAACCCAACACATCCTGGAGCTGCATGAAATCTTAAATTGAGACAAGAAATATTTTAAACCAACTGCGGCTCTTTATATTGGTTCAACTTTGGTCAAATTCCAGCTTTAAAAGAGCAAGAAGGAGAAAATAGTCAAATAAATAAAAGCATCCTTGTTGTTCTTTGAAAAACTATTTTTAAATGAAACCTCAAAGGCACCACAGAGACTTCCTGGATTCTGGAGTTCAAATAGAGCAACATGTAAACCACTCACACACGCATGAGCATCATCTTTTATTAATGATTGTTTCAGAAACGCTGAATGAATGGACTTCTGTTCATGCAGACACAGAGTGCCTTTTTAAAACTGTAAACCAAACAAATGGCTCCATGCAAAGCGACTGCAGCTGCTGCTTCTCTAGTTTAATGAATGCTGTCTGAACTCTGGGATGATTTAGGAATCTTGGATGTGCTGATTTGGCTGGAATGAATTAGGCTGGTAATTGTGATTAGGACAAACTGAGAATGATGAAAATTTACTTTAATCAAACTTGCAATTTGTAACTCAACAACCAATTAAAATGCTTTAAATTTGTTCTGTTTGACTCATTTTGGGTTTAAGATCAGGTGTTGTTTATAAATGACCCAAAAAACCTCTGAAGGTGAAGTGAAGGCTGCTGAACATCCAAATGTCTGAAATAATATTTGCCAAGAGGAACATGTATGTTTTTAAAATATATAAACAAGTACATTTTATAACAAAACAAATTGTACAACATGCTAATAGCTTTTTAACAGCTAGCTACAGCGTTAAGTATAAGCTCTAATGTGACTAACCTCTGATCAACTACCTTTAGGATATTAATGAGATAAAATCACCTGGTGATCCAGGAGGTCCTACATCTCCCATCTCCCCAACACCTTTGTCACCCTTTACTCCAGGTGGTCCTTGGGGTCCTGCCAAATCAATGACACAGATTCTAACACAAAGAAGCAAAACCTCTTAGCATGAGTTGAAGATACAAAACAAAATTTCACCTGGGGGTCCTTGGCTTCCAGGACGTCCTTGCCTGCCAATTTGCCCTGGAAGACCTGGAGTACCTGGGGCTCCAGGATTTCCTGGGGATCCATCTTTCCCTGGGGGTCCTGGTCGACCAGGTGATGCCACCATCTCTACTGGCGTCTGCATGCGAGACATGTAGTAGGCCATTCTCTCTGTTGGAAAGAAGCGCAATCATAAAAAAGACTCATGCCATGGAGGCGATATCTCTGTAAAGTACAGATGGATAATTATTTAAAACAAATCAGCTCAAAGGAACTATACAGTAAGAAGTTGGGAATTATGTAAGGTAAACATGACCTCACCATCAAAGACCTTCATGACCTGTTGGCGAATGAAGTTCTTGATTTCATCGTAATTGATGACAGCCTTAAAAAAGAAATAAAAACGACAAGAGAAAACAAATGTGCAAACATTAATTAGGCAGATAATTAAAAAATCCATTATTTAGAAGAGCAGATGGAAATGGAGAATGCCTGTGGCCACCATACTTTCATCTTTGCATCACCAAGATGAAAAAGATTAAAATTATAATCAAAAAACAAGCTATGGCATTGTGAGAGGAATAAAATGTAACTCACATCATTTCCTGGTATCCCTGGGGTGCCAGGCGATCCAGGAAGGCCTGCTGAGCCTGGGCTTCCCCTTTCCCCTCTAGGTCCGGCTGGTCCCATCATGGGTTGAGCGTCCTTGCCCATATGGCCTCCACCACCTGGGGGGCCTGGTCTACCTCTCTCTCCTGGCGGACCTCTCTGGCCGGCAGCCCCTGGCTCACCCTCAGAGAACACATAAGTAATGGTGTTAAAGAGAAAACAGCAGATTTGTTATGGATACACAGCTGGTCCGATGTTAGTTGGGTCTGGCAGGCACAAGGGCCTGGAAAGAAGCATTGATTTGAAATGCAGTCCTCCATTTTATCCTGTTTCTTAATGTGTCAGTTCGCAGCTGTTGTAACCAGCCCTGATATTGGCTCAACATTTAAGCAGAAAGATTGAACAACCTGGATGACCAAGCGAAGAACGCAACACGAGGAAGGTAGACACAGCATTCCTGTGTGTAGCGGTGTGTACACGGGTGCAATCTCAAAGGAACAAGATGTGCAATTGCTAGATGATGTCAGTATTACCAATAGCTCATGCCCAAAGGCTACCCACAGCATCAGTGAGGATGATGTGTTTCTCTGTGGCATTATTGGGATTGGTTTTCTCCCATTAGTACCTACTCATACTCATTGGTAGTCTGCGGTAATGCAGACTCAACCTTCATTGTTTATAATACAACGTCAATAGTTGTCTGGCACCAATAATACCATAACCATAGGTTGGTAAACCTTTAGTTTGGTTTAAAACGTTTACCAGCAGGAGCACATCATTGGGTCCTGTAACATCAGCAGGATGGTTGGTGACTGGATGCTCAACATGAATTAGTGACCTCGTGTACTCACTGGTTCCAGCACTGACTCACTAGAGACATGTGGATCACCAACATGATGTGCACTTCTACAATGTGAGCAACCAGCTCTACAAACTGGGATTTCTATCAAATGTCTCACAGTGCTGGTAGTGCTGTCTAATGCATCTCTGATCTATAGTCTGTGTCCAGGAACCCTCTCCCAGTGACTCTCTTCCAGGGATCCTTTAGTTGCCTTTAAAGTTTTCCACAACTGATGGTTGGTCAGTCTGGCAACTGCCTGATTACACTCATATTGTTTATGCTCTATGGTGCCAGTCCTACATGTGGCAGCCTATTGCAAATCCAATGATACCCTGCCAGTACTCCCAGGATATTTAGTGAGTTTTTTAGTGAGTGTATTTGACCTAATTTCTGAAAATAGCTCAAGTGCGCAACTAGTTTTTTTCTATATGAACAGTTCTATTTTGAAATGGAATTTAATAACGGAAAGAAATCATCTAGTTCTTGTTTTCATCCTTTTAGCTGAACTTGTCTATCAGTCTCAGCTTGTTTCGCTGTGTTCCTACCATGTGGAATATCATTGGATACGTGATGATATCACATCCTCTCGTTTGTGTATCTGATACTCTAGCATCTGAGGCGTGATATGCAGCTACACCAACATGACGTGATGTTCCTTTGTTACAGCGGGTCAAGATGACACTAAAACCAGGGTACAAGCAACTTGGTGCTTCAGGCTTTACTCGACTCTCTGCCACAAAATGAGTTGTTCACTTTTCTTCTTTCTGGATAATTTTGCTATTTAAAAAAACTTTTTTGGACAACATCTGCCCGTGTCTCTATCACTCTCCACACAGTTCTACACCCTTTCAGCTAGTGTAAATACACTCAAAAACACCCCTGCTACATTAGCGACATTGATTTATCGAGGACAAAGCAGCACATAATGGACGTCTAATGTTTACACGTCACTGACAGACAAGCAGTTCCTGGAGTAGAGAGGAGTGAGAAGAATAGAGGATCCCGTTCGTTTTTGTGGCTAAAACCCTGACAATGCTATCCTGTCAGCATGACAAATAGCCTCATCTAGCATCTCCCCCCGTGCTTAATAGCATTATCCCAGAGGCAGAAGAATAACTCTATCACTTTGCCCACCTACTGTAAACTACCGTCGACGGAGACGGGAGGGATAGCAGGCTGCCAGTTTGCAGAGGAGTGAAGTGAGCCAGGGAGAAAGGAGAGGGTCCACTGGGGGTCAGAGGGTGAGTGAACTGATGACTGTGTTAAGTGTAGGTGCTGAACGTGCAGAAATGGTGGAGGGTGGGTGTGTTTAGTGTCATTGTGTGCCAACATACGTCTCACAGGGAATGTAGGGAAAAGAGAAAAAAAAAGACTAATGTTCCTCTCAAACAGGATGTAATGGATGGCTGACATTTTTAACCCTAACACACACACACACACACACACCCCTGAGTCGGACCTTACTTTTTGACCTGGCTGCCCATTTTCTCCCGGTAGGCCTGGCGCTCCCTGCCACAGACAGACAGTCATTAAGGATTGACACACACATACATACATATATAGACACCCTTGTATTTGGCTCTCAGTGAAGAGAACACCCCACAGACTCCACTCACATCTTTACCAGCAGCACCATCACTACCAGGCTCGCCCTGAAAGGCACAGGAGGGAAAACATAGATGACGAGAGAATCACAAAAATCAAATGAACTTTGAACATCTTAGGTGTGTCCTTGCTGCGCGTTATTTCTAATTCCATGTTGTCGTTCTTTTTTAAAACACAGAAACGGTTTTGTTACCTGTTATTGACGCAAAGTTTCGCCGACGGCAGCCGACCGGCGAAACTTTGCGTCAATAACAGGTAACAAAACCGTTTCTGTGTTTTAAAAAAGAACGACAACATGGAATCACATGAACTTGTTTTGTCTGAACAGCCAAAAAAACACTAACTAAAAGCCCCGGATGCCCAGGTGGTCCTGGAGGTCCAGCCATCCCTGGGGTGCCTCTTTCTCCAGCTTGGCCCTTGTCTCCTGGTATGCCCTGGAGAGAATGTATGAAAAAAACATGAGGAAGATAGTTTTTACGTTTTGGTTGCAAGAGAATTTCAAATGTCATTTCACCCTTTATGACCCCAACACACAAGGTGTATAACGATACACACAGGTGCATGAAGAACCAACAAATAGTCGCAGCTGATCACTGCTGCCATCTAGAAGCAACCATGTTTTATTGAATTTTAACTGAACCCTAACAGCCATGAGGATGTGGGAGCTCTCTGCATCAAACAGCATCAAGGGCTATTATCACACATCTTAAAAGGTTATGTCATATATCCAGTGTAATCAAGTTGACTGATCATGATTAATGCTCATTTTTGTAGTTGCCCTAGTCCAGGGCTGTTCAACGTGTCACTGGCGCGCTGCCAGTAGCGCCTGACGCACTCGAAAGTTGCTCACCTGGATGCATAGCAGCCGGCAAGCCTGCCTGACTAAAAATGGCAGCCTATACGAGGGACGGCTTTGTAATCGTCGCTGTTTTCGTAATATCTAATCTAAAATCAGCTTTTTGTGAAAGTAAAATATTAATCTGCACAGATCTTTCTGCAAACGTGTTCAAGTCTGGACTGCTGGAAATACGCAGCGGCTGCTGCCACAGTGGGTGGACGAAGACGCGGTTCTACAGAAGACGGGGTGATGTCGGTTATACAGACCTGGTCTGGGTTTAAGGAGTCTGATGTTGAGCAGAAAAACATCCTCAGTTAAATATTGTGGACGACAGTGAAGTCCTATCTGCAGTTATAGCTTGTTGACATGAATTCGATGGTGTTTGATTATTACTAACACACGATGAACACGCTGGTTTCCAAACTCTGGGCACGTCCTGTGATTTAGTTTTAACAAATGTCCCTCAGCAGTTTCAGCTGGTCGTTTCCTTTAGTTATAAAACCTGATCATGAACGCTCTCTCTGCTCTTTGTTATGCAGCCGTCAGACCTGCAGGTCAGATGATCCAGAGGCCAGGATAAAGGACAAACCTCCAACCTTAGTCTAATATTGTTCACAAAATGCAGCAAAGCATCATTTTACCAGCAGTTATTCACTAGTGAAGCTAAACTTAACTTTCATTAAACAAACAAAAAAAATAAAAATAAATTAAAAAACAATAAAAATGATTAAATGGATCAGGAAAGCAGTAAGAAAGTTCTTTTAAATTCAGTTCAAACTATTTAGAATTTTGTGTTTTCATCACATTTATCTTGTATTTTATGTAAAATATATTCAGCTTCATTCATTGAATGAAATTTGTTGTGTTGCATTTTTAGAAAAATAATCATTACTTGAAAGGTTGAAATGCCATTTAAAGAGCCCTTCATGTTCTTTAAATGGTATTCTATAGTTTTTGGAAGTATTTGTTAATTTGTGACAAAATAGCTAAACACTATAAAAAAACTGACACGGCTGCTACGAGCAGGGCTCAGGGTAAACGGTGTAAAAGTAGCTCTCAGTCTCCAAAAGGTGGGTGACCCCTGCCCTAGGCACTCTAAGGTTTATTATTTATTTTTTAATTATGGGATCAACTTGATTTCTGCTTGGAAACAATAACAGTTTGGATTGTTTATGCTTCACTCATCTGAAGAGGAACTTTCAGATGTTCTTTCTTACCACTCCTGATGGACCAGTAGGCCCTGGAGGTCCTGCTGGCCCAGCGGGACCCTGAAAAGAAATGGCATTAATCCCGTTTAATGTCCAAACAAATTTGAAAATGCTGTGTATGTTAATAGTGAGAGTGATTACGATGTGGCCTGCAGGTCCTGGTCGTCCCTGAGCTCCAGGGGCACCTGGATCACCCTGGAGAAGTAACAGATTCAGCTTTGCACCAACTCTGTGAAGGCTACTAGTCTTCATAGGGACAGATTACTCATGTGTTCTGTAATCTGTAGTCATTTGGGATACAGAAGGTACTCACCTCATGACCTGGCCTCCCCGGTGGTCCTGGTGGACCTGTAGGTCCGGCCTCTCCCTAGAAGAGTAAGAACATATTAAACAAGACCCATGAGACGGATTGATTCTTTAAAATGGGAATGTGAAGAGAAGTAAAGCCATTTTACCCATAATCACCTGTTTGATACAACAATGAGACATAATGCACAAGAGAGAGGCTGTAACCATAACAACAGACTGACATGGAGTTATCACAGCTAACCTTCTGTCCAGGAAAGCCAACATGCCCTGTTTTCCCTTTGAATCCCTGAGGAGAAGCATCAAAGAGAACAAGAATAGTTCAGTTAAAAAAGGAAAAAACACAATGGAGAGGCATATTGTCTTCAAAATCCTGAACGCCTGCTCTGGGGTAGAACATGAACCAAGATACAGAGAGCAGAAGAGAGAGATAACAAAGATCCAGAGTGAGGAAGACAGACCGCGACTTCACGAAGCTCACTAGAGCCTTCTCATCAGCACCTACGTGTGAACCAGAACGTTAAAGCCATCTGAGGAACACCAAGCTTTGAACTTTGAAAGGGTTTGCACCAGTGACAGATAGAGCATGAACAAGATGCAGCAATGGCTGCGCATATCAATGTTGTGCTGCAACATGAGTGAGGTAAGTGAAATATCATCAGACATGCTCTCTGCTAATTAGATGTTCATGCTGGTGGAGCTTCTGGAGGTGCAAACATTTCAAATCCAAACACTCTCACTTCAGATCTGCTATTTTCTACCAGATGGCTTTCATGGAAAAATAAAAGGTAACATTATCCTGTCATGTAGAATATCTTGTTAAAAGGGGCCTATGGACAAAAGCAATAAAACCTGGGATTAATTATCTGCTGTTAAATGACTCTGACTGGACTGATTGTAAATGTGACTTCTATCATGAGACGGGTGGTTGTGTATGTGGCAGCAAAACTAATTATCTCTCAGGATGTTTGTGCAGAAATCCTTAAAGGAATACATAACTTCATTTTTATTATTTTTATCATTTTGTATATGTTTTTGTTTCAGTCTACCTTTCTGGAATCAACAGCACCAAACTGTGTCTTTCATGAATAACAAAAAACATGTAGAAAACTTTCCTCTCCTCATAAAACAAGAGAATAAAACATTTGGAGAAAAGAAATCCATCCCAGGGCAATGCAACCTTCAAATAATCACTCTTTAAAGAAGATATATATATATATATATATATATATATATATATATATATATATATATATATATATATATATATATATATGTGTGTGTGTGTGTGTGTGTGTGTGTGTGTGTGTGTGTGTGTGTGTGTGTGTGTGTGTAGCGTGATTAATTGTCCATTTCTGACCTAAAGGCCCTGCTCTATTTGCTCTGGCCAAGCAAAACCCTAAGTTTCTGACACAAGCCTAATCTACAGGATATGGGCCAAGGCCACTCATGCTCGGTGCTCTTATCTAAACTGTTGCTTCTCCGGACAGCACAGGAAAGAAGAGAGAAGACCAAGAAGAACTCTTTTAGAAATCAAGAACTCTTTAAATGATAATCAAATAACTTTGTTAGTCCAAATAATCATGTGAAGCTCAATGTTCAATCAATCTGTGGTTTGCTGGTTCTGAACATATTTCACACACACACCAGCCTCAGTCTTACTCCACCTTAGTTACATCATACGCATAATGTTTAAAGTTAATCTTGTTCAAATTGTTTAGAAATCAATCTTCTTAAACTTTAAAACTTTCTCTCTCTCTTGTCTCTGGTTTAATACGAAGTGTTATCTAATCCCTGCAATAAAAAGTTCCGATCTTCTGGTTAAAGTAATATTCAAAGATCCACCAAATTGATTTCATATTTCCTATGGAATCTCACATTTTATGGGTCATCACTTAAGATGTAACTAACAAACCATTACTATATATATATATATATATATATATATATATATATATATATATATATATAGAGAGAGAGAGAGAGAGAGAGAGAGAGAGAGAGAGAGAGAGAGAGAGAGAGAGAGAGAGAGAGAGAGAGAGAGAGAGAGAGAGAGAAAGAGTATATACATTGTTTGTTATTGTAACATGAAGAGGAAGAAGAAGAAAATACCATTTCTATAGCGCCTCTCAAGATAAAAATCACGAGGCGCTTCACAAAAACAAAAAATGTAAAAATATAAAAAAGCATTTAGAAAATGTTTAAAAATATATTTAAAATGAGCAAAAATAGACAATTGCGATTAAAATATATGTTAAAGACAGAGAGTGAATAGGAAAGAGGGAAATCAGTGGATCCTGAGGAAGGTGGAATAGGTGGGGAGAGCAGAATAAAGAGAGAGTGGTGAAGAAGGTCATACAAAAGCCTGCTTGAACAAGTGAGTCTTCAGCTGCTTTTTAAAGGAGACCACTGAGTCCACTGATCCCAGGCTCAGGGGGAGAGAGTTCCAGAGTCTGGGGGCCACAGCAGCAAATGATCTGTCACCTTTGGTCTTTAGCCTGGTGCGCTGCACAACCAGTAGGCTTTGATCACTGGACCTCAGGGACCTGCTGGGGGTGTAGGGACTAAGAAGATCACCAATGTAAGATGGTGCTTGTCCATGTAGGCCCTATAGACCAGAACCAGGATCTTGAAATGAACCCTGAAGTTGACTGGCAGCCAGTGAAGCTGGAGGAGAAGCGGGGTGATGTGGGTGTGTTTGGAGGACTTGGTCAGAAGCCGAGCACAGGCATTCTGAACCACCTGTAGACGGTTCAGGGAGGTTCTGCTCAGAAACGTGAAAAGAGAGTTACAGTAGTCTAAGCGTGAGGAGATGAAGGTGTGGAGAACTGTCTCAAGTTCAGAGCGAGACAGAATGGGACTCAGCTTAGCAATGTTCCTGAGATGAAAGAAGGAAGAGCGAACAACCTGCCTCTGTGCTGTGCCGTTGTGTCCATGCTGCTGCTTCTAAACACGTTTTATGTACCAACTCACTACAAGGACAGTCAGACTTGTGTGGCAGCTCTTCTCTGCTTTCATGGCAGCAATAAGTATCTGAGTTTTCTTCACATCCCAAAATCCCTGAGGAGAATATCTGTTCTAATCGAGTGATTAAAAATGTCCCTGCTTACTTTGATCTATACTGTCTGAGTGCAACCAACAAGTTGCTTTGATTGATTTCTTGTTTGGTACGATAGTCTGTAGCAATTTAGTAAAAGTTCATGTGTTCTCATGATTTTCCTGTTAAAATCTGTCTCCTGCTGATGGGAATGTTTGCCTTCAGCCTTGAACGCTGTTATTCTACGTTTCCTAACTCCTTGAGCAGTCGTGTTAAGTTTCTTTCATAACGGAGTATCCGTAGGACATTCTTCTGTTGAACCATCAGGCTTCAGACCATTCTAGTCCTAAAACGTACCCCAGCCTTTCGCTGTGCTAACAGCTGGTTTACTTTTATCTGAATGACTACATTTTTGTGAGGCTAGGATATTTCAGTTTCTCTCAAACAGCATTTAGTGAAACTCTGCTCTTCTCACACACAAGGGCTAGTACTAATGGACCCGGCCTGTGTGGCTTAGCTTCTGAACACCTAGCTGTAATGAGTCACATTCAGTTACACAACCAGTATAGTGGCCCGCAGCTTTGCACCTGGGTACTGATGGGAGGCGTGCCACCTGGTGCTAGTCTTCCTCCCACATGCAAAATACTTTAGTTAGACCAAATGCATCAAACAGACTTAAGGTATGCTTTTAAATGTTTAACCCTTCCACGGTCCTATCAGGTGACCCCTCATGGACAGTGGACCAAAAACACCTGGGGCTTATCAGACCCCACTAACAATGTGGGAGGGTTAAAAAAAAGTTTATCTTTTATTTCTGATGTTGAGAAAAGATCAACTTTGAACTTATGCTAACATTGATCCATTAATGTATGTTAGCATTTATAAAATCCAGGACCCAAACATGCGTGGAAGTTGTAACTGAAGGTGTTTTCTTGTGTTACATGAGTGCAGAATCACAGGGTTAGGTAAGGTAACAATGGTGGCGACACTCACTGGGATTCCTCGGAGTCCTGCTGGGCCTTGCAGGCCTGGTTCTCCCTGTTAATACAGAAATGGTCACCTACTAGATGTATGCCTTTCACGCAGAATGTCTCGTCATTTATGGAATTTGGAGCTGTGACTCACCCTCAGACCTGGCTTCCCAGGTTTTCCATCAATTCCCTCGATGCCAGGGGGACCCTTTTAAAATTGCATACGGGTCAAGGATAGTTCAGAGAAGATGGAACAGAGATCAAATATGTTGGAAAAGATAAAAGATGGTGTCTGTACCATAAGTCCTGGAGAGCCAGGAGACCCGGGGGGACCAGTTGGTCCCTGAGCGCCCGGAGAACCATCATTACCCTTTGGAAATGGAAACATTTTTTAGTTTGATCATTTTTAAGTGAATGAAGCTTTTAAATGCATACTTACTTTTTCACCTTTGAGTCCAGCAGTGCCTTCTCTTCCAGGTTTACCTGCAGGACCAGGTGCACCCTGAAATCCCACAAAAGTGTGTTTACAGGTGATGAAAATGTTTCAATACTCAGACGATGAGTTAGAGTTTACTTACTGGTGGTCCTGGAAATCCCGGTTGTCCTTGGAAACCCTTGAGGGTTAAGTATTTGTGTTTTAATTCAATCGGACAAATGACATTTTTACAGAGTGAATTTACAATAGTTACACAAACCTGTTCTCCTTTCTCACCAGCGGACCCTGCTGGTCCCGTCTCTCCTTTAATGCCCTGCAGACATACACGTTAAGTTATTACTCTGATCTTGCAAATGGGAGGAGAAGACAAATTCATGATGAGACACTGACCTGTGCACCAGCCTGTCCTTGATACCCGGGGGCTCCAGAAGGACCCTGCAGAGGCAAGAATGTTAGTTTCTGTTCAAAAACTAGCAGCAGGTTGATTCAGCATTGCACTGGAACTCACCAATTCTCCTTTCTGACCAGCGCTTCCCGGGCTTCCACGCTCACCCTTCAGTCCCTGACAAATGCAAGAGTAAATTGCTGTCAGCTGTCGTGTCATCAGCTCTCCCTCTGGAAGTTGTCAGGATGTCATCAGTCCTTCAGCTCTTTTATAATGAAGCAAAAACTTACAGGCAATCCGGGCGGTCCCATGGCTCCCGGATAACCAGGCGTTCCCGGAGGCCCCTGAGGTAAAGATCATGCAATCAATCAAAGCGGGGACTAATTATGTTCCCACATATTGTAATTTCTGTTTAAAACAGCTATGTACCTGCTCGCCCTTGAGTCCAGAGAGGCCGGGCGACCCGCGCTCACCCTGCTGACCCTGGGAATGACAGCAGAGAGGACCGATTAGAAAAAAGAGTAGAGGAGTTGTGTGTGTGTGTGTGTGTGTGTGTGTGTGTGTGTGTGTGTGTGTGTGTGTGTGTGTGTGTGTGTGTGTGTGTGTGTGTGTGTGTGTGTGTGTGTGTGTGTGTATGTGTGTGTGTGTGTGTGTGTGTGTGTGTGTGTGTGTGTGTGTGTGTGTGTGTGTGTGTGTGTGTGTGTGTGTGTGTGTGTGTGTGTGTGTGTGTGTGTGTGCTCTTGTACCAACTACATACGGAGGACAATTTTCACTATTTTCCCTACAATGTGAGGACATTTTCATGGTCCTCACTTTTTTAAAAGCTCATCAGTTGGTTTTAGACGTATGGTGTGAAATAAGTTTTAGTTAGGGTTAGGAGTAGATCAGCATTGGTTATGGTTAGTGTTAGGGTATGGGTTAGGCATAACACAATCACTAACATGAATGGAAGTCAATGGATGGTCCTCACTATGATAGATGCTGCTATAGGCTTAGGCTGCTGGAGGACATACTGACCACTTTCTTCTACAATTTGTTCTTTAACTGTATTATTTCCTGCTATTTCAGCTGTTAACTTTATTTTTTCTCTAAGTGCTTTTCTCCCCAGAAGAAGCTACACTGATGTTCTGCTGGGCTGTGGTATCCTCATGGTGGGAGCCGTCGGCTAGCACACTGCTGCTAACCACTTCAACATTCTCCCTCTCCTGATAATAACATTTTACTTTCTTTGACATTGGATGTGCTACTACTAGTTTACCTGTTTAATTATAGATTCACTAGGATAAATACAATAAAGTTTATCTCTCACTAAATAGAATATTTACTAAGAAATCACAATGTAACCATGGAAACACTACTTGGTATATATGTGTGTGTGTGTGTGTGTGTGTGTGTGTGTGTGTGTGTGTGTGTGTGTGTGTGTGTGTGTGTGTGTGTGTGTGTGTGTGTGTGTGTGTGTGTGTGTGCTCTGTCTTCTCCATCCCCAGTGAGTCGTGGTGGATGGCTGCTTATTCTGAGCCAGGATCCTCACAGAGGTTTCTTCCTGTTAAAAGGGAGTTTTCCTCTCCACTGTTGCTGCATGCTTGCTTAGTATGAGGATTGCTGTAAACACTCTGACACTAGTCAGTGACTCGATGCAACCTGCTGGGTTCCTTATATATGAAACGTTTTACTGACTGGCTTAATGACAAACTTTATCACAATAAGCTAATTTTTTGAGAAGGACCTGTATATAAACTGGGTGTATGTTTAAAGTATTTGTAGCTATGCGCATGTAGAAAGGAGCTGTTGCCGGGCACCAGTTGCGGATCATACCCAAAAAGTTTTAGTCTAACAGTATTTTTGCACAAAAAGGGAACAAATATAAACGTGATGCCATTTTTATTATTTAAAGATATCAGCTAAAATCCACTTATTTGTAAATAATAGTTTTGTTTTACAAACTAGCTGAACTCCACTGAATGATGAGAGTAAAACAGAATAATATAGTACAGAACAAAATAATTAACAACAGCAAGTATAATCAGAACCTCCAGCAACAGAACGATGAGGACATGTTTACTTAAACCCATTCATCATCTCCAGTCTCCTAAAACAAAGATTCAGTGTGATGAGGAGAAGAAGCAGAGAGGAGCTCTCTCCAGACAACTGCCACACCCTCCATCCCTACACCTGAACAACTGGAGGAGGACACAAGCAAACTTTATCCTGGAACCTGATTCTAAAAGTATAAATGTTGAAACTACTGTTTAGGCACACATAGAAACTGAGCTTAACACATCTTCAACTCTGCAAACAGACAGACAGCTCTAGAAAGGGACAGAAGTCTCCGTTCACTCGTCCTGGACTTGTAATTGGGTCTTCAACTCCTCCACTGTCGTCTCAAGCCTCTTACATCTTCTCATACATGTTGGCGTTTCAGTGGAACGAGAGCGAGGCCATGTAACTCAGGAACCCTCGGGAACGTTGTGAGATGTTTTTGAAACTCGGCATGAAAGTTTGACACAACCCAGTGAGACGCTGGTTTTACTTTACTGTACTAGCTCATATTAAAGCCCGCTTCACACAGCAGGATCTTTGTGGCGACGCTAGAGCTGACCCCCCCCCGTTCTGACGATCACATCTAAACATCATCTAATCCTTCCTGCCAAGCGTGGTGTGTTAAGAACACCCTGGTCCACTTGGAAGCACCTTTGGACCGCTTGGATCATAAGGATCATAAGTCTGGACTCTCAAACATGTTGTGTCTCAGTCCAGTCTCTGAGGAGGACCTGCCTATTGCACACTGCCTTCCTCCACCATGTTCGTTTACCCTAAAGTCACGTTTGATCTCCCATCTGATGGGAGTTTCTGAGCGTATTTGGTTTGTGTGTTGTTTTTGCTGTGTGGCAGCACACCACGGACCATTGGCATGTCCATAATGGTTAATCACAACGTGTGGTTTAAACATCCGGTCATGTGAAAATCAGTGTTTGAAAGAAATGAGTTAAAACTCACAGCTGGTCCGGATGGACCCTGAGGACCCGGGAAACCAGGAGGACCCTGTGGGCAGAAGGTAAACACAGACACTGCTTTACACACCTATCTGACTGGTAATCAGACAAAAACATCTCTGAATGAAACAGACTTGATCTGCCCCTGACAGTGGAAACAGCACTGAACGTCACATCACAGAGCTCAAAGGAGAGTTGTGAGCTAGCAATAAGGAGATCTTGATCACTAGTGGACCAGCAGGGAGCACACGGGAGGAGGTAGAAACAAGCTGCATCAAGTCACTTCATATCTGAGCTCAGAGACGAAAACCCAGTGGTGCTGTCCTAAAATAATCATGACAAAGAAAGGAATCGTTCTGCCAAAAAGCTCTTTAAAAACTTTTCTCTTTCAGATGATACGACTCAGAGCAGAAAGTTGGTAAAACTGTGGAAAAGATTTCATTTGAGCTCCGTTGGCACATCCAGCAGATCAGGAATTTAAAAAAAAATCTTGATCAACAGGGAAGTTTGTTGCTTAAACCAAAATGTCTGACAAGATGTTTAAGCAGACAGGTCCGGCTGCAGCCAGACGGGCATGAAATTCCCTTTTCTTTAGGGCTTTTGATGAATCCTTTGAACAAGTTTAATTTTTTTTCTCAGATTGGAGTTGGTAATAAAATAAAGTCGTTGCCTCAACCATGATAAAAATGTGTGACTGCAAGCCAAGAAGACCAATCCTTTTAAACAAACGTTCCAGTTTCTACGTAGAGCTGTGGTCAGATGTCCAACCAGAATGACATCAGAAGCATGCTGACGGTCACGAGAAACACGTTGGAGGTGGAACTCCCTTTGGGACAATATTACCGAGGGTGTTCGAGGCTGAACTTTGACCCTGAATGGAAGAGAGGAAGTCCACAAACAAAACAACGTCTGATTTCTACTTGAGGTTCCTCTTTCTCACACACCATGAATCCTGGAGTTCCAGCTGGACCTCTTTCTCCTGGTGCACCCTGTAACGGGACAGATGGGTCAGTGTTCTGTTCTGACACGATGGCCACATTTATGATGCACTCTCAGTCAGAAACTCACAGGATCGCCTTTGATTCCAGGTGATCCGGGCACCCCCGGATGTCCAGGTGTTCCTGTGTAGGACCGATCTCCCTGTGGTGAAAATGAAAACAAACATAAGGTCTGGAAGGAATGTTCCTCCATTATAAACTCTCCGGGCATTAATGATGCTGATGGTTGAACTGACCACTGCTTGCGTGGCTGGTTCCTTTTGCAGCCTCTCTAAACACTGAGGGAAACAAGAGAATCCATCAGAGGAGGGTCTGCCTGCCGCTGAGTGGATCAGGCCATGCATGATCAAAATGTGGGTTTTACACTCTTTATCCCAGAGAAACAACCTGCTCTGATTTCACTAACATTGTAAGTGGTTCTATATCTGGGGAGTCATGCAGTGGCACTGAAGATGTTACAAGTCCCCACCCATTTTCTCACCCTGTCACAGCTGTCCAAAAGGGTTGCACCAGGCTTGCCTTGGTCTCCTTTCTCACCCTTGGCCCCAGCCATGCCTGGTACCCCTGGCAACCCCTTGGAGCAGCCCCCTTCACATCCCTCCTGAGTCACACAGAAACAAGCATACATATATATGTTTATATTTACACATATATACATATTTTCACAAGCATGCTCATCCACATGTTTCATGCAACAGACTTTTAAAGTACACTTTTGGCATGAAGACAAAAGGCGTCGTTGCAAATCCCGCATTCACCGACTGTACTTAGCTTACATCTATGTCTGTGGAATCCTGAAGTGGCTGCCGCGGTCCAACATAGTCCTGGAGAGGGGGATAAAAAAACAGTTATTATTCATTTATGCAGCAATTTCAGACACTAAATCAATAAAGATGAACACACATTATTAACCTTCAGGCTTCTCCGTCCAACAAACCACACAGTTATCAAATAAACCTGGTATAAAGCTAGCTCAACCATCAATTAATCACATGCTTCACTTTGCTGTGGAGGCATTACGCTGACTGGTCACTTTATTAGGTAAAGCCACTCGAGCGGTTGATGGCTTAAAAAGTCACGTGGTGATCTAGAACATTTTAAACAGGGCAACGTTGTCGGCTTGCTTAATGGGATTTGCACCTACAACCATTTCACTGATGAATGTTGGAAAAAAGAAAATATCCAGTGAGTAGTAGTTGTGTGCTCAATGTCAAAGGAGACTGGTCGGACTGTTTCTAGATGATACGAAGACAACAGCAGCTCAGATCAGCTCTGGTTCCTACCAAGGTCTGCAGAACCACTCCAGCTGCTCCAGATGGACTCCAGCAGCAGAAGACCACACCAGGTGTTCCTCCTGTCAGCTAAGATCAGGAACCTGAGGCTACAACTCACACACAACCACCAAAGCTGGACCAGAGGAAACACCGTAGTCTGTATTTCTGCTGCAGCCCAACTCTAACCCATCTTCTGATGCCAGAACCTCTGAGGAATGTTTGCAATACCTTTTTGGATCTCTTACAGGAAGAATTAAGATGGTTCAGAAGACAAAAAGAGGTCTAACCTGGAACTAGAAGGTGTACCTAATAAAGTGGACGGTGAGTGTATGTTTTTTGGTTTAGAGCGATTTAGTTATTATTCAGACCACACACACACTCATTTTCCCTCAAGGCTTGAATGAAGCAATCAGATTAAAAACATAGCAAAATTGTTACTTCAAAATATATCACACACACACACACACACACACACACTCACACACACACACACACACACACACACACACACACACACACACACACACACACACACACACACACACACACACACACACACACACACACACACACACACACACACACACACACACTTTGGATGGGTGATTTGCTTTAAAGTTTGAAATTGGCTGTAATTTCCCATCTGCCGTCCGACTGACACCCACCTGGTTCCACATTGCTCACATCTAAACCGCCACAAAGGCATATTGTTAGAATTAGCACACCATGTTCATCAGCAGTAACCGGCTTTCTCCCAGCAGCTCTGCTGCTCTCAGTTCACTTACGGCGACTCCACTTTACAGCACCAACCCTATCCATCTACCTGATCAACAGATGATCCTGTGTTTATCAGAACTCACAGCCATTTTCCAGATTTATATCAAAACTCACTCTACTCATGGCGTTTCACAGAGCTGCTGAAATTGCACATTATATGAAGCAATCTCCTCTTCATCTCCAAAAAGCTGTTTCATCAAAAAACCCGGTGCAAGCTAACAGCTCTTCCAAGGAATACTGTGTGTGTGTGTGTGTGTGTGTGTGTGTGTGTGTGTGTGTGTGTGTGTGTGTGTGTGTGTGTGTGAGTATGCATGTGTGTGTGTAACTCAGCAGATGTTAACATTAAAAGAGTGAGAAACTGTAACTAAGAGAGTTGTTCAGCTCAGACCTGTCTTTTACCTTATCAGTTATTTCTCTCAATATTTTGGATCCCCCCCCCCCCCCCCCCCCCCCCACACACACACACACACACACACAGGTGTGGACTTCACCTGGCTATGACAGGTGGGAGAGACACTTGCAAGATCAATTTAATTCCAAATCTTTTTGGAATTTGAGATAAAAGCCACCTTAAACTTCAAATTGTGACAAGAAACAAACTAAAGTAAAAAAACAAATCCAAACCCCGGCCGCCCCTATCATGGTTCATTCATTTAAATGTCTACCAATGGTTCAATTCTGCATGTTAGGCCTTTAGGAGGGACAGGGAAGACCGCTGCAACGACCCCAGCATCTCTTGGGTTGCAGGTCTGGTTAGCGGCATTTGGATGCACCTGGGCTCGGTGTGTTGCTTCCCTATAAAGCCTGCTCCTCTGCTGTGCAGTGGAGTCCCCACTGGTTGTTTTATCTTTATTTACTTGTATTATTTAGTCTTTTTGTTGAACCCCCACTTCTCTGTTTGGTCTCCTTATTTTGTTGTAACCCACACCCTAGATATCAGGGTTGTAATACTATGAACAATCCATATTGTATGAATTACTTTATTTTAAGAGAGCTTAAAAAAACTCAGCTTTAGGGAAATTGAGCTTGTACCCTTAGGGTCAGTCACTCTAAACCCAAAGATTTCATAGTGATTCATGCAAATGCTATTTTATGGTTAGGGTTAGCTGGTCCAACTCAGATAGCTCTACAGTTAAGACGGTACTTGATCATAACCTTTCCAAAACAAAGTATTTCTACTGAAACCACATAATCCAGGCTGAGATATTACTTTCTGATGCACATCACCGTAGAATTCTACGTCATTAAAATGCAAATGTGATACTAAACATAAAACATTTAGAAGGTCATGTGTGACTAGTCTCGGGGTTAAACTAGATGCATGCCCAAAGATTGCAGGAGATAGGCACCAGCCCCCTGCGACCCTGCGTGGATGAGTGGAGTACAGAAGATGGATGGATGGCATTGATGCATTTATTACCTCAAGACTCGACAACGCTAACTCTGCTGTCAAAGGTATCAGTGCAACTTCCTTTGACCATCTGCAGAGGGTACAAAATGCGGCAAGTAGATTTCTCACTGGAACGAATAGACGGTGCCACATCACTCCTGTTCTGGATGATCTACAGTGGCTCCCTGTAGCTCACCGTGTACAGTTTCAATTTCTTATTTTTGCACATAAAGCTGTCAACAATAATGCTCCCCTCTACCTGTCTGAACTGCTCACACAACACGTTCCCATCCACAGACCATCACCTTATGTACATTCCCAAAAGGAAATACAAATCCCTTGCAGAGTGGGCTTTTGCTTTTGCTCCTCCTAAGCTTAAGAATGCACTCCCACTCTCAGTGCATCTGGCTCCCTCACTAGCCCATTTTAAATCCAGCCTTAAGTTACATTTCTTCAGGAGACTTTTCAGCAGTGGACTTTGTCCCTGTAGTTTATTCCTTTTATTTTACTGTTTTATCCTCCTTTTGCACTTAGTCTGCCATTTTTATCTTGTTACTAAAACAAAAATTTTTGGTTTTTGCAATAGTTGATTTTCTGTTTTATATTCTTTGACTGTGGGGGTTTAATTTAACATTAGTTGTATTGCTGTCTGTCTGTTTTTACATTGCCCTCTTTTGTGTTCAAGCACTTTGGTCGGCTGACATACTGTTTTTAAATGTGCTCTAAAATAAATGTGGTATGGTCAGAAAATAACATTTGCATGAATCACTTTGGAAGTTGGCCTGATATGACTAACGGTTAGCTCATCAACCCAGGCTAAAATAACCTCCATCTGCAACAGACAAATTATCGACAGATCATGACCTGTCTACATAGACCTACTTCAATAGGCCTACATTTCTGCTTTGAATGTGACAATATTAGACAACCAACGTGTCCCAGTTTTGTTTTTTAAAGACATTCCACGAACATCGGGCTTTAAAACTGGTATTTAAACAATTTCCTCCACAGGCCGGCTCGCCCAAGTACATTTACTGCAACATTCATATTAAAGAAGTGAAAGCCTTTCCTGGGAGAAAGTCTGTGCAGATCACCTGGTTTTTATCAAAGTCATAACTGACCCATTTGACATTGTTCAAACTGTAGCCATTAGCTTGGAAGGCTATTATACGCTGCACACTACTGGCTGTCATGTGAGTTAGAACAAGGCCTTGTGCATTAATAGATGTGCTCAAACGAAAGCTCCTTGTAATTACATGCCTCTGCTCAGTGTTCCTGATGCGTTCGGCAAGTCTCTGATGTTACAACAGGCTGTTATGTTTAAAAGGCAGACCTGTTTGTGAGCACACCGAGAGCCACGGCGTTACTGTCTGACAAATAATAACCGCAGAACTGTAAAGTCACTAATGGGATTAAAAAAAAGAAGAAGGAGCTATATCTGTGTGTGTGTGTGTGTGTGTGTGTGTGTATGTGTGTGTGTGTGTGTGTGTGTGTGTGTGTGTGTGTGTGTGTGTGTGTGTGTGTGTGTGTGTGTGTGTGTGTGTGTGTGTGTGTGTGTGTGTCTGTGTGTGTTGAGCGACAACTCCAACACTTTCTAGAACATTTCTGCTGTTTTAACATTTTGCACTGACACATCTCCACTTCAGTATGCAGATTATGGCTGCATACATTCAGTCATTTTAACAGCAAGAGCGCTGCAAAACACAATCAATCTACACTTCTCTTTGTGTAGACCTAGCAGAAGACCCAGTTTTCTCTCTGAATTATTGCTTGAAATCATGCTGAAGGCGAAGCTCCCCTTGAGTGCTGGTTGGAGATCAGAACTGATGTTCTTTTATTGAAATGAAACCAGAAAATTGACCACAAATAGAATCAGAAACCCCATTCTACCCCTTTTCTTTGAGTTTACTACAAGACAGCTACTGTCAATGAATCTTGCTGTCTTAGTGTGACACATTAATACTCATGAACAACAACTGAATTTGTGCTCATACGGGTTTATTCCCAACCACAGAGGTGTCGGCTCAAACAGGAAGCACAAAACACCACCTGTCCTTGTGTTTTGGCCGAGCCAAGGTCCTCAGCAGAGATGAGAACACAGGTAACTTCACCACAGCCAAAAGAGTAAAGCTGTTCAGTAATCTCAGGATAATAATAAAAAAAAAACAACTAGAAAAAATCAGGCTTGTGGATCTGGACCCCAAAGCGAGGTGATTCACAGAGTGTCACATTGTGTCAGCAGCATCAGTGGGGTGTGGTCGAAGCTAAAGTCATTCTATTTATTACCTTTTAATTGGGATGCACAAATAAAAGCCTTGAATATCTATTCAATGTGATGAGCATGTAATCACATTCATCCGTGTTCATTCTTCTCTCCATTGAGTACTCAGGTGGTCGAGGATGTGTCACATTATGGAGCTGGGATGGAGATCTAGCATGAGCTGGTTATCCTCGCTGGTGCCCGAGTTTGGATTGGCTCACTAAGTCTGAATGACGTCGAGTGTATAAGTGAGTCCCGTGAACAGGAAGAGTGGTTGTGTGTGTTGGCACCAGCAGGTGTAACTTGAGTCTGCAGAGGAGTTAGATCCGTTTCAGGCTGCTGAGCTGGGTCACTTAAGCTGGCCTGCAGCCTTTCATTAGACCATGACAACAAACTGTTCCTTTTGTAATGAGGTTGGAGTTGTTTGCTTATCCACAATCAGTTAGGTGCAAACACCTAAATGACATTCACAACTTTCTATTTAGCAGCCACATCTTACACACTCCCTTGTACTGATTAGGTTATAAAATCCAACAAACTAGAAGATTTGGGGCTTTTTTGACTGACGGCCATGATGGGGTGGCTTCGGGGGGGGGTTTGTTTGTACAATTTTCCATGTTTTTTCTATATAAACCAAGATAAACCAACCTATTGAATCAGGGTTGTTTTTGAAGTGTATCAGGAACAGACTTAAAGAATGACCGGTTTTCCTCCGCTAGATTTAAGAACCAGGAAATGAGCTCCACTGGCTGGAGGTCCTGAGGGCACACTGAACTGCTTTTCCATGTTTTCCATGTCTCTGCTTCAGCACACCTGATTTACATTGTCTCCTCAGGAGGACATCAAGTGCTGCAGATGCCTGTTAATCACCCATTTATTTAAGTCAGGTGTGTGGCAGCAGGGAATCACTGATGTTTAAAAGGCAACATGGAAAACATGCAGGACAGTGTGCCTTGAGGATCGGGGTTGGGAAACACGGATCTAGACAAGAAATGGATCTACGGATCTAGATGATTAACCAAAATAATTAGAAAAGAGAAAGACGCCATCAGATCAGATCCACCATAAGATACCCAACACAACAGTGGCTGTTCCAAATGTCAGCGAGGTTATAAAAATGCATTTATTAGTAATCCCATCAGTATTTGGCTCTAACAAGTCAAATGTAAACACTGACTCAGTTAGGCCCCTGACCTGCACATGTATAGCTCCTATCTGAGTCAGAAGATTCCAAAGTGTTCCTCTGTCTTTGTCTTGATCGTTGTATCATTTTCTAGTATATAATGTTTAATTCTGTACTGGATGCATTTATATCAATAGCTACAATTATATATCAGACACAAATAATACTGAATAAAATTAGCATTTAAATTGTTTGCTATAAAAAAAGAGTACCTGTTCACTGCTAAAAAGTTTAACCAAGTTAGAAAGCAGGGTATTAAAATGATGCAAAATAATCATTTTGATTGAAAGAAGATCTACAGCATGATATAAACATTAACATTATCAAGATGCTTTAAGTATGGTGGCCATAACGTTCTGCTGTTATGTGTCAGAACCCAAGTCCCCAAGCCAGCCTCTCCCAGCTAGCCGATCTCCACCATGGACCACATCTCCCAGCATACCCCTCGTGGGGATTCCCTCCACGTCACACCTACATCACTAACCGCGACTATAGACCCTTTTACTGTTTGTAAACAATATGACGTCAGCGAGAATGCGCGCACAGCTTGGCAACAGAGAATGGCGTTGTTTCAGGCTTTATCAAGCTACGCTGCGGGGTTATCACCGGCAAATCTTGAATGTTACATTATTAAACTCACTTTAACGAATGGCAACAGACTCCCGGATCCCTGTGGCATTACGGAATGGGTGGAAGATGTAGGTGCGTGGCCAGATATCCAGTGGCCCGATATATATACGTTTTTAGTGGAGAGGCCCAGTAAGTACACACGTGAGAAGCTACGGGCATACAAATCTTTAGATGCATACAACTATGTTGTCTGTGGCCACGTACAGAAAGTAAAATATCACGACATAGACTCTGAGTTTTGCGTCTTGAAGGCAGAAGTCCTTCCTAGCCAAAGACAAGGACACAAGACTGCTATGTACGAGGCTTGGGTCATAGTAAACAAACCAGAGAACTACGTCTTCACAGCCAACTGTACCTGCATGGCAGGGTGAGTATAGCATAGGTTTCTTTTTTTTTTGCGGGCTCAGAGTACAATCGTGTGAATTTTAGAGAAATACAGTTTATACTAATATTCAGTGTAAATAAATGTAAATAAATAGACTGCTTAAAAGCAAACCAGCAAACGCAACTTACTTTATTTAATAGAAAACACGTTAACCAGCTTTCTGGTGTAATCTTAGTACATAATTACCTTACCTGATATAAAATGGGCGCTACAAACTCGAGCATTTCGGATCGTGTTTTCAGTCCAGTTTTCATCTACCCTTTTGATGGCCTGCAGCCACAGACGCCTCCGATTTTGTTGAAATGGATGTGGTCCCTTCGGAATTCTGTAAAGTTTCAGTCCACTGCTTGAAGAGGAGCGATTCTGGCATCCATACACGCAACAACCCGACATTTCTATGTGCTCAGAACTTCAAAACAAAGGGTTTAAAACGCTGTTTTAGTATCGAGTGTGAATGAGGAAGCCTTCACTCTCGTTGCCAGGCTGCGCGCGCAACTTTTGATGATGTAGGTAGTAAAAGGGTCTATTTACGGAAGTTGCCTCCCCAGCTCACCACTCAGTCATCATTTCTTCAGATTCATGATCAGAGTTTCCAATCAACCGATCCATCTTACGAACTATCCGCTCACAGTAAGTGTTCTTACTTACTTCTGGAAAACCCAGCATTTCCGTGTCACTTCATTGACGTTCGAACACTCGGGGATTCCTAGATTAAATCGTGAGCCGGCGTTTCACCGACACTATCACTTCCGCGTCTGTGAAACCACGCTTTCTACAAGCTCAACTCCCGAATCCAGCCGACCAGTCTGACATTATGCTGCTGTTGCTCTAAGGGTGAAGTCAAAGTTCAGTGAGAGAGATGGTGTGTGTATACGATGCTGTGGCCATCTGTGTGTGCTTTTTTACATGTTTACATATCTGTTCACAGAAAAGAGCTTCTGCCTGAAATGATAATTAGACCAGAGTGAGATAAAACCTTGTATTACTGTCAGAGCCCAGAGGAAACAGTGTATGTGTGTATATATGTGTGTGTGTGTGTGTGTGTGTGTGTGTGTGTGTGTGTGTGTGTGTGTGTGTGTGTGTGTGTGTGTGTGTGTGTGTGTGTGTGTGTGTGTGTGTGTGTGTGTGTGTGTGTGTATGTGTGTGTGTGTGTGTGTGTGGTCTCATCCTTCCAAGCTCAGGTCCTCTACCAGAGGTCTGGGAGCTTGAAGGTTCTACAGTATCGAAGCTGTTCCTAGAACTGCACTCTTCTGGACTGAGATGTTTGATGTTTTTGTGGGATCTGCCTTAGCCTCTCCTCCAGTTTGGTGGTTACTGCCCTGAGTATATCTATCTAACAGAAAATGTTCGACCTCCTTCATTGCCAACAAAGTGTTTATAACAAAGTATTGAGATGAATTTTCACTATTGACCAAATGTTTATTTTCCACCATAATTTGCAAATAAATCCTTTAACATTCAGACAATGTAATTTCTAGATTTATTTTTCTCAATTTTTCTCTTGTAGTTGAGGTTTACCACTGATGAAAATTACAGGCCTCTCTCAACCTTTTAAGTGGGGAGAACTTGTTCAACTGAGGCTGACTAAATACTTTTTTGCCCTTATATAACTGTATATATATGTCCTCTGCAAGCCTGTCGGAGAGCACTTGCGCCAACACATAATGGTGTTGCATGTCTCCATACCCGTGCCAAAGTATAAATTAGGCTTAAGTCTGCTCCTGATTCACTCCAAAACAACCATGATTTAGCAGGTTAGTTCAACTTGGTTTATATATAAAATCATGGAAGTAGGTTCTAATGACACACCTTGACCCCTGAAGTCACTCTCCTAAGTAAAACGCCTCTGCCTCTTCAGTAACGGCATAGCCCTGATTTGTTGTAACTTTGTAGTAAACAAGAAACGTCTTTAAAAAACCATAAGCTACAACATAATGATATATTTCAACCATTTTATACGATCAAATAGGTTTAACTGGTCATTTGGTTCTTCAATAATTAAAGAACCTAAGTATCAATCTGTGTTCCCAAACTAAGTAAGTCATAAAGTCAGAGGACCAACTTCTAATTGCTTTTCTGTTCTTGTCTTATTTATACAAAAGACCCCTCATGTCCAGTCAGATAAGAACCACCTCTCCTCATTGGTCTCTCTAATTTTACTTACGAGCTTTCCAGGCAAACCCGGATTCCCTGGTATCCCGTCGTTTCCAGGGATACCCTGAAAGAAGGAACTGAGGTTCAACTGGTTTGTTGCCAATCTGGTGTGTTGATGGCCACTCCCATCTCCACCAATGTTCAGGCAGAGTCAAAGGGGCAGGATTCAAACAATAACCAGTTCTCTGTCCTACCATGTCTTAATAAACTTTAATAAAGGTTTTGAGTTCATTCATTAATACCAATGCACCCTTGTCAAAGACATGGACTGTTCAATCCACCCAGATCCTCCTACCTTTACTTACACCTTTGACTCTTGGCAGCAGCATCACTTTATTTGAAGGTCTGTTTAGATTTAATGAAAACTCTTTTACAAATATACTGAATTCACTCATTTAAAAAGTTTTACATGATCATTTTGGACTTTCTCATTTGCAGCCAAACCTTCAAATAACTGTTCATGTCTTGGATGACATTCTGAAAGCTTGCTCAGTTGCTTCCCGTTTGGGTTAAAGCTTGAAGCTCCAGATGGGTTAGTGCGTTTTATCAACTTGATTTGCTGCTACAGGTTTTGCATGTCTGTCCAAGCTTTTGAACGCATACTGTGTATATCATCAGTCCACTTCCTACATGCATATCATGGACCCCTAATGAAGCAAAGCATGTCAAAGCCTTTTGAATGAACCCAGAGGCCCAAGCTGAAAGCCTACAGTAAAGAGACACTGGAAACTTTTCAGACCTTTTCAGTTTTACTTCATTTTAGGTTTCAGACACAACAAAAAGTCTTTTTTTCCTCCTCGTGAAGTCTTCACATCATACTCCACTGCACTAAAGCAAGGGTTTTTATTTCTCAAATATAAAAAAATACATTTCTTTTATCATGACAAAAAGGCTTCCCTGTTTAGATCAAATGGTTTCACTGTGAAACCGGTGTCTTCTCGTTGCTTGTAGGAATGATTTTACATCGTGATTCGGTATATTTAGGGTCTCGTGTGGGTGTATTTTTGAGTTTTACTGAGTTGGGAACAAGATTAATGAAGGATATTAAAGAGCAGTTCTTAATGATGATGGAGCAGCAGTAGCTCAGGAGGAAGAGCAGGTTGTCCAGTAATCAGAAGGCTGTAAGTTCGATACTGGCTCCTGCCAGAGAATACTGCTGTGGTGTCCTTGGGCAAGACACTAAACCTGTCTGCTGGTGGTGGTGGTCAGAGGGACCAGTGGCACCAGTGAACAGCAGTCTCGCTTCTGCCAGTGCGCCCCACATCTGCAGCAGATGTGGCTAATAATAATAATAATAATAATATTAATAATAATAATAATAATAATAACAATAATAATAATAATATTTACTGTAGCTCGTCACCACCAGTGTGTGAATGGGTGAACAACTGATTGAGTTTCTCAGTGGGACACGACTGTTGGCAAAAAGACTTTTCCAACTCGGTTCTAACTGGTGTAAATGTATCTGTCCTAAATCGTCTGCAGAAAGTCCAGAATGCTGCTGCCAGATTTCTCTCCAATGCAAATAAACGCTGCCACATCACTCCCATTCTGGCGGATCTACACTGGATTCCTGTGCAATTTCGAATTCAACACAAAGTTCTAACTTTTACTTACAAAGTTGGTCTAGCCCCCTTATAACTCTCAGAGCTGCTCACCCCCTACATCCCCCCGGTCACTAAGGTCTGCTGATCGTCTATTGCTCATAGTCCCTAAAATGAAGTATAAAGCTTGTGGGGAGCGTGTGTTCGCCTTTGCAGCTCCCAGATTTTGGAACGCACTCCCTCTGGTGGTACGCCAGGTTTCTTCACTGGCACACTTTAAATCCAGCCTGACGACACATTTTTTTAATTTGGCTTTTGGTCAATGATAGGTCTTTTATGCTGTGACTCTTCTGTTTTACTGACTTCTGTTTTTATTGACTTCTCTTTTATTGGCTGTTTTAAACATTTGTATTATTTTTAAGTGTTTCTATTTTATGACAGCTTTTATCTGTGTTTAATGTGTATGTATGTGTATTTTGAATGGCTTTTAAGGTTTAACTCTGTGCAGTGCTTTGGTCAGCTGACATGCTGTTTTTAAACTCGCTATATAAATAAAATTGGATTGGATTGGATTGGAAAAATCATTTGTATTGGAATGTTTACTTGTGCCTTGCTGTGATTTGCCATTATATAAATAAATTTAATTGAAGTACAAACCAACCAAAATGTGCATCAACAAACCACAAAAGAGCTTTCGGTTTGCTGATAGGTCAGATGTGTCTGAGGGCGGGACGAGCAGGAGTTCATACAGGAAGTAGGTGTTGGGTTCTTAGCTGGCCAATCAACAACAAGCCTTTCACAAGTCTTTACGAGTCATCTACTGGAACCAGAAAAGGTCATGATCAGTCTAATGATCAGTCTAAATAGTAACAGGGGAGCAAACCTTGTTCGTTCACCTCAGCATGCTTGTTTACAGGAAGATTTTTGGCTAAAAGGCTCTTGGTACGTTCTTTTGTTCCACAGCCTAGAGCCATTACTGAGTTCACATCTGCACAAACACAGTAGATTATTTGGGTAAAAAACACCCTCAAGTTTGGTTTCCAAAATATCAGGAAGGGGAAGAATGTGAGGCAACTTGGGAAGTTGTGACAGAGACATCAAAGACAATCTGGCCTTCTGGGCTCAAATGTGTGATTCTTCATGAGTAAACCAGAACAGCTGTGCAGGAATGTCTCATAAAATGTCACAACTGTGCAGTATTTTAGCACATGCAAAATGTTTATATGTACCACTTCTGTGTCATTTATGTATTTTTTCATTTTTAGCTTGTCTCCGGGTAGTAGTCACCAACAGTTGCAGCTCAGTGAGACTCTGCCATAAATTAGAGACACGTTCTTTACGGAACAGTGAAGAAGCTGAAGAAACTAAAGACTCCAAACACCTGCTCTGATCAGTGATGCTTTAGAATCGATGTGGGGATTCTGACGGGATTCAGGGAGAAAAACAAGGAATCTGTTGTAAGATGAGTTTGAAACATCAGAAAATGTAGAAAACGCAGAAGGGACTGAAAAGTTTCCATCAGCATGTTAAGTACATCCGAGTTCAAGTCAGGCAAACAAAGCAACCCCTGAGCTGAACTGGAGTGTCCGAAGCACCATCCAACTAGCCCTGTCTTTACCTGAGGGCCTTGGATCCCATTAACACCCTGGGGTCCAGGGGGGCCGGGAGGGCCGGGGGGACCTGGGGGACCCTGCCAAATACAATCACACGAGCACAGCTGGGACCAAAAACTCACCTTCAGCATACACAGAAGTCTGCTTTCTGCATGATTTGAGCAAGTTTACAAAAAGATACAAAGGTTTTAAACAAAACAGGTTCTTAGAAAATTCCGGATGACGGATCAGACCTGAGGGCCGAGCTGCCACATGTTTCCTGCTGTTCCTGGAGCTCCCTGGAAGGCAACAAAAGACTAAATCAGAGTAGAAAAAAGGAGTGCGGTTAAAAATAACTGTCAGTGAATGTCAAAGAACAAAAGGATGAGGAGAATGACGAGCCAAAGACTTTAGTTTCAGTCTGTTGTGGAGTCAGACTGAACTCTCAGCCGCAGGTCCATGAGGGTGTCTGAGTTCAGATGCGTGTACTCACAGGTCCACCTATGCTCGGCTGCATGGGCATAATGCAGTTGCACACCCCTGGTTCACCCTGAAACATACATGAAAAATGACCCATTAAAACACTCACACTTCCAGACTTGTTTATGAAAACCAAAACTGACCAAACAAAAGAGAAAATAGAGCACCGTGTCCGGAACAGCTGTACGTCCATAGGTTCAGCTGCTTATTGTTTGTTTCTTAGAGACTTGAAAACAAGTGAAATGTGAATCTTGTTTCCACAGAAAGCTCTTGTGTAATTAAAGCCTCTAAACTGGCCTCACAATCAATAAGAGGACACTTAGCAGCAGTTTTGACAACGTGGTGCTGGACGTGACCCTGGGTGTACAGGAAGTGATTCTTTTAGCTATAGCTGGAATATTAGTGAATCTTTCTGTAACACAAAAATCATGACAGTGTAAACATTTTTTAATAATTGCTATGAAATTATAGAATGAAGCTGAATCACTTAAACTAGCCCTTAGCTCGTCAGTCCCATTGCTATTTCTCTAAACAGAGGAAGCTATTACCTAAAAGGCCTTTAATCTTATTGATGCTTTTAAATGAATCCCTTAACTCTTCATTCACCTCTAATCTTTCCACCCGCCACCTTTGTTTTTGCTTCCTAAACTCCTCTCACAGTGTGGGCAGTGGCTCTCATACACACTCTTATAGTCACACACACACACACACACACACACACACACACACACACACACACACACACACATTCACACATGCACATTAACACACACAACAATCCAGATATAGCTCATTCTGCTTCTCCACTCTCTCTCTCTCTCTCTCTCTCTCTCTCTCTCTCTCTCTCTCTCTCTCTCTCTCTCTCTCTCTCTCTCTCTCTCTCTCTCTCTCTCTCTCTCTCTCTCTCTCTCTCTCTCTCTCTCTCTCTCTCTCTCTCTCTCTCTCTCTCTCTCTCTCTCTCTCTCTCTCTCTCTCTCTCTCTCTCTCTCTCTCTCTCTCTCTCTCTCTCTCTCTCTCTTCCAGGCCCATGAAACTCCTCACCAATGTACAACAGCACACTTGTCACCTCTGCTGCTATTCTATCTGTGGCCCCAGGTGTATGTATGTGTGTGTGTGTGTGTGTGTGTGTGTCTGAGGGGGGGGTGATGGTGGGGGGGGGGGGGGGGGAGTTGGCGGGGCACTGAGCCATCTCTTGTGATTACCATCTGTTCCGCTCCCTTATATTCAAAGCCCTCTAGTTCCTGTCATCCAAACAAAATGGTAGACTTACCTTGTCCCCTTTAGCTCCATCCCGTCCCTACAAGAGAGAGAAACACACACACACACACACACACACACACACACACACACACACACACACACACACACACACACACACACACACACACACACACACACACACACACACACACATACACACACACTTCAGTTACTTTTGCTGTGTTGGGAGGGCTCACAGGGCAGTGAGTAGAGGAGATTTGAGTGCTGGACGATGATGGGAGCAGACATGACCTCCTTAATGGATGGAGGCGCAGATCTTTAGTTACAAGCTTTGCCTAAATCTGCAACCATTCCCCAAACAAACCTCTGACAGATACAAAACCCTAAACATGCACTAAAGAATTTTTGTCTCTAAAACTGAGTTCAACTCACGGGCTTCCCATCAGCTCCTGCCTCTCCTTCAGGACCGGGGGCTCCATCTCTACCCTGTGAGTCAAAAAACATGGATTGTAAGAGCAAGAAATCCGTTTCATCACATTCAAAAGGCTCGTTTCATTCCTACCGCGGGCCCCACTGCACCAACACCCACTGGCCCCTGTGGCCCAGGGGGTCCCATATCACCTCTGGAGCCCTGTGATCATGAAAAACACAAAGGGAACATTTGCAGACATCCTAATATGAAAGTGGGTAAAGTATTCTTTGCTAGAAGGTACCTTCTCCCCTGCAGGGCCATCCAGGCCAGGTGATCCTCTGACTCCAGGTGGTCCCTGTACAAAAGAAACTGATTAGACCAAATTCTGAATGTGTCGTAGCAAGAGAAGGGGTTTAGATAAGTGAGTATCGTACGACAAGCCCTGGAAGGCCTCTTGGCCCCTCGTCACCCTATCACAGACACAAGAAAGATTACTTTAATAGTCAGACGAGAAACAAATAGAACTGAATAGAATATTTTCTGGAAGCATCAGAGTTACCTCTGGACCTGGAGGTCCAATTCCTGCAGCTCCAGTTTCTCCCTGCATGGGGTAGTAACCACCACAACGTAAACATGAAACCATGCACCCCAGTGTGTGCATTTATTTACATGTGGGTAAAACAAATGTACATGCTACCTTGCTTCCTTTGGGACCGGGCTGCCCTTGAACACCTGGTAAACCTGGTTTTCCCTGAAAATGTAATTATTTGACTTTAACATTTGCAAATTTCTGGACTAAAGAGCTAAGCATAAAAATCCCCTCACATTCTTGCCAGGCTTTCCTGCTCCTGGTGGTCCAGGTTCTCCTCTTTCTCCTTTGGGGCCTGGTACAGCCACACCATCAGCCACCGCAATGCCAAGGGGAGAACAGCTGGTACATGCATCACCCTGGAAGAGCAAATCCAAAACCTCACTTAGAAACTTTAGGTAAAACATTTTTTCAGGAAGGTCCAACTCACCATAATTTAATTTCTCACCAGGTTTACGAGCAGAAATGGCACATTCAAACATAATAAACTAGATTCATGTGCAAACCCAATGGCAACTTAACGTTAAGGTGAGTTTCCATAAAGCCACTCAGAACCTGGACCATCAACCTTTCTTTAAAGGCGCCTTGTTCATATTTTAAATCATTTTATTGAGCCAGTATGTGCTTAAGTGACCCTTTACAGTGTTTGTGAAAAGTCATCCACCCCCCTGTGGCCAGAATATCGCATCTGCAACTTTAGCGTGTCGGTCCATTCTGTTGGACTTATTAAGCGCTGCAGTCTGCTTCCAGCACCTTTCCTGCAGTTTTAGATCATGATCATGATTTGTTTAATTTACTGATGAATCACTCCTGTAGACACTAATGAAGGCTGGGAGACATTTCAGCTGTTAGATTAAGATGTAAAAAAAAAAAAAAACGCACAGTGAAGAGATAAGTTTTGCTCTTGGTTCTACAAAACGGACACTAGGGGGTGCTAAAAGCAAGTCAAACTGCCCAGTCTCCTTTTAAACCCTGGTTTGTTAGCGATCCAAAAAGGTCTGTGCTACAGAGCTATTGGGCTAATAACAATAGCATCATGAAATGCAAATTTAACAGCATCACAATGAACTGAATCTTTCACATAGTGGTCCAAGTACCTTCTCCCCCTTCAAGCCCCTTAGTCCATCCCGACCAGGCTCTCCAGGCAGTCCCGGGACTCCAGGAGATCCATCCAGTCCTTTTTCTCCTTGGTCTCCTTCTTCACCCTGGTATAAGTCAAACGTTGGCAATAAAAACAGACAGAAATTGTTGTCGGATCACTAGTGGTGTAGACTCAGGTTTCGTTGCACCACCGTAACAAAGCCTTGGTGGTTTTAAAAGAAAGAATAACTGATTATTTATTTTGCTCCCAAATAAAAACAGTTGTTTCATCTCAGTATTTTAGGAACTGTCTGGCTCTGCTTTGAAGTTGAAGCTGAGCGATTCCAGCGCAGACGTTTTGGGGTATTTTAAAGGCATGCTGGCTCTGTTGACGGCAGATTTACATGCCAGGTTTTTCTGAGTAAAAAGTGAACAGCGTGTTCCAAATAACAAATCTGGTGGCTTAAAATAGAGCATAAGCTGGAGTATAAGTGCCTAGTTTCTCTAAAATCTTGATCCTTAATGTAAAATTAACGAAGAATGTCTCAAAAGTCTTTTTCAGGTTTTATGAGAGGATTATTGAAGGAAGATGTAGGACAATGAGTTATTAAAAAGACTGGCAGAATCCCCAAGAGGCTCGATTGACTGGTTTTAACTTCTCTGCTAATAACAGGGCTTCTTAAACGTTGTGTGAATTCCTTGCTGGGTCCCAGCAGGGGCTCACTGCCTGTGAAAATGCATCCAGAACATCTATTTATAAAAGGAAATCAGTGAGACACTTAAACAGGAAGCTTACCTTTTCTCCCCTAGCACCAAGCGGCCCCGGGGGTCCCTGTCAGAGCAAAGATAGCAGTTCAATCATCTGCAGGTAGTGAACAAGAATCTGTCCATGCAAATGGAATAAAAATGGTTGACATGACGCTAAACCACATGAAGCTACCAAAGATGCACGCAGCATTTCATCGAGGACAGAAGTCAAAAGAGACTCTAGAGCACATGTGTCAGACACAAGGCCCTCAGGCCAGATGTGGCCTGCTGAGCATTTTTATGTGGCCTGCGAGAAAAATTAAAACTGACCCGCTGGCGGATTTTACCGCAAATACTACAACTCCCATGATGCTTTGCAGTGTTAGCGCGGAGCCGAAGCACCCCCTCCTTTGTGTTTGTTCCAGCGTCTGCTGCCGGTGTCTGCAGCTCCGCTGTCTTGGACAAACTAAACACTCCTCTAACTCACCGTCGTTTACTCAGCTATTTGCCGACTTTGAAGCCCAGAAACTGAGATTTTAACCCCTCAGTAATGTGTTCACGACTGAAAGAGAAAGTTTTCCAACTAACTTCCAGACAGAGCTGATATAACTCCAGTGAGCAGCGACACGCTCAAATCAGCATGACTCTGTGGCTGCTGTAGTTTTTATTTTTCCTCCCCGACACACAACAATGTGGTCCAGCCACCATTACCATTACCACCATTGTGGTAATATTACACAGATTTTCCAGCATGGTGAATGTTGTAAAAAGGGACTGACGGTGACCTGGCTTTGATGCTACTGGATTTTAAGTAGTAATACTTTGTTGCCCAATAGTGTGGGTCTTTTTATTTTATGGCTTATTTAGTAAGATTTGGCTCATGTTAGTGTTAGCTTGTTGGCAGCGTTAGCTACAGCAAGCTGCAGCAGGGTTGTTTATGACAGCTGTAATTCTACTTTCAACCAGTAGGGCAACAGAGCTGGTAACTGTTTTGTATTACTGTAGCTCCTCCATATCCGTCCATAAACTATTTTAAGTCTATTCTGGTGAAGGTTCTGTTATCCAGCTGATGGTGATGCAGAAGAGCTCAAATGAAGGCAGCTGGACTTCATTGGTTTCTTGAAGACGTTGTGCTTCTTATCTGAGGAGCGTTGTCAATTCTAACTGGAATATGGGAGAGTCAAGCGTATAAGCTATAAATATATATACACCTTCTCATTCAAAGTGCTGTCTTTATTTTCATGACCATTTACATTGGGAGATTCTCACTGAAGGCATGAAAACTATGAATCAACACATGTGGAGTCATGTACTTTACCAAAAAAGGTCAAATAACTGAAAACGTGTTTAATATTCTATTTTCTAAAAGGCAGTCACCCTTTACTCTGATTACTGCTTTGCACACTCTTGGTATTCTCTCGATGAGCTTCAAGAGGTAGTCCTGACTGTTGGAAAACCATTTCAGGTGACTACCTCTTGACGCCCATGGTTCAGTACATACCTCCACATGTGTTCATTCATTGTTCTGATGCCTTCAATGTGAATCTAGCAATGTAAATGGTCATGAAAATAAAGTAAACACATTAAGTGAGAAAGTGTGTCCAAACTTTTGGCCTGTACTGTATGGATCAAAATTCTCATGAAGAATGTAGAAGACTTGCCGTGGACAAAAACATAAAGTTCACCAGGGATGATGCCCACAACAATCAACTGCCCTTCTTGGAGACTGTGCTGTGCAAATTAAACAAGATGGAAGTCTCAGCTTTGAAGTCTAGGAAACCAACTCACACAGACCAGTATTGCATTTCAACTCACTCATTGTGGGTGAGGTGGAGAAATGAAAGGAAGTGCTTTTGCAAAACAAATAAGAGAAAATCCACAGAGTGGCACAGCGTTGCTGAAGCCGTCAAAGCTGAGTTCTTCAGAGAAATCTGTGGCAGATATAAAAAATAATGGCCCAATCGGGATTCGATCCACAGACTCCTGGGTGAAAGTCACACGCGCTAACCAGTCACCCAAAAGAAGATCTCCTTGTCCAAGTAGCCAGGGCGCATAATTAATCGGGTTACAATGACAGGACGCTCACACTGTCACAGATGCATGACATTCTGTCTCAATCTGTCCCCTTGCTGATATTTAGTATTCTGCACTTCAGGATGTGTGTGTGTGTGCAGGCGTGTGTGTGTGTGTGTGTATGTGCATGCACGTGTGTGCATGTGGGGGGTCTTGTTCTGTGTGAAAACGAAGTGGTACAAGTGATAATGCTGCAGGATTTCATAATTTTATCCTCAGCAGCAGCACTGCAGGTGCTCTCCATGTCCAAAAGCAAGTCAACTTAGTCAACTTAAAGTTGCGCACATTTTTCCGCTAAGTTTTCTTTCATAAATCCCAAAGTTTGCGTGGAAAGTTGCTTACGCAGTTTTCCGACCCAGTTTTTTCCATAAGCAAGCTTGATAAATGAGGCCCCAGGACTTTACACCAACAGGCCGAGAAAGAGAAACACATCAATAAAGCTCTTCAGAACTGCAGATGCCATAACTGGGCCTTAGTGAAATTAACAAAGAAGTCCGGAAAAGCATCCACAGCAGCAACCAGCAAAGAAAAGGACAACAGGCACAAATGCACCATCATCCCATACATGGCAGGAGTCTCAGAGAAACTTAGAAGAATCTTCTCCAAACACAACATCCCAGCAAACTTTAAACCCAAGAACACCCTCAGACAGAAACGGGTCCATCCAAAAGACAAAACACCCTTCCAGTACTGATAATACAGCTTTGAATCTCATTCCTAAGCAGTTTCAGTCTAGGTCACACCTTCCTGTATGGAATCAACACAACGACTCCCTCTCAGAGGCCAACGACTCATCAGGGGATGGAGAGGAGGGGTACTCAAGAGTAGTTTCTGCTTGTTAAATACCAACAGACAGCTAGAGCTTATAGCTTGACTCTCCCATATTCCAGTCAGAACTGACGAAGCTCCTCAGATGAGAAGCTAAACGCCTTCAAGAAACCAAAGAAGTCCAGTTGCCTTCATTTGGATTATTTTACGCCTATTTCACGTCCTGTTGTAGATTGGGACGAGCAATTATGCAGTAATAAGCAACAAAACCAAAATATCGTTATATGAAATGAAAAGGTAACCAAGAAGTGAGTCTGAATTTGGTCCATTATGGAACTTTCCCCCCATTCACACTAGTCTGTTTCTCTCTGTATGCTGATATGTAGTTAACGTGAGCACCTTCACCGCCCAGTGGTCAAGGAGGTATTTAACAGACTCCCAAACATCCTGGTGCTTCCTTCTGGACTTTTTTGTTAAGGATGAAAAGGAAGAGGGCTATCAGAATGAAAGGCGTGGAACAGATCTAGCATATTATACCTAATTACTAAAGTAATAAAATAATTAATGGCTGCTGCCCTGATATTTTTTATCTATTCAGCAAGATCAAACAAATGTGTTTCAACTAGGGCTGCACAATAAATCGAAAAAGTATCGTCATCGGGATAACAGGACGTGCAATAGGCCCATCGTAAAACATGTCAAAAATGGCGATAAATGTTTGGTTCAAACATATCCATTCGTGTCATACATCAACTTTTTGTAAATTAGCTCTGTTTTTTACATGGAAGTATTATTTGACCAATCAAATGTAGCTCTCCTGATATGCGGCAAATCAGATGGGTCAGTTTACGTAATACGCCCGCCCCCTACGTAGACCCTTAGGAACGAACTGAGTTAGCTTAGCGTCGAAATGACTGAGAGCATGAGCGAGGAAAATGTTGGCGAGGATGATGACCTCGTGGTAAAACAAAATGGCAATTCTTTCATTAGGAGATACTTCGGTTATGAGAAAGACGGCCAGCTACACTCAAAGGTACTCTGCAAGTCTTGCCGAAGAGTTGTAGCTACTACCAGGGGAAACAGAACAAATCTCCAGTGTCACCTCTGTCACCTCCAATTCAACCACAGAGAACTGTATGACGAGTTTCAAAGAGCTAGCATTAGCAAAACCAAAGTTTCTAACGTTAAGACAGTTTGTTGTTTTGCTGCTAATACAGTAGCAGGTGCAGCTGCATATTTTTTCAATAAAAATGTTATGTTGTGATGGAATTCATGCATTAGTTTTTGTTTGCTTTGAACCCAGAGCAGACGTCACATGCCAGATGACATCAACACTGCATACTTAATATTTGTTCATTTATCGCAAGTGATATCGATATTGCAATAATAAGCACTGTTATCAAATATCGCAGGTTTTCCTAATATCGTGCAGCCCTAGTGTCAACGTTGTCACAGAGAACCGTTGAAGTAAAGGAGATTTCTGGGAACTCTTCCCAGTGTTTTACACATTTTCTGAACAAAATCCACTTTTATTTTTATAATAACGATATTTGTGTAACAGATATCTCATTTCATTGGAGCTCATTCAAACCTGTTTGCCATCAGCTCCGAGACCTGGAGGTCCAGGCGGACCTGGAGGGCCAGGTTCACCTTTTCTTCCCTCCGGCATTTTAATTCCAGCAGGCAAAGGACCAACCTCCGATGGCTGGCACACACCACACTCGCCCTGGGGAAGGACAGGAAGTCAGAAAGGACGGTTAAGCTAAACGACACGTGATTAGCTCATTTCGCTCCTTACCTTCTCACCCTTTAGGCCAGGATTACTGACACCAGGTGGGCCTTGTTCTCCCTGTTAAAACATAAATGCATCATTTAACTCACATGGTTTACACAGGCAATGGAATGGCTTTAGAAAGACAAGGGACAAGGAAATAAAAGATAAACTTTCTCACAGAGGAAGAAAACCAAATTTACTTCCTTTGGAATAACATTGAGTTTGATGCCATTAAACAGAACAAAACATTTTGGATGTAAAATACTGTATACTGTACTATATTACATGAGTACACCCCACTACATTTGTCAGAAAACCCTTAGTGTCTTTTCAGAACCAACGTTTTCTATAAGACACTTTAATACAAAATAGTCCCACAAATATGGGCCATTGATTGTAAACAAGATTGGTTAATTTTTACACACAAAAAAATGATTTTCCTAAAAAATTCATTCAAGTCCATGTTGCAAAATAAGTAATCTGTCCATGTAGGCCCTATGGACCATTTCTTGATCTGTCAGCAACGGCTCCAGATGGAAGAGGAATGTCACAACATCTGAGAAAGGAAATCATTTCTTTTCTCCATGCACTTGGTCGTCGTGCACTTTTCTAACACAACGATGATCCAGAACACACATCTAAAGCTACTGCTGCATTTCTGAAGATCAGGGTGAAGGTGATTGGATGACCATATATGTCTCCTGAACTGAACCCAATCCAACACCTGGGGAATTCTGCAGCAGCAAGTAGAGCATCACTCTCCATCCAGCATCCAGCAAGTGGTTCTTCTTGAAGAATGGAAAAAGATGTTGCAACAATGCTGCAGCTTGTTCATTCCATGCCTAGAAGACTTGGTGCTGTCCTTGAAAATCACGGTGGTCACACAAAATACTAGATGTAGAAGTTTTTGTTGTGGGGTGTATTCATTTTTGCTTCAACCAATTTTAGTAAAACTGAAGATTTTGTTATGTAAATTATTTTATTAACCTTAATTTCATGTTATGGAGTTAAACACATGTTCAATTAAACCCAGCCTTGTGAAAATTCTGCAAATTATTCTTTTGTTCATTGAACTACTGCTTACATTTGTATTTTTAAAGGGGTGTACTCATTTATGCTGAGCACTATATGTAGTAGCAGCTGTTTCTCCTTCTCATCAGAGGAGAGCCTCCCACACCAGTGGTGTTCTGCTGCTGAATACGTGAGTGTGTGATGAGTGGAGGGCCCAGGGAAGTGTAGTGGTTCGGCGAGACTGACAATCAGATGGTCCAATGGTTGGTTTGTAACCAAGCAGTGTTATTGGCTGAGGTCTTTAGACAAATGCGAGAGAGCTACTTTATCCTGAATTTGAATGCACTACATGCCTTTAATTTTTAATTTGTTTTATTCTGATGTTTGTTCCGTTTGATGTCTTGGTTTTGCCACGTTCAGCAACTTGTGTTTCACTTGTGTTTGAAAAAGTGTTAAATAAATTAAAAAAGCAAGTTGAGCCAAGGGTCAAAAAGTGAGTGTGTGGGAGTTTACTCTTTAATGCATATGTATCTGCTAATTAAAATATGTAGGAAGGCCAACTTTATGCAAGACTGTCTTAGTGCATCAGAATATTCTTGGCTAGAGAGAAAGAGGCATGATTCCATGTAATGTTCCAGTCAGTGTGACTAACCTGTTATTTTAATTTATGTAAACAGTTATTCTAATTAGACATGTCTCTGCTAACTGGTTTTGGGCGCTGTACCCAAAGCACAAAAGACAAAAATACATATATTCAGTTGTCATTGTTTTTTATTGTATAGAATTATTAAGCTTGAATAAAACATTGAAAGAACTCGATATTTGGTTTTCCTACCTTTGCACCTTTCTGTCCATCCTTGCCACCAGGTCCCCTCGCTCCAGGCTTCCCCTGTCACATGGTCACATTTTATTTCACAACACCGCCAGGTTGTGGAGCGAAACATTCTGTTTGAGTGAAGCTGCACTTACCGGCTTACCATCAGCTCCTGTGCTGCCTGCGTTGCCCTGCAGACAAGACGTGTAAAAAGAAATCACAGAATTTTTTAAATAGATAAAAATGGATGAGGTTTTAAATTGGTAATTCACCCTTCATGGTAAGTTGCACCCTACAGGCAGCGGTGTCAAACTATATTGGTTTTTGAGTACCTAGACTCGTCACTAATAAGTTTCCAGCTGAAGATTATCCCCAGGGTCCACAGGCTGGGGCCCTAAAATTAGTGATCCACTGTGATTTTGGTCCTGATGAAGTCTGTTAAGAGTGCTGCTCAGACACCTACTTGGTGAGATTCTCCCACAGAAACTGTGCCAGCTATTGGGGTCAGCTCTATGCTTTTATTCCTCTTCTTCTTTTTGTTTAGCTTTTCTCACCTTCTCTCCTTTAAGCCCAGATAAGCCCGTGTTTCCTGGCTCCCCCTGTGAAGCAGAAGCAACAGATGATATTATTGTTTTAACGGTGTTTAGCACAGCTACTACCTGCATGGAAGTACATTTCCTACCAGAAAAGGAAAAGTCCTGTGGTAAAAATCTCATTTCACAAGTTTTGTGTTGCTACTGTTTCAGCTTATGTACATCTCATTTTTAACATCATTAAACAGTGTCTAGATAAGAAGAAGAAAAGATCATTTCTATAGCGCCTCTCAAGATAAAAATCACGAGGCGCTTCACACAAAAAAAAAGTTAAAATATAAAAATGCATTTTGAAAATGTTTAAAAATATATTTAAAATGAGCAAAAATAGACAATTGTGATTTAAAAGAAAAAATGTTAAGAAAGAGAGAGAGTGAACAGGAAAGAGGGAAATCAGTGGACCCTGAGGAAGGTGGAATAGGTGGGGAGAGCAGAATAAAGAGAGAGTGGTGAAGAAGGTCATACAAAAGCCAGTTTGAACAAGTGAGTCTTCAGCTGCTTTTTGAAGGAGACCACTGAGTCCACTGATCTCAGGCTCAGGGGGAGAGAGTTCCAGAGTCTGGGGGCCACAGCAGCAAATGATCTGTCACCTTTGGTCTTTAGCCTGGTGCTTTGATCAGTGGACCTCAGGGACCTGCTGGGGGTGTAGGGACTAAGAAGATCACCAATGTAAGATGGTGCTTGTCCATGTAGGCCCTATAGACCAGAACCAGGATCTTGAAATGAACCCTGAAGTTTACTGGCAGCCAGTGAAGCTGGAGGAGAAGCGGGGTGATGCGGGTGTATTTGGAGGACTTGGTCAGAAGCCGACACAGGCATTCTGAACCACCTGTAGACAGTTCAGGGAGGTTCTGCTCAGACACATGAAAAGAGAGTTACAGTAGTCTAAGCGTGAGGAGATGAAGGTGTGGAGAACAGTCTCAAGTTCAGAGCGGGACAGAATGGGACTCAGCTTAGCAATGTTCCTGAGATGGATGAAGGAAGAGCGAACAAGAGAACTGATGTGAGAATTCAGGGTGAGAGTTGGATCAAAGGTCACACCAAGATTCCTGATGGAAGGTTTGGTGTGGGAAGCAAGCTGACCAAGAGAGTCTCTGACTTTGGGAACCAGCTTGTCTGGGGCACAGATGAGGATCTCAGTCTTATCTTCATTCAGCTGTAGAAAGCTCCCAGCCATCCAGGCTTTGATAGAGTCTAAGCAGGTGTGTAACAGCTGCAGCTTAGACATCTCATGGGGCTTAAAGGAGATGTACAGTTGGATGTCATCTGCATAAAGATGGTAGGAGATTCCTTTGAAGGAGCTCAGGATGTGCTGAAGAGGAAGCAGATAGAGGAGGAAGAGCAGAGGCCCCAGCACAGAACCTTGTGGGACACCATGGGTAAGAGAGGTGGTGGAGGACCTAAACTTGGAGACGGCCACAGAAAAGGAGTGCTCAGAAAGATAAGAGGAGAACCACTCCAGAGCAGATCCTGATAGGCCTACCCAGTCTCTCAGCCTCTCCAGTAGCAGGTGATGGTCAACAGTGTCAAAGGCTGCAGTCAGGCCCAGCAGAACCAGAACAGAACAGTCCCCTGCATCACTGTGAGTCAGAAGGTCATTAGAGATCCTAAGAAGAGCTGTTTCAGTAGAATGAGCTCTACGAAAACCTGACTGGAAGCTATCATAGATGTTATGTTCATCAAGAGCAGCTGTGAGTTATTTAGCCACAACCTTTTCCAAGATCTTGGAGATGAACGGAAGTTTAGAGATGGGTCTGAAGCTGCTATGGAGAGGGGTCGAGACTCGTTTTTTTAAGAAGCGGGTGGATTACAGCATTCTTAAAGTAAGCAGGGACCTGACCAGAAACCAGAGAAGCATTAATTATAGAGAGCACGCTGGGACCGATGGACTGAAAAGCACTTTTAAACAAAGATGAGGGTAAGATGTCGAGGGGGCATGCAGAGGTCTTCATAGAGTTAACTAGTTTGGTTAACTCAGGCAAAGAAACAGGAGCAAAGCTATCTAGGATGATGCGCCTGGTTGGAGTCGGGAGAGGCGGCGATAAGGCTGAAGGAGAGATGCTAGATCTAACCTTATTGACTTTGTCCACAAAGAAAGACAGAAAGTTCTCACAGTCTGCCACAGAGTGGATGGAGGCTGTAGGAGAGGCAGGAGAGACGATGCTACTGATGGTGTTAAACAGTACCTTGGGGTTCCCTTTGCTCTGGGACACCAGGTTGGAGAAATAGGAAACCCTATAACCCTAGCATCTCTGACTGCAGAGTTAAAGGATGTCAGAAGATCCTTTAGGTGCAGCAGATGGATGTGGAGATGGGTTTTCTTCCACAAGCGCTCAATTTTTCTGCATTGGCGCTTCAGGCTGTGAAGGCTGTCAGTAAACCAGGGAGTAGGGTTCACTGCAGATAATAAGATCAGCTAAGATAATAACTAGATATCTTAAAAATGAACTTTTTCAACGCTTTCAGACATTAAAAATTGAATTTTAAAACTGAAATTTACTTTTTTGTCTCTGCTTGGGTTTCAAACCTTATCAATTCTGTCCCGGGTGACAGGATAGGTGCCCTTCCACAGATGATAAATAGGGATAGATTTAATAAAAATAGAAAAAAAAAACAAATGATTGAATATAAATCTTCCTAAAGAAACGAGATAAAGTACTTTTCTTTTGAGTGCAGAACCTGAACTGGACTATTAGAAGCAGTTTCCTGCTGTGTGAGTCAAACACTGAATGCAGCATTATTGATTGAGACTAATCTCTTCCTGTGATAACTTTAAAGCCAGTGATTAGTTTATTTTAACGTGTTGAATCTTTGCTGCTAACTGGGAATGGAACTAAATATTCTTGAACTGTTTTATATTGTCTAAGCTACTTGTACGCTCAGCACTTGTAGTTTTACACTTTGATGCTAGCTAGCCCGGCAACTATCTGATTAACTGATTACACACAAGATAATTTTCACCATGTTCACCTTTTATCGTTGGAGTCAAACCAGTCGGTCTGATTTTAATAAAACTCTGTGACAGTGGATGAACAGCCTTTCAAGATGGCTGCCACAGCTAAGTTTAACTATTAACCATAGTTAAAAATGCTATAACCTTGTCAATTTAATTAATAATGGTTGGTCTCTAAGAATCACAGCTACTGCCTAGCTTACACGACAGGATCATTATAATGATGTATGCCCTCTAAAGATAATCTTATCAGATAATCCTGCTGTGAGTGGTGTGTTAGGGAGGATGTCAGGACAAACGTGAGGACAAACGAGTCTGCTGCCTGTTGAATGTGATGTGTGATCTAAGCACCCTGCATGGAGCGAGGCAAATCCAAATCCTCTTCCTTGTCCTCTGTGTTTTTTGTATTTCCAAAGTCATGTTCGATCTCAAGAGGTTTTACGAATGTTCCTGTTTGACCTGGGAATGTTTGTGTGTGCATTGTTGTTTCTTTTTTGAAACACAGAAAAGGTTTATTTTTTACCTTGCTGCTGACAGTTTCGTTCGCAGCTGCAAACATACTCAGAGCTGATGCTGATAGTATCGTCACTTCCTACTCCATTTATCCGCGGGCAGCAGAGGACGATGTTGCCCTCTGCTGCCCACTTTCCCCTCTCCAATGATGCAGTCCCATGCGCGATCCAATGTGTAAACCCTATCGTCTGTTCATGGTCCCACATCCACGTCTCCTTATCTTGATTGCTTCTTTTATCCATCTTTTGCATTTCTGTTGTTTGGTGTTTATGATCCGTGTGTTGTCCCAGTCCATTATATAGTTTTCTCTTGTGCAGTGATCTGTTACGGCTGACTTCTTTATTGTACTTTCTGCTTCTTGTTTTGCCGCTCTTGTGCATCTTCGACTTGTTTCTTTCTCGCACTCCTTTCTATGTTCTATTGTTCGTGTGTTGAGTTGGCGTCCGGTTTCTCCTATGTATGTTTTATTGCAGAGTTTGCATGGGATTTCGTAAACGACTCCACATTTACGTCCAGCTGGTAACTTGTCTTTTGGGTGCACTAGTCTGTTTCTAACTGTTGTGTATGATTTTGTTGGTGTGTTTATGTTGTGTTTTTTTCAATGTTGCTCTTATTTTTTCTGTTATGCCTTTGATGTATGGTATGGTTTTGGTTCTTCTCTTTCTGGGTTTATGGTTCTTTGTTTAGGTTGTTTTTTTCTTTCTGTTGTTGTTTGTTGTTTTCCTTTGTTTATCGCCCATGTCGGGTATGCGCAGGTCTTTGAAGCATGTTATATGTGTTCGTCCTCTTGTTTATGGTCTCTTTCTTCTGTTATTATGTTTGCTCTGTGATATAATGTTCTGATTACTGACATTTTGTGTATGGTGGGGTGTTCTGATGTCCATAATAGATATTGGTCTGTGTGTGTTGGTTTTCTATATGTGTTTATGTTTAGGGTCCCGTCGGTCTGCCTGGTGATTTTCATGTCCATAAATGCTATGCTGCCTTCTGTTTCTGACTCATATGTGAACTTTATGTTGCCTGTGTCGTCAATGTTATTTAAGTGTTGTGTTAGTGTTTCTGTTTGTCCTTTTGGTATGATTTCCAGTATGTCATCCACGTAGCGTTTCCATAGTTTTATTTTGCAGTTTGGGGGGCAGTGGCTATGGCTTTTTGTTCTAGGTCTTCCATGAAAAACTCGCACAGGGTTGCTGACAGCGGGTTACCCATGGCGAAGCCTTCCAGTTGTTTGTATATTGTGTTATCGTATGTGAAGTAAGTGGAATTAGCTACCAGTCCTATCAGATGTGCTATGTCATCTGCTGTGAGGTTTGTCCTTTTGGTATGATTTCCAGTATGTCGTCTACGTCCTCTGCTGCCCGCAGATAAACAGAGTAGGAAGTGACGCCACCATCAGCGTCAGCTCTGAGGAAGTTTGCAGCTGCGAACGAAACTGTCAGCAGCAAGGTAAAAAAGAAACATTTTCTGTGTTTTAAAAAAGAAACAACAATGCAGTTAGAAAAGCAACACAGTAAGAACATACCAAAGATGCTTGTGTGTGGTGTGTTTTCCTTGCCATGTGGCTGCACACCACACACTGTAGGACTGAAACCTTGTTTGTGTTTTCCGTTACCATGAGTGGGGTCTGTCATACCTAACACACCCACTGAGATCTAAATGACTGTAAGAGATTGTTGTTTTAAGTCAACTGTTTGCAGTCAGTTAGCTGGCTCTATTAGTTAGCTACCATGGTGATAACTGCCTGTAGATTTCAATGAGACTTTTGACACATTATTTACTTGACTTAAAATTGTCAAGTTATAAGTAATGGTCTATAACATTTTCCTTTTCTTTGTTTACAAATGTAAATATTACTTCAGTTATTTCTTTATTCACCTATAATATACATATTAGGATAAATCTGGTCATAAAATGATCTGTCTACATCAACAGCCTGCTGGAAGACACACAAATTCCCATCAGGGGCCCTAGCAGCACTCAGGGGCCCTAGCTGGACACACCTCTCCTATCATTTGTTAGAAAACCTTCAAAAGATTTACCGGTTCCCCTTTGAGTCCGATCCCAGGCTGGCCCTTCTCACCCTTCAGCTGCAGAGTTGAGGGTAGAGCACCTGGCAGCTGTCCATTGGTGGGGCACGAGGAACACGGTTCCCCCTGAAGAACATTCAGGAAGTTGGACTTTAATATACATCTACAGGATACGAGTGCTGATTCACACAGATTAACTAACGAGTGACTAACTAGAGTTAATCAATAAAAACTAACAAAGTTGGACACAATCTGCAGTTCCAATCATGTAATTAATTAGGTAAATTTAATCTGCAAGAATAAGACAATGGTGTTTAACCTCTTGCTTAAAGACAGAAAAAACAAGCTGACCTTTTCTCCTTTGGCACCAAAAGTTCCTGGTTCTCCCTGCCAGAACACACCAAAACACAAATTATTCCCAGCTCCTCCTGCCAAGCACACCTGCTTTGAGTTCTCACTTCTGAACTTTGGAAGTACTTTGGTCTTTATAATTTGGCAGATGTGTGTGTGTGTGTGTGTGTGTGTGTGTGTGTGTGTGTGTGTGTGTGTGTGTGTGTGTGTGTGTGTGTGTGTGTGTGTGGTATAGACACACGATTATAGAACTACACCTACATAGATGTGTTTATGAACTTTTTCTTTTGCACTTTGCTTCGAAAATGTTTTCTTGCGAGAGTCTGCTGAAGTGCTGAGGTTGCCATATCTGAATGTGCAGGAGTGCAGATGAGCAACCATAGGCCACACTTCCATAGAAGGTGGATGAACCCTAAACTGCATTTGAGTGAGTACCTGTGGTCCGGCTTTGCCGTCTGCACCTGTAGGGCCCTGGTGAATACAGAGAGAAATGAAGTACAGAGGGATCATCAGAGGTAGGGCTGTAGGTGAGAGAGAGGGAATGACTCGTCCTCCCGTTCTGTGGCTTGTTCTCGCTCGGCCCTAACCAAGTATGACAGATTGATGCTGGGGCTATTGGAAATCGTTGCCCAGAGAATCTTATAAGGCCAACGATTTATATTCTATCACCCTTCCTTCGTTGTTTGTTCTCTCTCTCACCTGCTGGAGTAAAGGGGAGTTGGAAAAACAGAATTTAAAAGGACACGAAAAGTACCATTTTGAGTTTAGACTCACTCAAGACTAGCCTAACTACACAGCTGATAGCCTATCAAGTCTTTTCCACTCAAATTCCAAGAATTAAATCCTCAGGAATGTCCTCAAGGTGGGTATGAATCCAGTTTTTCTTCCAAATGATAAGAAAGATGAAATATAGATGGGGAGATATGCTATCACAGTCAAGCTCCCAGGGTTCAGTTGTCAGCTACACTCAGGCCGTGTCTACAGGTCTAATAAAACATGCAACAAGATCATGAAAATGTAAAGCACAGCACGTCAGCAGAATACATTAGGGAGGCGTGAGGGTGATGCACGTACTGGGAGTCCTCTCATCCCTACTCCGGGTGATCCCGGCTCGCCTTTAGGGCCGGGTTTCCCCTGCAAAGCCACCATGTTGCTCATGTCCGAAGGCAGCCCTGGGCACACTTCGCACGCATCGCCCTGTGGATTTACCACAAGTCAGACACTCAGAGTGTGAATGACACTCCTAGAGAGAAGATTAGGGGCAGTGCTCAGCTGGTTTTCTACCTTCTCCCCTTTAGGACCCCCTGGGCCTCTTGGTCCCTGTGAAAACAGCAGAATCCCCGTCAGACGCTGACGTAAACGGTTATTGTTGTACTGCAGGGTGCTGCTAGGCTAGCAGGCACATGCATTGCTGAATACCAATGAGGGTTTAAGAGTTTCTCACTCGATCTCCAGGTAATCCGTCTTCTCCTTTAGGGCCGGAGTCTCCCTGTGGGAACGTTCACAGTGAATACTCCTAAAATAACACAGTCCTTTGTGAACACTGAAGGAACATCACATCAGATCTGGCTCACTATGATTGGTTCATTTCTATTCCAATGAAATATGCTTGGATACCTGCTAGGCTCTAAACAAGTTCTTACATTCTGGGTTTGAAGCAGCCTTTTAGGATGATTTTTTAAACTTATAAGGAATAAAAGGTGGGGATCTGAAACCTTGGGATGTGGCAGGTATTCAGGTTCACCTCATCTGTAAAGTTCATGTCTTCCTGTTGGTGATTAGACACCAAACTATGAGCAACAATGTAGAAACAGGCATGATATACAGCCAGGTGACAGAAGTTCATAGAAGTACAAACCATCTGAGACACTCCCAAAGAGTCTCGAGTGTGTTTTAATTTGGGTACAATTTACTATCATTTTATTCTGAATTTGATCTCAATCCTTCCCTAAATAGTCTCGCATTTTCAGGAAACTCAACTGAGATGGATTCCAGAAGGTTCCACGCCCCAGCCGTGATTCTGCAACCAGTTCTTGAAGGACATGTGTGGCTGGAACGTTTTAAACATTTTCAAAATTCCAGCAACACTCAACCCACGTGAGGTGTTCAGGGAACTCCTCCATGACAGACGTAGCAGCCCTGTGAGATGCTGGATTAGCTTTTCTTAATTACAGCATGAATCACACATACTTTGCTCTTATTCTTAGAAGAGGGCCGTGTTTAAAGATAAGCATTCCTGCATCAGCTAGTTAGGCTTCAACTGTTTATAGAAAACGAGTTCTGTCCAACACCTTCACTGATTTAGACAAAAATGTTTTTATGAAAAATCTGTATTTATTCTTCTAATCAGTCATTTCTGCCCATTTTCTCATGCTGTGTTTTTCATGTGACCCTCTGACTGTTTCAGTCCATCTACTAAGTGATTATGAGAAGATAAATGACTAAAAAGCAGACATCTAGGATGAGCTTGGAGGTTTTCTGAATGTGGCTGCTTATAAATAAGAAACAACAGGAAAAACAGATGAAAACCAGCGATGCTTAAACAGAAAATCCATCAAAGTTCAGAACCTTCCTCTGGTTGGTGAGGGATGAGCAGATGTTCTGGATGTTAAAATGATAGGATGACTGATACATTTAAGATTTGTAGCACATTTCTATCATTTAGTTTGGTTAAAGATGTGGGACACTCACATCATCAATACATCTGTGGTGGTCTTGCGTAGGAAGGAATGATTTGTAAGTTATACCCTGAGGAAACAAAGCTCCAGTGCACCTGTCTCAGAAAGGAGAAGTGAGCCAGATCAGAGCAGAGCTTCAGACTCATCTCTAGCACTGACTCAGTTTGCTCTGCAACGTTGATGTTTTAGCTCCACAAATAACACAAGCCTGGAGGAGTTCCGCTGTGTGGTGGAGTTGCCAATGCTAACAGTTAAGTTCTAATAGTTGAACCATTTTCTGCTGTTCCCTGGACACTAAACCAACAACAGCCTTCCCTGTCGTGAGTTCAGATGGGTGAGTCCATGAATGTTAGTGACAGTGTGACGTAGATCTGTCAGGATTTTCTATCCACGAGTTTCACCGTCTGTTTTCTATCAGAGGCTAAAGCAGAAGATAGGTGTAGGAGACTATTTCATGTTCAGCCTGAGTGAAACACTCAGAGTGACCCGTTCAGAATCAGAAATAATAATAAAAATGTTCCACACCTTTAAAGAAGGAAGGAAACCTTTTCTGACCTATTTCCTGTTTACGACATCTGAGAAGAGCTGACCTGAGATCTGTCTCAGTTGTATCGTTATTATATAAATGTGCTGCTCACCAGTTTGTCTGTAATTCAGTTTATGAAAAGTCTTTATAATCAGGATTTAGTTACCCTAATAACTACTGGTAACTTTCTACTCCCAGCGCTCTGCTCCCTTCCTGGTTGTCACTAACATGATGGAAGCCTCTGTAGATTCCTATATTCATCCTAATTACACACAAAACAAAATCTAACCTTTTCTCCTTTTGCACCTCCAGCCTCTCCAGGAGGGCCCTGTTAGGAAACATGTACAAAACATGTTTTAAAAATAAGCAGCAAGAAGACTCGACCAAATCTCAGTAAACACACCGGAGGTCCTGGCTTTCCACTTCCTGTCAGACCTGGAAGTCCAGGTTTTCCAGGCTCTCCAGCCAGCCCTTCAGGACCCACCGCACCCGGTACACCCTGGTGAACAGGTTCAGCACAAATCCTGTTAAACCAATGCTGGACTCAATTCATGTGACAGACAGCAAGTCAGACTCAGAGCAGACAAACCTTCTGTCCCTTGGGGCCGACCACACAGATGGACCCCGCTCGACCCTGGGAAATGGTGACAGACGGAGAGGAGAGTGACATCATCAGTGCCATCTGAGAGGTGTCAAACAAGCTGTCTGTATGAGACACTTGTAGATTTTCTTCATTTATTAGTGTTTTTTAAATCAAGAGATGGACAAAAATGAGCTGTGCTGTCTTCCGTTGCCTAACCTTCACCACGACCTGTTTACCGTGCGATTCTGGCACTTGTTCACCTGGTGACTCTATGGAGTTACTTCTCTCCCCACATGGGGTCAAAGTAGAAAAAGCCTTAAAGGTCAACTTTACTTATTCTTCTTTTCAAAATATAAAATACATAAGGCTTAACTTCTCATACATGTTCATTTATTAGTGGAAGGAAAACGATCAAATCTAGAAGAAATGATGTTTTCAATGGTGCTTAGGCAATGTTCTCTGGCTCTTTGACCCGGCCCCATTCATATTCCTAATGTCAGATGGAAGGGAGGTGCAGGGAGATCCATTCTCTCCCAAACCCATCAAGAACTTAGCTCCAGGAACAGTTAAATGTGAGCTCATCTGATGCCAAAACTCAGGAAACATCCCACAGCACTGAGGTTGTAATTTGTTCCTAAGGGTTTCGTGCTCTTACAGGATCGCTGCAGCATGCACGGAGAAGATTAAAAGGTTTTAGTCCTCGTGAAGAGACGCCTGCCTGCGTGAGAGACGAACGGCCCAGTCGATGAGGCTGCATTGATTGTGTGAGCTTTGTTGCTCTAGCCTAATCTAATGGGCATTAACAGGTTGACTTAGCACAAAGGGGGGAGCACATATCAACGGGAGTTCCAGTTTAAGCAGTAATGCCACATAAGTTTGTGTAAGTGGATGAGTGTCTGTCCCAGGATGCTACAACATAACCGTTCGTAAAGCTTCAGTCTCAGTGAAAAAAGGAAAACACAAAGAAAACACCTACATCCTTCCCAGGTGTCCCAGTCAGACCTTGCAGACCAATTTCTCCTTTCTGACCTTTCTCTCCCTAGACAAAAGCCAGCGAGAAGCACATGAGGCTAAAGGTCAGTGGGATGATCATTAAAGGGTCAGATTTATGTCGTTTCCTAAAATGCTCACCTTGTATGCTACTGCTTCGCCCCAGTTGGAAGCCATTCCCTGTGGAGAAGAGCAGCAGAGACGAGGCCCAGATCAATGACAATGTGCTCAACACAGGATCACAGTGACCAGTCAGATGTAGGGACTATTACACACATGCACACGCACACACACACACATGCACGCACACACACACACACACACACACACACACACACACACACACACACACACACACACACAAGCACATGTGCACATGCACGCGTGCACACACACACACACATACACACACACACTGACACACACATGATGTGGCGAGGGTGAGAAGGGTTGGTCTGAGTGTCAGAAAGTGCTAAAGTGGGATCACTAGACTTTACACAGAATGGTCTGAAAAAAGAGAAAATGTCTTGTTGAGGTCAGAGGTCAAACTGGTTCTAGATGATACCAGCAGCTCAGATCATCTCTGGTTCCTACCAAGGTCTGCAGAACCACTCCAGCTGCTCCAGATGGACTCCAGCACTAGGTGTGTCTCATGTCAGCTAAGATCAGGAACCTGAGGCTACGACTCACACAAGACCACCAGAGCTGGACCAGAGGAAACATCTTTCCTGGTCTGATGAGTCTGGAGCTCAGCTGCATCCTAACCCTAACCCATCTTCTGATGCTGCTTCCAGCAGGATCACGCACCATGTCACATGCATGTGAGTTCACTGGACTCCAACGGCCTCCACAGTCACCAGATCTCAGTCCAGTTCAGAACCTTTGGGATGTGGTGGAACGTAAGGTTCTCATCATGGATGGAGCTGATGCTGTCATGTCAGGATGGACCAGAACCTCTGAGGACTAGAACCTCTGAGGAAGGTTTCCATCATCTTATTGAATCTTCTTCCGGCTCTTGGAGAGCACAGACACTTTTTTCCTCCTCTCCTCCCTATCTTATCCCAAGGCTCTTTGTCTGTCTTTGGGTGTACGGCGCTTCTGCATTTTTTCTGGAAACTGGAAATGATTAAAATGGACCTGGTCAGTTGGTCTCTCAACACGACTGACAAAATTTTTTCAACAATGAGAACTGGAGAAGGGGCTCCCGGTTGCCCCTCTGGGACAGAGCCAGCTGGGCATATCATGGACTCCTGGAAACAGTGGAACCTGATCTGCCTCTCTCAACTGTCTGTAGAGGATTCTGAACACGTATGTATATTTGTGGTGTTGGTGTCAGGTTTTTTGCTTTTTGGCCTGAGCGGTTACCTGGCTTACCAGAAAATTAATGAGCTGTCGAGGGATACTGGCTAGATCCCGAAGCTCAGGGATGGATTACACCGCGCTGTGAACGCACAAACTCATATAATTGTCGACATGAGTCGTAAGCTTGGAACTTTGGCTGAGATTCATGCTCTGGCACAGAAGGTTGATGCCATCAAGGATAAAGTTGATGGATCAGCACGGATTGGGATAGATTAATTTACGCCATTATTGGATTAAGAGGGGTTGGAGATCAACAGAACTTTAAGACAGAGAGGAAATGATCTCTGTCTGGCCCCAAAACAAGTTCTTATCTGAAACTGGTGCCCTTGAGCCTGTGAGGCTGAAGTGATTACTCCCCCTCAGAAGAAATGTGGAATGCTGCCGTCGCCATAGCAACTCTGTCTCCCTATTCCAGCCTGGGCGGAACTGTGACCGGTGAAGGCCATTGAACCGTTTCCAGGAGTCACTGTGCTCTCTAACCCAAATACCTCCTTCCTCTGTCCAAACGGAGGTGACGAGTGCTGCTTACCGCGGCTGCATGCACTGATGTGTGGAGAGTCCCAACCCTACCTCCCCACCTAGTGGACACTTATGTTGTGTAATGTCTGAAGTCTGTTGCATTTCTGCCTGAGGTGTTTTTTGCATAGCAAAGCTGCCCTCCCTGTGGAGGGTAACTCTGAAGTGCCTTTTTCCCTCCACCTGACCCAATCCTCATATATAAACCCTCTGATCTCTATTAAGGTAGCGCGACTCGGGTTGCGAATGACCACAGTCACCAATTCTTGTCATGTGTCTATGCCTATGTATGTATGTCTGATCTCAGAACTGTGTGTACTGAAACTCTAATTTCCCTCTGGGATTAATAAAGTATCTTTGAATTGAATTGAATTGAATTTAGAATGAAGGTGGCTCTGAAGGAAAAAGGGGTCCTACCTGCGAGGTGTACCTCATAAAGCTGAAACCTGGAGGTTTTTTCCTTCATATCTTAATGCATATTTGGACTCACATATATTATCTCACTACTAACACCACAATCCTCTCTCCACTTGGTCTGAATGCTTGAAAATGAGATTTTGTATTCCAATCAAACTCCAAAGCTACAAGGGGTTAGCTGTGTTGAAGGCACTGGGACGCGCTGCAGTAACCTGCAGCAGGAACTCTGGCACTCACCGGCTCGCCTTTCTCTCCCTTCTGGCCTTGGGGTCCCTCTGTGCACTGGGGTTAGAGACATTCAGTTGGCATGTGTCATCACACAATACTATTGGCACAAAATTCTGGCTAACAGCGCTGCATGCCAACTAACAAAAGACTGTTTTTTTTTTCCTTCTTCCTTTCTGTGAAGCACAGCATATCATGCCATGAGAGTGAGAGGCAGTGAAAATGCTACTTACTGGCCCTGGATTGGAGCCAGAACAGGCATCACCCTGAGACAGAGAGAGACGAGAGATGAAGGATGAGTGCTTTTAGGTGTGGCATGGAATCAGAGCAGGATAAATAATGTGGTTAGCTGGTATCAGTCCAGCTCATATTAAGTATCAGCAGCATCACAGTTAAAGATCTGGGCCTGCTCATACACATACCAGCATCATAAATCCCATTATAGTTATTTACATTACTTCATACTCACCCGATCGCCTTTTTCCCCTTTTAACCCAGCAACTCCGCCAAAGTTCAATACCTGAAACACACACCAGCACACCGTCACACAGCCCTCTGTCTTAATCCACAGCAGATAGATGCTGGTAAGGATCAGCGATCCTTACGTTTGCTTCCCTACCCGGGAGTAAACAACATGTACACTACAAACTGACACACACACAGACAGTTATTCATTTTTATTTAATACCCACTGAAGGAATTTGTGGGGAATTGCAATTATTCCTATCGCCTGGCAGTGGCACTCTTGCACAAAAACTAAAGCACGCTGAGTCCCCGGCTGCTGCTGCTCTGCAGCTCCCGTATGCAAGAAGATACATACATGTCTCCCGTGGGAGCAGGAGATCAATAGGAATGTCTGATTCCCACAATGCAGGAGAGAGCAGAGCAGCTGCGCCTGAAGGAGGCCACAGCCATGCACATGCCAAATACGGACGGAAGTAATACAGAACTGAAGCATTTTTTGGCAGAAGCGGGTAATTGAAGCTGAATTACCGCAGCCCGCGTTACTCAGTGTTGCTTTCACACACCAGGAAGTTTGCAATATGCTGAAGCTGTGACTACCAGCTTGCTGAGACAACAGAAGAGAGCTTGTAACAGCTCAGTGACAATGTGTAGTTCTGCCTCTTCTTTATCCCCATCTTGCTCCTATGGGCTACAAGCTTATCAACAGCTGCAAGATCCAGCTGCAGGAATGAGTCAGTGGTTCTTATGTGTTCCTGTGGGTGGGAGCTGGTCAGAAAACTGAGCCAGAAGGTCACAAGCAGAAGATCTCAAACCGATAAGTCGAGGGTCTAAACCTGATCATGACCAGGTCCCGAACATTGTGAGGAGAAATGCCCTTTAATTAGGTTTCCTTACATCAGTGTTGTGATGTGACCTGAAGCTGATCTAACACTGGTGCTTAGGGTAAGGGTTAGGGTTAGTTGGGTGCTCTGCACTTTAGGCTCATATTTGCAACAAACCACTTCTGGCCTTAAAGCCTCCAGATGGGGTATCAGGACTAGCACCTTCATCGCTTCCTGTCATATCCAGTCCTAAACATGTCTACTGCCCTCTGGTGAAGGATCTACGGGAGGAACCATCATTTTATTTATTCATCACCATGTTATAGAATTTAGGGCTGAAAATGTTACAACATAATTAATAATATTCATATTTTGCATTATTTCTTATTTTTGTTTGAAAGTCTGTTGCCTGCTGCCTCTGAACACAAAAACTGTGGAAAGGAGGGAAAAAGAAACAGCATCCCAGGATGGTATCGGTGTAATAATATATAAGGTTTTTGTGCAGACTGGTGGAGCTGAGCCTTTTAACTCACCTGGCCCTGATGTAGAGGGATTGCTATAGAAGAGCGGCTGATTAAGCATGACATGAACACTGATGAAAGCTGGCTTGTGACAGCTTTTGGGATTAAGAGCGAGAAGTTGAATCCAACACATATTCAGATCCTTCATTAACATTATCACAATAATTCACCCCCACTTGGTGTATTGTTGGCACTGAAGCAGTTACAATGTTAGCCTTTCATTATCTTAGCAATTTTTTTTTTAATTTATTTATTTAGGAAGTGGGTCAATACATATTAATGAACATTTCAATAAATGTAAATATGCCAGATTATAGCCTTGGGCTAATTTCCATCTGCAGACCCTCCATAGTCGATATATTATCTCTGCCCTGAGAGACAAAATAGCGTAGCCTGCATTATTCAACCAAATAGAATTTGTGTTTTATTTTTCACAGGTCGGTGCCCCTTGTGGCGGGGAGGCCACGCGCTCCAGCCCTGGTAATAACCTACATTGAGGAAATCAGGAGAGGCAGCCAGATACATTAGGACGCAAACACAGGAGCAATACAATGAAGCGTCTGGAGTTTTGTATTCTATTTGTGAACAGAACATGCCCATTGTAGGTGAATGGCAAAATTAATAGGCAGAAGCAACTCCCGACTGAGACTCTGAGCATAATGAGGCGTAAATCAGTTCAGTCAGCCAGCAAGGGTCTGAGAAAGACAGGAAGGAGACAGATGCACAACACGCGTAACTGTAATAATGTCCTCTGCATAGTTCTGGAAACCCACGTTTCCTTTTTATTCGTTGTCTTTAGTGGGTAAAGGTTACACTTCTAGCACGCTGACTTTGTGTGTTCACCTGGAATCTTGTTATTCATTTTGTTCTGTCTCTTCTCTAAGTGTGTCTGTGTGCTTCTGCAACAAGTGGGATTAATCAAGTCTATTCTATTCTATTCTATTCTATTCTAGTTAAGTTCCAACATACGTACAAGTAAACCTTCAACAAACAGTGAGGAAACACGTGTTTGTTCCATTATTTGTTTGCTGTAATACTTCTTGGCAAAGGATCTTATATCATTTGATTATCTGATTGGATGTCGTTACTGTGAGATAGAAGTTGTAAGAATTGAGTATCTGTGGAATGAAAAACAGATAAATGTGTGGGTACGCCTCCCAAAAGTCCCAAATTCTCCTGCCATATTCTCCTGGTGGTGTTCACATGGCATCCGAGATGCTAGTTGAACTGCACAAGTTCTCCTTTCTTTAGTAATCAGGAGAAACAACAACATAATGGACATTTTAACCCTTTGTTATCTGCATCACTGACATCACAGATCAGGAGATCAGACTCTTTAAGCATTACTCCAACACAACTGTTCTACGTGTCTGTCTATGCCTAGAAACATAGACAGGGTTTACCTCTGCGTGGTGGTCTAGTCACGCTCCATTAGAGTCTGGTCAAGCCTACCATTGGCCTGACTGGTGGGCCAATCACAGTGCTCTATCTGTTTGGTGGGTGGGATGATGCCACAAAGCAAATCAACAAAGATGGCAGTGGCTCGTTTGAAATGGCTTTGGCATCATCTTTGGACTATTTAGACTTTTCTTTAAGCCAAGAACAGATAGAGGTACTAAAATCCTTTATTCAGAAAAAGGATGTATTTGTCTTCTTCAACAGCTTTTGGTGGACTGCCCTGTTGACGGACATCTGCAGCGGTGAGTATGCACATTGTTCGCTGTCCAATAGCAGAGCCAGCTTGACAGACAACAAACGATCCCGCCCCAAGACTGAGCTCTGTCTATAGGTCGTGGCCAGATTACATTCACAGACATCGGAGGGCTTGCCAGGCTACGAGTTAGCTACCAGTGCAGGAGAGTTCCACATGAGTGGGTAGCAGCACATCTAACTGGACTTTTCATGTGATGAATGCAGAATCACTACCTGCCAGTAAAAGGGACTCATTCAGTGATGTAAGATTTATCTCCATGAAGCATTTAAACGGTAAAGAAACAATCAGCCAAAAATGATCTTCCTTTGTTTAGTGCTGTTACTAGACTGATGTTCAATTTAACAATTAAACATAAAAAAACTCTCAGTCCAAATCTGCCTGTTCTGTTTGGAATGTGGATGAAGAACCAGAACGTGGAGGACATGATCATATGTTGTTCTCTGAACCAAAGGCTCCACGAGGTTCAGTTTGAGCCAGCTGTCCCAGAAGTCTCATTAAAATGTCAGTAAAAGACGTGTGTGTGTGTGTGTGTGTGTGTGTGTGTGTGTGTGTGTGTGTGTGTGTGAGTGCATGCATTTGCATGCATGTGTTTGCATGCGTGTGTGTGTGTGTGTGTGCGTGTGTGTGTGTGTGTGTGTGTGTGTGTGTGTGTGTGTGTGTGTGTGTGTGTGTGTGTGTGTGTGTGTGTGTGTGTGTGAGAGAGAGAGAGAGAGAGAGAGAGAGAGAGAGAGAGAGAGAGAGAGAGAGAGAGAGAGAGAGAGATTGTTCTTACTTTTTCTGCAAGATCTTTGGATGCAAAAATATCCTGTTGGTGAAAACAAAAGAAAAAACAGCTTATTTATGTTTCTGTAAAGCATTCATCACTGGTAAGCTGATGCATTTTTCTGATGAATGTGCAGCATTCTTATTTCTATTGCAATCCATTACATCAGACGAACAACAATAAAATATGAAACGGGGACACACACGGGTCATTAGCAGATATTCTTTACCCTTAAAAATATCGATGGCGATATAAAAAAAATGAGAAGCACAGCATCTCATGAGCCCCCGAGGTGTATAAAGAGATGGACCTGGCTCTGCGCAGAATAACAAACTGGATCTGAAAAAAGTCGTCAAAAGGTAGAGAAGGAAGTGGAAAGCTGAGTGAAAACAATTGGCACAAGATATCAGTTAGGAGAAAATAAAGAGTTTTGGGGAAGGTGAAGGAGGGAGAAACCGTTTACAGGTGCTGCTGGACTCCCTCATAAAAAAAGAGTCAAGTAGTCAGACAGAGGCTCTAGAGGGGAAAAGGCACACAGAGGAGTTTGGATCTTTTGAAGCCTGGGTGACCTTTCAGCCAGGAACTGGGTTGAAAGCACAGAAAAACTGATGTTTACGATGCTGCCAGATAAGAAACAGTGAGGGTGAGATTTGTCGTATCTCAGGACGGCCGTAAAGGCTGTGACCCACACACACAGACAAGCACATAACCCTGAACTGAACCCTTATTTGATACGAGCTGCAAAGAAAGGTTGTTTGACATCACCAGAAGATGGGGTTTAGTGCTGAGGGTCAGATTAGTCAATTATGCCTCTTGTATCCCGCTGCCCTGCTGGTGCAGCAGCTATTACAACCTGCTACAAAAAATGAGTCCAGTCAACAGAACTTTAGAGAAAATCTTCAGAAAGATCACAAAATGCTCAGTTTGCTGATGGGATCTGAGTTAAGCCTCTAAGCTCAGCTAGCTGAGCAGCTGAAATGATATTTTCCTTCTTTGTAATCAAGGATCCACCAGAAGCTGCTGGATTTCACACATTTTCCTTGTACAGAATTTATTTATTTGTGTTGTTTACAGATTTCCTGTAACATGCCGTCTTGGATGCTGATAGATGTCATCAGCCAGCCCTGTAAAACTACTCCCCAGTGTCTCCACTTCAGCATCATGTTACCTGCATCCTCAGTCTTTCCTGTTTTGTCTCTTCAGCTTCTTTATTTCATTTTTTCACATCATTTGTGGTACTCACTTCCTTCATTTGCACACATGCATTTTGTCTCAGAAGAAGTGATGGAACAACAAAGCAGGCCAGTTGGGCCAGCTCCTCCGGGGGAATCTTTAGGTGTTCCCTGAGCAGCCGAGAGACATAGTCCCTCCAGTGTGTCCTGGGTCTTCCTTTAGGCCTCCTCCTGGTTGGACGTGCCTGGAAAACTTCACCAGGAGGCATCCTAAGCAGATACCCGAGCCACCTCAACTGGCTGCTCATGACGTGGAGGACCAGCGGATCTACTCTGAGCCCCTCCCGGATGATCGAGCTTCTCACCCTGTCTCTAAAGGAGAGCCCAGCCACCCTGGGAGAAAACTCATTTTGGCCGCTTGTATCCGCGATCTCGTTCTTTTGGTCGCTACCCAAAGCTCATGACCATAGGTTAGGGTAGGAACGTTGATCGACCGGTAAATCGAGAGCTTTGCCTTCTGACTCAGCTCTCTCTTCACCACGACAGACCGGTACAACGCCCGCATCACTGTAGATGCAGCACCAATCCACCTATCGATCTCACGCTCCATCTTTCCCTCACTCGTGAACAAGACCCTGAAAAACTTAAACTCCTCCACTTGAGGCAGGACCTCTTTGTTAAATTGGGTCTGTTTACTCCAAACTTGTAAATATTTATTTAATCATGCATTTTTATAAACTCCTTAGTGGTGGGTTCTGGAAATTTTGGTGCACCCATGGAGGGTGGAATCTGTAATGCCCATCAGAACTTCACCTAAACTTTTTAACCCTTCCACTGTCCTATCACATGACCCCTCCAGGACTGGGGGTGTTTAAACATGGTTGATAGTTTATCCCTGGGCAAGGGTGAAGTGGTGCACTCCTAAAAAGATAAAAACGCACCTGGGGCCCATCTGACCCCATTAACAATGTGGGAGGGTTAGAGCAGTCGTAGTTTCCTTTAGGTAAAATTTAATAAAAAAACAGCAAAAATTCAGATCCAAAGAAGGTGCATTTCACAAATATTTGACTGTCAGCGACCCTCGTGACCTCCATACACACAAGCTCACAAATGCTTGATGCACAGAGTTTAATGTAACATCACTTAGGTAGGCTTTGTTTACTAGAAGCTGCTCTTACAAAACATCAGAGCTACAGGCTGGAACCGTGGACGTAGAAGCTCCAAAGCTGCACTGTGTAGGAAAACTTACAGATAGATTATAAATGTCAGGCTGCTGCCCCCACAACCCGACCCTAGATAAACAGAGGGCAATTAATGGATGGATGGATGGATGGATGGACGGACGGATGAAAGGATGGAAGGATGGATGGATGGATGGATGGATGAATGGATGGAGGGATGATGGATGGATGAAAGAATGATAGATGGATGGATAGATGGATGGATGAAGGGATGGATGGATGGATGGATGGATGGATGGATGGATGGATGGATGGATGGATGAATGGATGGTAGATGGATAGATGGATGAATGTAGATGGATGGATCAATGGTAGATGGATGGATGAATGGATGGAGGGATGATGGATGGATGAAAGAATGATAGATGGATGGATAGATGGATGGATGAAGGGATGGTAGATGGATAGATGGATGAATGTAGATGGATGGATGGATGGATGGATGGATGGATGGATGGATGGATAGATGGATGGAGGGATAAATGGATGAATGGATGGGATAGTTTAATGTCCATTATTGGGATTTTGAGAGGTTGAGGACCAACAAACTGTAAGACAGAGAGGAAATTATCTCTGGCTGGCCCCAAAACAATTTCTAATTGGAATCTGGCGCCCTTGAGCCGCAAGGTTCCAACGAAAACTCCCCCCTCAGAAGATATGTGGAATGTGCCGTCGCTATGGCAACTCAACACTGTCTCCTATCCCAGCCTGGGCGGGAACTGCGGGAAGGCCGCTGAAACGTTCCAGGGTCACTGCAACCCTCCAACCCTCAATACTCCTCCCCCTATCCACACTAAGGTGACATGCGCTGATTCTATCGTGGCTGCAGGAACTGAAGTAGGGATAGTCCCAACCCACCACCCCACCTAGTGGACACTTATGTTGTGTTGTCTGAAGTCTGTTGCATATCTGTTTGAGTTGTTTTTTTGCAGAGCAAAGCTGCCCTCCTGGGTAACTGAAGTGCCTCTTTTCCCTCCACCTGAACCAACCGTCATGTAACCATCTTATCTCTATTAAGGTAGCGCGACTCGGGTTGCGAATGACCACAGTCACCAATTCTTGTCATGTGTCTTTGCCCATCTATGTCTGATCTCTGAATTGTGTGTACTGAAACTCTAATTTCCCTCTGGGATTAATAAAGTATCTTTGATTTGATTTGATTTTGATGGAGGGATGGTAGATGGATGGATGGTATGGATGGAGGGATGGATGGATGGTAGATGGATGGATGGATGGTAGATGGATGGAAGGTATGGATGGATGGTAGATGGATGGATGGATGGATGGATGGATGAATGAAGGGATGGTAGATGGATGTGTTACGGTTGCCAGTCTGGCCAGGGAAGAGCAGGAGCCAGGATCACCCAGCTCTGGTGAAACAGCCTGACACCGCCCCTCCTCCTCCTCTCTCCCGGGCTGCTGAGGAGCAAAGCTGAGCTGAATCTTCCTTGATTGCCAACACCTGTATAAAAAGGCTGTGCCTTCAGCAGTCTGGGAGGCAGCAGTGCAGGGGTTCTGCTGTCCTCCAGGTTTTATTTAGTTTCAACCCCTTTTTGTTTGGATTTGTTGAGTTTTAAACCCATAATTCAAACATTCAGGGTGATTTATCCAGGGTGTCAGTGTGTTACTTTAAGTAATTCCTCTGTGAGAGGAAAACATTTATCGAAATGTCTCTCTCTCTCTCTCTCTCTCTCTCTCTCTCTCTCTCTCTCTCTCTCTCTCTCTCTCTCTCTCTCTCTCTCTGTTCTTTATGAAAAATTCGAAAAAAGAAGATAAACTGCAGGAAAAGGAGCCGGGTAATAAAAACGGTAGGTGTGAGTCTCATAGTCCATAATGATGAGTTTACAGGTCTCAGCAAGTCGGCTGACTTTCGTTCCACATTTCTGCACAACACCCAAAACATAGAAAGTCTCGGGCTGAATCTGCTCAAGGCATCTCTGTTTGGAGGCTCAGTGCAGACTTTCCCTTTAATAAGAACATCAATGTTGTTTTCTAGGGTTTTTTAAACCCTTTATTTGTATCACCCACCTATGAGCACCCAACTGCACACCAAATCAAACTGAACAATAATAAAGTCAGCAGTAAGAAACAGAGAGAGAGAGTGGAAGTGACGGATAGGAAGAAACATGAGATGTTTGCGTCGGTAGCTGGAAGCATCAATGGGATTGATTGTTACATCCCGCAGTCTGCCAGAGCTGCAGCTCTTAAGTTAACACCAGCGAGTACAAACAGCAGCCCAGATGAATAAATAACTGAATTTAGATTCCCTGATGTGAGCGATGAAATGAGAATGATACACAGAATAAATTCATGTGTCTTTGTTGAAGCAATCATCAAACCAAAGTCTGTATAACACTCTGAAGGCTAGAAGCAGAATATCAAAGTGTTTTCTGGTTTAGTTTTCATGGTTTCATTTGAGGAGAGAACAACTAAGGCTTTTGACAAATTGGCTAGAGTCAGTGTTCCAGCTGGAGCGTCTGAGACCGCTCACTGTGTGTCTTTGTTGCCGCTGTACTTTAGCTGTTCCTACTGGCACAGCGGCTGTTGGAACGTGGAACCCAGACACGATGGATGACACCAGCTTCTCTCTTTTAAATTAGCTGCAGCACTTCATCTCTTCTTAATTATTTATAATCAGAGTTCTGACCAGTTAAACTGCTTTGGGTATCAGAATTAAACTGTTTTAAAGCACGCACACACACACAAACACACACACGCACACACACACACACGCACGTACACACACACATGCACATACACACGCACACACGTGCACACACACACACACAAATCATTTGATCAAATCAAAAGGAGGATAAACTCACGTTCAGAGTTCCTTTGTACTAATAGTAATACATCAAACTTATATAGTGCTTTTTAGGACGCTCATAGATGCTTTCATGCACTCTCTCATTCACACACTGCTAGTGATGGTAAGCTACTTTGTAGCCACAGCCGCCCTGGGGCGGTCTGACAGAGGCGAGGCTGCCATTTGGTGCCGTTGGCCCGTCTGACCACCACCAACACAGACAAGTTGGGTGGTGTCTTGCCCAAGGACACAACAGCAGAATACCCCGCTCTACCTCCTGAGCTACTGCTGCCCCGATCCATCATCAGTTCTGACATTTGTTGGAACAGGACATCGTTGTCGTCTTCCTCCGCTTATCCAGGGCCGGGCTGCGGGAACAGCATCCTAACTAGGAAGCTCAATACCGTCCTTTCCCCAGCCACCTCCACCAGTTCCTCCGGCAGGACCCCAAGGCGTTCCCGGACCAGATTGGAGATGTAACCTCTCCAGCGTGTCCTGGGTTGACCTGGGGGGGGGCTCCTGCCGGCAGGACATTCCCGGAACACCTCCCCAGGGAGGCATCCAGGAGGCATCCTGACCAGATGCCCAAACCACCTCAACTGACACCTTTCGATCCGGAGGAGCAGCGACGTAGCGATTTGGATTGGGACGTAGATCGACCGGTAAATTGAGAGCCTGGCTTTCTGGCTTTCTGGCTCAGCTCCCTGATATATATATATATATATATATATATATATATATATATATATATATAAACATAAGGCCAGAGTAAACTGTCCCGGGTGTACTGTTGTCACATTGAGTTAATATTTACTGTTTTACATGTGCATCTGAAAAGCAGGTTGAGTTGGAAGGGAAACCATTGTGTGTGTGTGTGTGTGTGTGTGTGTGTTAAACAAGCAGTCACCTGGGTAAATGTGTTCTCAACCAGGTCATTCTCAGCAGCTCGGCGACTCTTAGAGGCTTCAGGAGGACACTGGAACCAATCAGAAATGGAACAAAGAGATGGGTTAAAGAATGACAAGTGTTCATGTAAGGGTCCCCTTCACAGAACACAATGGTTTAACTTCTCAGTGGCCTAGTGGTAGAGTGTCTGCCCTGGGACTGGGAGATCAGGGTCCACATCACAGTCGGGTCCTACCAAAGACTTTAAAAATGGGATCCAATGCCTCCCTGCTTGACTCTGAACTTTAATGGGTTGGATTGGGGGTTAAACCCCCAAATAGCTCCTGAGTACAGCCATTGCTGCAGCTCATCACTCCCCATGAGGATGGGTGACACATGGAGATGTAATTTCACCAGTGTGTGATGACAACTAGGGGACTATACCTTTTAACACCAGTCACACAAAACAAGTAGATGTTTATGTCACCAACACTTTATGCTTAGACAAGTCATTAATAAAAGTGTTCAGCACAAATAAACCTTCTTTAGTTTGTTCTTGGGCTTTTTATGTGACAGTTCCAGTCTAGTCTTCTTTTTTCCTGGCATTGGAGTGGTCAACCTAGGGGCGTACACACATGATGCACAGACGGGGGATAAGGTAATACCTGGGGCGGGACCTGCAAGCATCAGAGTTATGCATGCATGATTCATTTGCAGTCTGGAAACAGAGGGGTTAAAGTCTCTAGGACTGGGCCACCTGTGAGAGCTCTGGGATAGACAAGAGTTAGGGATCAGAACTTGTTACATCCATGTTTTTAAAATGTTACAGCTACTGAATGTGTGTGTGTGTGTGTGTGTGTGTGTGTGTGTGTGTGTGTGTGTGTGTGTGTGTGTGTGTGTGTGTGTGTGTGTGTAAGTAACTCGGACATAAATGCTGCTAGGAGGGAGCCCTGCAGCACACACGCCATGAGCCACAGAGAGAAAAAAAAAAGATTTTCTCCTTCAGGCCCTTCTAATCAATTTTGCAGCATGAGTCCCTGTTACATACATCTGAAGAGCATCCCACCATGTTTGAGTCCTTCCTTTGAATTCATTTGGTGATGAAAAATCAGCACATGCAGAAACCAACACAAAAGCATAGGTACCCTAGAGATCTGTCTAAGAGTAGACGGAGAGAAAGAGTGTGTTTTTAATCTTTAAACTGAACCCGAGAACTGGCTGTTTGCAATTCCTCTCATACCTGAACTGACTGCTGCACTGTTGTTAATCCAATGAATCTGTTTTAGAAATGATAACTGATCTGCAGTTTGAGACAGTATCTAAAGAAAAACACAAGAAAGAAGGGAGAAGGATGGGCAAAGAAAGCATGAAAGATGCAATTTCAGGCTATTTCTTCAGCTGCAAACAAGATACATTCAATTAGATTTGTATTCACAGTACCAACAGGATTCACAATCACAGTTGATGAGACATAATTGCACAGATTGGAATATCTCTACAGCACAGGATGACTGGTAAAATATTCATTATTTAACAGAAACAACAAGAAAAACAAATCAGATGGAAAAGCTGAAAACTATGTAAGTGGTGGAGTGCTAAGCATGCACCATGCAAATTAAACCTTAGCAGCCCATTTATTCATAGCTGTTGTTGTGCAACAACCTGGAATTAACTAAGCAAACAAAACGTTAGAGAATTATGAATTTTAAATAAAAGGTGTTTACACAAACAAGCCTCAACAGCAAAAGGAAGGATTGTTTAATAATGTGAACCCAGTGGCTCACTGAGCATTTATGACCAAGTGTCCGAGACACTTGAGAACGTTGTCGAGTTCACTCTTTGCAGAAATTCTAAACAACTTAGAAAAAATGGGATTTTATTTGAAGTTGTTGAAGAAATTCTGATGTGGGGTCGGCTAGCTTTGAAACAGAGGCTTCGTCTATGTCAGTGTTTTTATAAAAGTATTTTCTTTGTCAATGAAAAACGTGCAGAAATGCTCCCCCGCACCACTAGGTGGCGAGAGCTCCACACCTGCAACATTTAGAAATGGAGAGTAAGATTTGGTTTTTGCTACATGTTCCTCATGGATATTTCCTGTTTAATTTGTGATCAAAATACTTGTTGACATGAGAAAGACAAAAATGTTCATGCGTTGATGCAAAGATTTGTTTTTGAACATATCAGGGGACAAAATTCTCCAGATTATTTTACATTTGTTTCCTATAAGAATATAGAGTAACTAAATTAGCCTGATATGTTGCATTATAGCTTTATTAAAACACAACTATTAGCTTATCGCTGTGCTAGGGCGGCAGCCCAGATTTCTTGCACATCTTTTAAAGTGTGTGCATATTTACAAAATTAAACAACCCTTCATTTGGATGTTGTTCTGCAAATTGTAATATTCCCAAAAGTAAGAAACTGGGAAAGATTCATAGATTTCAGTTTAAAAAGTCACTTTAAAGGACAGCGTAACTCATGGCTTTAATACAATTACCATTGTAGGAACAAATGCCTTGTAAGTCATTCTCTGGGGAACAAAAGCTCTGGTGCACCTGTATTCAGCTGGAGGACAACGTAGCTTCAGAACTCTACCACCGTTTGCTCTTCAATGTTGATGTTTTATCTGGTAGATATGGTGTGTGTGTGTGTGTGTGTGTGTGTGTGTGTGTGTGTGTGTGTGTGTGTGTGTGTGTGCTCTGCCTTCTCCATCCCCAGTGAGTCGTGGTGGATGGCTGCTTATACTGAGCCAGCATCCTCTGGAGGTTTCTTCCTGTTAAAAGTGAGTTTTTCTCTCCACTGTCGCTGCATGCTTGCTTAGTATGAGGATTGCTGTAAAGACTCTGACACTAGTCAGTGACTCGATGCAACCTGCTGGGTTCCTTATATAGGATTTTTTTTTACTAATTGGCTTAATGAACTGACCTGTACTGGAATGTTTACAATGTGAAGTGTCGTGAGACGACTCTTGTGGTAATTTGGCGCTATTTAAATAAACTGGAATTGAATTGAATTGTATCTCCAAAAATAGCACAACCCTGCAGGAGTTCTGCTGTGTGGTGGAGTTGCTCATGCAAACAGTTAGCTTCTACTAGCTGATACATTCTCTGCTGTTTCCTGGACGCTAAACCAACAACACCCTTCCCCATCTAGAGTCCAGATGGGTGAGTCCATTAGTGATGGGAATTCCGACCCTTTTTAGAGAGCCGGTTCTTTTGGCTCAGCTCACCCAAAAGAACCGTCTCTTTCGGCTCCCAAGTGGCTCCTCAGATTTTCTGTTGCGTAGAGTACATTTATAACCAAAATAATGCAAAATGTAAAATAATTTACTAATGTAAAAAAATGCAATATATCAAATATTTATCATTTATATGGATTTAATAACTGAACACTTTAAGAAATCTCCACTTTCCGACTGCTGGCGCTCATTTTCTCAACGTTTCCGTAGCACTCTCCTTTCTCTCACTCGCCTTTTTCCTCCTCCTCTTTCCCTCTTGTCTCCCTCTCGCATGTGCTCTGCTGTGTGTCTGAGTCTGATCCTCCCTCTTCCCCGCCCCTACTGCTCTGTGTGTGGACCGTCTGGACACGCAGTTACACATGTTGACCAATCCCCTGTAGCTTTCACCAAAGCAAGAGGGGAGGGGACAGCTCCCAATGACGAGCCGGCTCTAAGAGCCGGTTCACTCGCAACTGCCATGTCACTAGAGTTCATGAATGTTAAGTGACAGTGTGACGTAGATCTGTCAGGATTTTCTAATCCTAGAGTTTCACCGTCTATTTTCTATCAGAAGCTAATGCAGGAGATAGGTGTAGGAGACTATTTTCATGTTCAGCCTGCATGGAAACCTCAGAGTGACCTGTTAGAATCAGAAACAATAACTAAAAAATGGTTTCTCAGTGAAGTTGACCTGTAACTGTGATTCCCATCCTAATAATTGTCAGTATTGGGACAGGGAAGAGTCTTCCTTTCCTCGCTACATCACTGATCACAAATGAAATAATCTCCAGTCTCACCCGAGCTCCAGGTATCTCACAGCAAGTCTCTTGGGTGGCAAGCAGCGGGTCACAGTACAGCATCACCTGCTGAATGTCCATCTGTAAACGAGAGACGGCAGAGAGCAGTTAGGATGTGAGGAGGTGTTCTGCATGCATGACTGAAGGTCCTCAGCTTCATTTATTTTAATTGTTCAAATGAGGTAGTTAACATGGCTAAAGGCCAATTAATTTCTCATTTATATGAATCATTGGGGAAAATTTGTCTGGAGGTTCACCTGCATGTGTGTGTGAGTGTGTGTGTGTGTGTGTACTTTTATTTACTACATACTGAGGACCACTTTCACCATCTTTCCTATGTGTGCATGCAGTTGTGTGTGTGTGTGTGTGTGTGTGGGGGGGGGGGGGGTATGTGTGTGCGTGTGTGTGTGCGTGTGTGTATGTGCATGTGTGTGTGTGTGTGTGTGTGTGTGTGTGTGTGTGTGTGAGTGTGTGTGTTTGTGTACTTTTACTTACTACATACTGAGGACCATTTTCACCATTTTTCCTATGTGTGCATGCAGTTGTGTGTGTGTGTGTGTGTGGGGGGGGGGGGGGGGTATGTGTGTGCGTGTGTGTGTGTGTGCATGTGTGTGTGTGTGTGTGTGTGTGTGTGTGTGTGCGTGTGTGTGTGTGTGTGTGTGTGTGTGTGTGTGTGTGTGTGCATGTGTGTGTGTGTGTGTGTGTGTGTGTGTGTGTGTGCGTGCGTGTGTGTGTGTGTGTGTGTGTGTGTGTGTGTGTGTGTGTGTGTGTGTAAACACTCCCTTCATTCTAAGCTCGTTTGCAGATTTATTATCGCCCACAAGCTCAGCTCAACCAGATCTAGAAAATAATCCCAACATCTGCTCAAGAGGATCCTGCATGAATAGGTTTACAGATGAGTACCTCCACACAGAAGCTCCTGGAATCTTCTTTAAATTATTTCCTGACAAAATTAACTGAAGTGTGTTGTTAGCAAAAACATGAACTAAAAAACTAATCAAGGATTCTCTTTTCTTTCACAACATTTTTAAAAAGTTTTTGGAGAAAGAGATATTTAAAGACTGAATAGTAACTCATAAATGCATCTGCAGGGTAATTTAGTAACTTTTCTTTCACTTTTAGTGAAAGCAGCTTTGTGTCGAAAGGTTAGGGGCAATTAACACCTGCGCTGTTGCCGGCAGCTGTGTAAACAAGTCCATATTGGAGAAACTCTTAAACTGACTAGAAAGAAGAGCTAATTGAGATTTAAGGGATTTTTTTCATCCTAAAACAATAAATATATAGTTGACATTAAAGAATTTCCAGGTGAAATTAATAATGAGGGTTATGAGATATAATTAGATCAGCTTACTTGTACTGGACCAGCATCTTCAGCTCGAACACCCAGCAGTGTGTGTCCATCTGTTTTCAGGACGCCTCGCGGCCCAAGAGGCCTTGTTTCGATGGAGTCACAGTCTACATAGAGGGAGACGGCGTTGTGCTGAATGCTGAGGGCCAACTTGTGCCAGCGAAGGTCCATCAGGGCCTCCACACCCTCCCCAGTGAAAACACAGCTTACTGGGCCAGCCGCAGGGTCCAGCCCTGCTGCTCGTATAGACAAGGTCCCATCAGGACCGCTGAATTCCACTGAGAGCTGAATTCAAAAGGGAAGAGGCAATAGAGTGGAAATTATTAAAAAGAAAAGGATGGGCTTGTACCCATTAAAGACCACGTAAAATCTAATGTATCTCAGGGTGACTAACAGTGGATCCAACATCCTCACACGCGGCGAAACAAAGCTGTTAAACATAGCAGCAAAGATGAAGTATAAAAGAAAAGACATTAATTACACACACAAGGAGTACGGCCAATCAATCATTCCTAATGAGGCGACTTAGCCTCCATCCATAATACACACTAAGTATTTAAATCTGGCATCAGACTTCAAGTGATTATCGAGACTCTGAGGGACTCCAGTGCTTCATCATGGAACACATATGAATAATAATGAAGGTAAATGAAAAAGGGGAGCAGGAGATGACTGAGGAAGCGAGGAAAGCTCGTCCGATGAAGAATAACAGAGGACAAAAGGCGACCGGGATGAAAGAGAAACGATTGAAAAGATGTCACACAAGAAAAGAAATCGAAAGGGAAAAGGGGATGACTTTGCAAAAGTGCGATGAGAGGGGACACGAGAAAAGACAGGAAAAAAGTGGGATGATTAAAAGGTGAAAGATCAATGAGTAAAGGCAAAAGGTGAATGAGAGGAGGAATGGATGGTGACAGGAGGAAGGAGAGGGAGCCGCACCTGCGGGTATCCCTGCCGGTCTGATATCTGAAAGAGGTAGATGGTGTCCCGAAGAGCAGCCTTCTTCAAAGCTAGGGTGAAGATGAGGGTGTACTCGTCAGGTAGGCCATGAGGGAACACCTGGCTGGAACACACATAATCACAAGTCATTAGATGAATTAAGTTCCTTAATAACAAAGAAGTACATCTGATATTAATTTAGCAGCAAACAGAAAAGCCTGGACTTGGTTTGGAAAGTCTGTTGGGATTATTACTGGATCGCTGATTTAAGATTCACAGCTCAGTGGTTTTTCCAACTGCTGTACCATGGCCTCTGGCACAGGAGTCCACCCAGTAACCAGAAGGTTGCAGGTTCGATCCCCACCCAGTCTGTTGTTGTTGTGGTGTCCTTGGGCAAGGCATTTTACCCTGATTGTGTTGTAAAGCACCTCAGGGTTAAAGGACTCTAGAAGATGCCATATCGAACACTGGCCATTTACCCTTTACAGTTACCTTCCCTAGACAAACTAAACAGCCGATTCTAGCTCCGGCTCTTTTAAAGAGGTCCTTCTCCCATATAGGAGTGCAGCGCTGGGAAAGTGGGGAAAAAGGCAAACAAAATCTTAAAATTGCTGGGCATATCGACCGACCGGCTTCGTCCCTTAACCTCCTGAAAACCACTAAACTGACAGTTTACACAGACTACATGACTCTGGTCTGCAGCGGCCTGCAGAACCCAGTGAACCGGGACACAGGGGCGATCAGCCCTGCCAGGCGACCCAGCAGATCCCAGGGACCCAGATCCCACCAGGCAGTCACCTGGATCAGGCAAACGCCAAAAACCTTAAACCCCCTGACCCGGGAGCCACCAACACTCAGGCAGACCAAGGCACCACACTCCACACCAGGTGTGGCAGGGGGAGGGGAGACGAAGATGTGTAGCAGCACAAGAAGTCCCAGGAGAGGGGAGGAGTCCAGGACCCTACCTGACATATACAGCCATACACATTGACAGTCACACACTCCCTCCCTCATGCTCACACATACACATGAAACCTAAGACTTACAAAAATGAATGTTAGACACACACTCACGCTCCCCATACACACCCTGTTCATTCTGGTCCCGATACTGCTGCACAATAGGTACAACTATCACCAGTTCCCAGATTTAGCCCCTTTCTGCTGGGGTGATGATGAGCAGGCTCCCCCCACTCAACGCTGATCAAAGCCACCCACCAACCAAACCCCGTCCAGATGGCCAGATCCCTCTCCTAGCCTCCAGCCCCAGGAAGCCAAACGACAACAGAGGTGTGCTAAGAACCCTAGTCTCCCTCCACCTGCTCCAATACAGTGTTAGTGTGTGTTGATGAGGTGTATTCAATGGCTGTGGTGAGCAGGCATCGTCTGGCCTACGCCAGCTGATGCCGCCACACAACCCGACTTTCCCCCACAGCCCTCTGTGTCTAAGTGCAGTTTAAAATTGGAAGTGGGCTCTGGCACTCAGGATGAGGCTGAAAGATTCCCTTGCCAAATGCCATTGAGTGTGCTCACTCCCGAGGCCCTAAGTGTGTGTTTGCGTGGAATGTCATTGGTGGAAGTGTTTAATGTGCCAATAAAATTGGGGAGCAGGTTGCCACAGGAATGCGGAAATGGGATCCATACCCGCACCCCCTGACTTGTCCACATCCCAAGGTCCTATGTGCATGATTGTGTGATGATGTGAAGGAGCAGAAGGAGAAAAATGTATGGGGATTGGGAGGAATGGCTAGTTGGACTTAAGCCCTACAGGGAGCCAGCTCCGCCACTGGCCCCAATAGGCAACTCCGTTCCCAAAATGCCACCTAGGGCATGGAGACCCCGGCCCATCTCACCCAGGCCCAAAGCAGCAGCATCGCAGAGCCCCACAGAGTCCGAGGGCACCAACCCAGCCCCACCCCAGCAGAATATCTACTACCATCCCTGCATTTGCACAACTTCCAGAATATGTAAGACATGCGACATCCAGGTATGGTTGGGTTCTCTCCCTCCTAGACATCCCCCTCCCCCATGATGGGATAGAGTTGCTTTTATTTCAAAGGAGCCAAGGTCCACTTGAGGCCCCTGAGCCTGGGCCAGGCACTGACACCTGTTCCCGCCTGCTTCCCGGCAGCATACATGTCAGGAGCCAATCCCCAAGGCCCCGCCCAGGTCCCCACACCGTACCGGGCGGCCCCCCACACCCCGAGCCCCCAGTCCTCCAGCCAGACCCGCTCATAGGCGATGCAGCTGCCAGGCAGCAACCCATGGCCACCGCCAAGACCCACCAAGGGGCCCCACTCACAACCGCCAGTAGTCCACCCCTCGAGGCAACCCAGGCACCTCCAGAGCGGGGTAGCAGCCCCCCAGCCCCAGACACCCCCAGTGAACCCACCTCCAGGGAAACATCTGGATATTCCAAACTCAGACCCTACGCCCCATCACCCAAATCATCCCGCAGGAAAATATCAATGAATCAATCAGTGCAGCATTGATTTAGCATATATCAAATACAGGTCATTTAGCTTATAGAATATTAAATAATCTGAACATACACATCTGAAATTGTTTCCTTAAGATGTTATTGTCAATTAGGCTGTAAATTTGTAAAAAAGGATGGACATTAGTTTTTGTGACATAGTGAGTAATCTTCAAGATATAAAGGTTTATGCCCTGAAGAAGGTCATGCCGAAATGCGTCGGCGTTTCCTTGTTTAATAAATGAAATCCTCAGAGTGCCTCAAATCACCGGATCTTCTTCCTCATATTCTACAATTTATTTGATGCTGAAGAGCACCTGAGAGTGAGACATAAGTTGTTTCAAATATTCCCCATGGATGCGCTCACTTCCACCTTCGTCTTCGTCTTCGTCTTCCTCCGCTTATCCGGGTCCGGGTCGCGGGGGCAGCATCCCAACTAGGGAGCTCCAGGCCGTCCTCTCCCCGGCCTTGTCCACCAGCTCCTCCGGCAGGACCCCAAGGCGTTCCCGGACCAGATTGGAGATGTAACCTCTCCAACGTGTCCTGGGTCGACCCGGGGGCCTTCTGCCGGCAGGACATGCCCGAAACACCTCCCCGGGGAGGCGTCCAGGAGGCATCCTGACCAGATGCCCAAACCACCTCAACTGGCTCCTTTCGATCCGGAGGAGCAGCGGTTCTACTCCGAGTCCCTCCCGAATGTCCGAGCTCCTCACCCTAACTCTAAGGCTGAGCCCGGCCACCCTACGGAGGAAACTCATTTCGGCCGCTTGTATCCGCGATCTCGTTCTTTCGGTCATTACCCAAAGCTCATGACCATAGGTGAGGATTGGGACGTAGATTGACCGGTAAATCGAGAGCCTGGCTTTCTGGCTCAGCTCCCTCTTCCCCACGACAGATCGGCTCAGCGTCCGCATTACTGCAGACGCTGAACCAATCCGCCTGTCGATCTCCCGATCCCTCCTACCCTCACTCGTGAACAAGACCCCAAGATACTTAAACTCCTCCACTTGAGGTAGGACCTCTCCCCCGACCCGGAGGTGGCAAGCCACCCTTTTCCGGTCGAGAACCATGGTCTCAGATTTGGAGGTGCTGATCCTCATCCCAGCCGCTTCACATTCGGCTGCGAACCTACCCAGCAAGAGCTGAAGGTCAGAGCTGGATGAAGCTAGGAGGACCACATCATCCGCAAAAAGCAGAGACGAGATTCTCCTGCCACCAAACTCGACACACTCCACACCACGGCTGCGTCTAGAAATTCTGTCCATAAAAGTGATGAACAGAACCGGTGACAAAGGGCAGCCCTGGCGGAGTCCAACCCTCACTGGGAACAGGTCCGACTTACTACCGGCTATGCGGACCAAACTCACGCTCCTCTGGTAAAGGGACTGAATGGCCCTTAACAGAAAGCCACCCACCCCATACTCCTGGAGCGTCCCCCACAGGGTGCCCCTGGGGACACGGTCATAAGCCTTCTCCAAATCCACAAAGCACATGTGGATTGGTTGGGCAAACTCCCATGCCCCCTCCATCACCCTTGCAAGGGTATAGAGCTGGTCCACAGTTCCACGGCCAGGACGAAAACCACATTGCTCCTCCTCTATCTGAGATTCAACTATCGATCGGACCCTCCTCTCCAGTACCTTGGAGTAGACCTTTCCAGGGAGGCTGAGGAGTGTGATCCCCCTATAGTTGGAACACACCCTCAGGTCACCCTTCTTAAAGATGGGGACCACCACCCCGGTCTGCCACTCCCTAGGAACTGCCCCCGATGACCACGCAATGTTGTAGAGACGTGTCAACCATGACAGCCCTACAACATCCATAGCCTTGAGATACCCAGGACGAACCTCATCCGCCCCCGGGGCTCCGCCGCTGTGTAGTTGTTTGACTACCTCAGCAACTTCTGCCCCCGAGATCGGACAGTCCATCCCCAGGCCTCCCAGCTCTGGTTCCTCCTCGGAATGCGCATTGGTGGGATTGAGGAGCTCCTCAAAGTATTCCTTCCACCGTCCGACTATAGCCTCAGTTGACGTCAGCAGCTCCCCATCCCCACTGTAAACAGTGTGAGCGAGTTGCTGCCTTCCTCTCCTGAGGCGCCGGACAGTTTGCCAGAACCTCTTTGGAGCCGATCGATAGTCTTTCTCCATGGCCTCACCAAACTCCTCCCACGCCCGAGATTTTGCCTCGGCAACTGCCACTGCTGCACCCAGCTTGGCTGTCTGCTGCCTCCGGAGACCCACAGACCAGCCACGCCCTGTAGGCCTCCTTCTTCAGCCTGACGGCTCCCCGAACCTCTGGTGTCCACCAGCGGGTACGGGGGTTGCCACCACGACTGGCACCGGCCACCTTACGACCACAGCTAGCAACAGCCGCCTCGACAATCGCAGAGTGGAACAAGGCCCACTCGGACTCAATGTCCCCCACTGCTCTCGGGACGTGGTCAAAGCTCTGCCGGAGGTGGGAGTTGAAAACCGTCTTGACAGGTTCTTCTGCCAGGCGTTCCCAGCAGACCCTCACTATGCGTTTGGGTCTGCCAGGTCTACGCGGCATGTTCCCTTGCCATCTGATCCAACTCACCACCAGGTGGTGATCAGTTGACAGCTCCGCCCCTCTCTTCACTCGGGTGTCCAAAACATACGGCCGCAGGTT